ATACAAATAATCCACGGATTTAAAGAATTTTAGCATTGCATCTATGGACATTTGGCCCAAGTTTTTTTAAATTGTTATAGAAAATTATTCAAATTACATAACTGTGTAAATCAAAGCTATTATAGGAGAAAACATTTCACTGAATTCAAATATGCCATTTAAAAGAAGGTAATGTAAGTCATTAGAGGTCTAATATGCAAGTCTCTTAAAATCTCACGAAAAACGAGATTTAGCGAGATTTCAAAGGCTATATGGAAACTATACTATTGCATCGTATGCAAACCTTCCCCTGACCGACCCGGTCATGTTTATGTCTTTTGAATGATGTCTACCCCTTGATGCATGCATCCTTTAATAAGTGGTGTTAAGAATATTGGTATAGGCCCTGGTGAAGGGATATGTCATAAAGATTTCACGTTATCGCGATATACATGTAGCCGCGTCCCCTTTGTCTTTATCCTTCCAAACGCAAACGGCAGATAAGAGGGGTTCTTAGTGATTGATCTGATGCTTAATAAGCCACTTACAAGATACAGTTTTAAATATTGATATTGTGTAAAGTTTTAACACATAGGCGTAACCAGGGGGGGGGTGCGATTCGTGAATGATCGCACCCCCCCCCCCCCCCCCTGCTTAATCAATGGAGAAGGAAGAAGAAAGGAGCTTTGAATTGCTTTCATTTGAAACTTCTAGTTCAATTTTGAAGGAATTTGCAATGTCTGGTTCACATTTGCTCAAATTCATCGTCCGGCCTCCGGCCGATTGAGTATTTCGTTTAAAATTGTTTTCATGTTTGAAAAAACACTCAATCGGCCGACCCCCGGCCGATGAATCGGAGCAAATATGACCCAGGCATATGAGGGGCAACATTTTAGATATAGTATTGTTTGAAATCCTGGGAAAATGCACTCCCCCAATTTTGCAAATCTGGTCTGCGGTGCTAATGAACCCTCTAATTTGTTTTCGTTTACATGAGCAACTAACAGATATGTTTATTCTCATTCTGTCTCAGCTTGATTTTAATTAAATTTTACCCCCACCCTTCGAACGTCTTTGTCTCCCTCATTTTTGCAACCCTACATTCAGTTTCTTTTTAAACCAAATCAAGAAATATCCGTCCACATATCAGATATTAAACCAATAGTTGTTCATTATAAGAACAACCATATATTATATTTATAGATCATAAGCTATTTTTAATTTCAGCTATAAAATTAGCCCTCTCTCCCCTCCTCTATCTCTAGATACGCAGAGTTTCTAGACCGGCTAAGCACGTCTAAAAATTACTAGAAATTCCACAATTTATACAGTGATATGGATTTCATGTTTCTATTGAATCCCTTATTTTGAAGTCTAGCTAAATAATCGAGTTTGATTTTAAACGTTTCGGGGATCCGGGCAGAACTCAGGATATGGTACTTGAGTACATTTGCATTCAAAATAATTCAAAATTCAAAATTGCAAATATCATGGAAGTTGATTGCAATTATGTTCGATGATCGTCAACATGAAAGAACAATATGTCTGAATTATTAGCTATTAAACATCTTTATCAAAATTTTCCTACACTTTTAAATGTTGATCTTGTCAAAGAGTACTCTCCATCTGAGATTCAGATGTAGATCGAAAATCAAATTGATTTCAAAGGTATTTATAGATGGTTTACATGAGGGGTTCTGTCCATGTGGGTGGTGTATTCCTTTCATAACAAAGAGTTGTTTTGCTTCCGGGGTCCTAAATTATTCAATTTTAAATAGTAACTAATAAGATTAAACAGATCAAAAAGACTCGGGGCACTGCCGTCGCCCCATCATGATCAATACAGGTGACAATAAGCGACACATGTTTCAGCGTCATGATAGTAAACCATGACATCTCAAGCCCTTGATTTTTGAGATCTTTCATCCCAGCTCATATTTCATCTAATTGGGGTCATAAAACTTGTGTAACTGTGCCTGTTGCATCCTCGCTGGAAGGGTATTTTACAAGTATAAATGAAGTCCTTTGAAGAAGGATGTGCCTGTTGTTAAATACATGTACAGTGCCTTACTACATTATGTAATGTATTGAGATTAAGGTAGATGATTACATGATAACAATCACACTTATTGACATTCATAACTCTTCCCATCTGATATGCTCAGATCACAGAATATGCCTCATTATATCAGAGCATGTTTCAGGCGTTTCAGACCCATAGCCAGGATTTGCCAAGGGGTGGGTTATTTTTTTAAGAAATTCCAGGGGGAGTTTACTTTTGGCAATGTTAGTTCAAAAATGAGCAAAATAATTTAAAAGGTGCTCAGTATGGGGTAAAAAATGCAATTTTGGTCACGGAGGGGGGGGGTCGCTAGAACCAATCTATCCCCCCTGTATTCGGGCCTGCATGTGCTATCTACATATTTGACAATTTGATTGACACGGTTCAAAGTGGACTTTGTTAATTATTCAAACTGTTTTAATATCTAGGAATATGCGTCCAAGTTAAAATCACTCGAAATCAGGGTAGATAAACCTAAGAAAAACACATTTCTTGTTTTCATTTGATCTTTAACATGATCCTGTAAAAATGTCAGATTTAGCAAAATACATATGCGATCTCCATCTGCACACATCTACTCATTTCGACTAAGCTATTGCCTATACTTACACGCACACGCATACTTTTAAATTAATTTTATTTTGATAATGATTTAAAAAACACAAATTATTATTAACACGAAATTAAAATGATTGTTATATTCCAATCCTAGTAAAGTATAATTAAGCGCGACTATAGGGCATAACAATAACAACATGTGGCCGGTCTAATTATACTGTTTGTTTTGATAAGGCTGTGCAAAGAGATATCAAAACTCTTGACACGCTCTTTACACGCGAGGTCTTTGCACCTCTTGACACGTCTTGGAATCTCTAGATACGCGGAGTTCCTAGACTATCTTTGCACGTCTAGAAATTGCTTGGAATTTCACATTTGACGCAGTGTATATATTTGAATTGCTCTTTATATATATGTCTTTGTTAATGTACAAAAAATCAATGTTTGTCTATGGTGTAAGCGATACGTTCGATCGTGACACTGTTAATTGACATATAATCATGTCCATGTTTCGATAGAGAAATTTAGAATTGGCGAGATGATAAAATATAGATATGCATTAGTTTAATACAGTATAGTGCCTTTAATCTTCTGAACGTCTGCGCCATGTTATATCTTCATTTATCTTTTGAACTCTTAAATGATATTCCACGAAGCCTAAAGGGCCAGTGGAATATCATCTTGTGAAAGTGTCACGGGTGTTCACCGAAAATAGGATTGAATATTTGTTTTATTTTTCACTGTTAATTCCTCACTCACATTTATGGAATAACAAACTATTGATGTCTAATTAGTCATAACAATGTACTCCCGGGGATATACAAGGGGCGATCAACAAATAACGCAAATAGAGCCCTATCTCAGAAATTAATTGGAGTTAGAACACCAAATTTGATACGTAGTATCACCAAACATTCATTATGATTGCAACAAAATCTGTGGCACAAATATTACTTAATGTCAAAGTTACGGTTGCCATAGAAACCCATGGTATGGGCACCTGAAGCAGGTCATGAATCATAACAATAAAGTATTGAACGTCTGTCCAGAATGAATTTGAAGACACTGTTAAGTCATACAAATTTGATGTTATTTGGGTGTAAATCAATTCTGAAACTTTTCTGTTAATTGATGTGATCTACTTTAATCGTTATTTCATAATGCCTACCCAACAATAGCTTTGTCATTAGGCTATACATGTCGATACCAAACGATAAGATGACAGAAAACACAGGCATTGAGGAAATCAAGGTCAAGTCAGCCATACTGAAAAATGGTAGAATTGAGTCATCAGACCTCCATAGAAGACAGAGAGAACTGATTTAATGCTGTATTTATAATGAAATGGCACTGCAAAAACTTATGAGATGCTAAAGAAATTATTTGGTGATGAAAATGGACATAAAGCAATATCTACAGGAGGTACAGTACATACGACTTCTGAAAAACCAAGAAGATCTGCTGAGGATTCTTCCCGTACAGGTGCTCCAAAAACAACACGCATAGCAGAGATGATTAAAGAAGTAGAATAGGTGGTTATGGTTGATAGGACTGTCACTACTTAACATGAACTGGGCATGAGTAATGAGTCAGAAAAATGATTATTAAAAAGATTGTGACATCATATTTTTGAGGTGTTTCAGCTGCCTTCGACTTGGGTAACCGTATGCCAAGTCCTCATTGTTGCTAAACATTCAAGACCTGCTTCAGGTACCCATACCATTGGTTACTATGGTAATAACCCAGATGCGAGTAGAAATAATCTTGATTTACGTCATTAAAAATTCAAAATTCAGTCAAAGTAATATCATATTTGAAATCTACATCTAAAATTACATCTAGAAATGTGGTTTTAAAAACTGTTAATCAACTTTGAAAAATTAATTTTCTTTGAAAATGTGACTTCTAGCTCGGGGAGATTCCCCATAGACCCCATGCTATAAAATCACTAAAAATGAAATTTCTTTTCTTTTAGTGGACAGATAATATATTGCTTTACTGGACATATTTTCATTAGTATAAGTATCAGACGCCTAAGGGTTATATGAAAATTGAGCCACTTCAGTTGTTAATATTCAAGTTTAAGGGAACTTTCTTGTATACCTGCCATGTTAATTGACCCGAATCAGCCACCTGGTGGTGAAACTGGTAACTACCTACTCGCATTTGGGTAATTGTAACTTTGGCATATATCAATGTTTGTGCCTGAAATTTTCTGGAAATATTAATGAATGTTTGGTGATACTTTGTATTAAGTTTAGTGTTCTAACTCTAATTAGTTTCTGAGATAGGGTTCTATTTGCGTTATTTGTTGATCACAAGTGAATATCATTTGACATTCAACGGAAGTCACGTGTCTTCCGTAGAATATCGCTTGTTATATATTAGTCACGTGTAGGACATGGACCTGCTATACAACAAGTCCTCTCTTACTTTAGGATCTTGTCCACGTGGCTGGCGAGAATGGGATGGCTTCTGTTATCAAATAGATGGCGCTAAATCACAGTGGAAAACATGGACTGATGCTGACAACTACTGCTCAGCCATGGGTGCCCAGCATGTAAAAATAGAAAGGTCAGTTGAAGGCTCGACTTCGACTTCTGAACAATTTCCAAAAACCAAAGAAAGTTGCGGCATATAACATTTGTTTATGTACTGAATATATCAATGTTTGTCTATGGTCTGTAGGATAAAGAAAACTTAATTCGCTACGGCATAATGAGCTGTTCCCTACTTTGGAACAGCGTTAGAGCAAATGAATGTATGAAATATAGGAAACATTAATACATATTCCCCAAAAGTTTATAATAATTCACTTACATTTTCAAGTCTATGTAATAAATCAGATGAATGCATTTGTTTCTCCTAAAACCTGTTTTAGAGACAGCCAAAGGAATTTTGTCAACTCAGTTCTTGCAGAACTAAAGGCAGCTAACGCCCAAGACATGTGGATAGGCGTGTCAGATAAACTCACCGACAATGTGTTCAAATGGTCTGATGGAACGACTGCGGTGACAGGATACACGAAATGGGGTACTGATGAGCCGAAAACGGTGGATAATAGATACGACTGCGGATTCATGAACACGGGTAATTAGAACATAGTAAAAAGACTATAAATATCTAGATATATCTTGTATATTATTGCTCAGTTTGCTATAAAATAAGTTAATTATAAATAAGATGAGCTTTACGTCCAAAAAGTAAAAGTTTAGGAGTTGATCTAAATAACTGTGCAGTATATGCCAGGCCCGTAAGACACTTTTCTCCAAGGGGGGTGCGGTTTTTAGCTTACTAAAGAGAATATAAAATTGTCAATTTTTTTGCCGCGTAAGTCAAATCGCGTAAGTCAGATGGGGGGGGGGGGCTCATTTACTCTCTATATTGTTTTGGAATTAACAAATGCAACTTCCAAACGTTCCAATTGTTTTGTGGGGATCGTGAGGAGTGGTCCACTCCCCCTAGAAAATTTTACAGTTTTGAGATGCTATTTGGTGCTTTCTGGGCACTTTCAAAGTGTAAGCCGGTTTCCAAGTAGTACGCCACCACCTCGGGAATAAGAGTTGAGTGAATAAAAACCGAGCATTCAGGGGGGTCTGGGGTCCTTCCCCAGGAAAATTTTGAAATTTGGTTGTATTTGGAGCGAATTTGCAACCATCTGGTACGCCTGTGCCGTTATGAGTCAATAAGAAAAATGTGAATTTTTTTTCAAATTCTTTTGGGGGTGTCAAAGAGGATGAGAGGGTGAAGTGGGGTGGGGTGCCAGTAGGGGAGCAAGGGGTTGTCCCCCAGAAACATTGACCATATCAAGGTGCTATTTGATGATGTCTGGGCACTTAAAAAATGTCTGAGACAATACATGAAATTCTGAATATTTTCTTTTGTTTTTTGGGGGATGTGAGGGGTGGCTAACTCTCCTAGAAAATTTTACAATTTCAAGATGATATTTGGTGCTTCTGGGCACTTTTAAAGTGTATTAGTCAATAAAAACATTGAAAAACAATCACAATTTTTTTCAAATTTTGGGGGTGTCATAGGGGGGGGTGCCAGAGGGGGAGGTGGGGCTGGGGTGCCAGAGGGGGAGCAAGTTTTTGTCCACCATATCAAAATTTACAATATCAAGGTACTATTTGATGAAGTTTGGGGACTTTAAAATATCTGTGCCTAAAAATGCCTATTTCCCAAGAAAATTTTACAATTTTAAGGTGCTAATTGGTGCTTTCTGGGCACTTTCAAAGGGTGGTGTTAGGGGGGGGGTCTGCCAGAGGGGGAGGTGGAGTGGGGATGCCAGAGGGCGAGTAAGTGTTAGTCTTCCAGAATCATTAACTTTATCAAGGAGCTATTTGATGATGTCTGGGCAATTTAAAAGTGTCAACGCATAAAATAAATTCAGAACTTTTCCATTGTTTTGTTTAGGGTGTGAGGGGTGGCCCACTCCCCCTAGAAAATTTTACAATTTTACGACGCTATTTGGTGCTTTCTGGGCACTGAGTCAATTAAAGAATTTTGATAAAATCACAATTTTTTTTTGGGGGGGGGGTCAAGGGCGGGGGCGTCAGAGGGGGGGGGAAGAAGGGGGGGCGCCAGAGGGGGGGTTATGCAAGTGCAAGATGCAAGAGGGGGAGCAAGTCCCCCAGAAACACTTACTATATCAAGGAGCTATTTGATGATGTCTGGGCACTTTAAAAGTGTCTGAGACAAAACACTAAAATAAATTTAGAACTTTTCCATTGTTTTGTGGGGGGTGTGAGGGGTGGCCAATCCCCCTAGAAAATTTTTCAATTTTAAGATGCTATTTGGTGCTTTCTGGGTACTTTCAAAGTGTATGAGTCAATGAAAAAAATTACAAAAAAATATTTTTCAAAAAAAAAATTTTCAAATTTATTTTGGGGGGTGACAAAGGGGGGTGCGGTCGCACCCATCGCACCCCCCCCCCCATCTGACGGCCACGTATGCATTAATATTTAAGAGATACGTGCCCTTGACTATTACACGGTCCGACAGGGTGATTGCTTAGGCCAGGATATCTCTGGACACTTGGACGTCAATAAAGAACAATGCGCCGAGTTATGCAACAAGCAAGTGGGTGGAGCGAGGGATTGTGTAGGTTTCATATACAGTTTAACAGTACCCAAACACTGCTGGTTGAAACATACTTCGTGTGCAGTCACTAGACCATTGAGGGACACACAGATGCATGATAAAAGTGAGTCAAATGCCCATTCAAGTTGTCCCAACACGATTCCCGACCATTGTTTCGAGTCCCATATGGTCAGTGGGATAAGATAATAAAGCAATAGTTATGTCACCACCAAAAAGTGGTGACATATTGTTGTGCTCTCCGCTTTTTAGTGACGGCGGTTTGTAATCGGCGGTTGGCGTCTGTAACAAATGGTGGTGACATTTTACATGTTAATGCCTTTTTTTGAATTATATGGTAAAAACAGATTATTATATTACGATATATTTCATAGTATTATCATATATTACTCATTTTTCTTTATATAGTTGCAAATCCGGATCCAAAGTGGTACACTGGGTATTGTTTCAACAGGAAGCCCTTCATGTGTCAAATCCCCATTCACCAGACGTTAAAGCCTACAACCTCACCGCCAGGTAAGACGTTCGAGCATCAAAGCGCCTCCTATATTTGTATAATGGTCTTCAGACGCGTCCGCATACAAGACAGGAAAACAGTATATTAACACGTCAGCGCATTCAACACGTTCTTATTTCTGTTTGAAGAATTGCATTTTTCTGCATTTGGAACAATTCAAAACTGTTTTCAGGTCAGTCTATGGCGAAAGCATAAAAACACTTCAAAAATAATGAAATTAAAACATTTTTCTAGTGGAATACGCATGCGCAGGCAGTCCTGATTGGAAAGTCATCGGAAACGTCTGCTTCTTGAAGGTCACGGAGAGGAAAACTCGTCCAGTCGCACAAGATGACTGCGTCACAAGAGGCGGGAATTTGGCTACAATCAGAAATGCTGACGAACAGTCATTCATAAGCAGTATGTGTGCATATACCAATTTTGGCTAGTCCACTATATATTTAACCTGTACTACTCAATAATGCTCTTCAAAAGCTCTCACTCTTTGACTGCAAAAAATGGGTAGGATATATTGGTCCGATTCATGACATATCATATGTTACAGATTTTTGATTGGAGTCATTGCTACCTATTAGTTCCTGTATATTAGACCCAATCTTTTCGGTGTCATTGGGACAACGTATTACACAGCTACTGTATCTGTGCAACAAGGGCATGCCTCCTGGTAGCAGAGTTTCGTAAGATATTTTGTTATCAATTTGTTACTAATTTTCTCCATCATCTAATGCATACAGTTGCGTATGTAGGGCATAGTTTATCAATTCAGAATTAAGTTTAAATGGAGAAAACAAAATATTTTACGTAAACCTGCTACTGGAAGACAGGCCATTGTGCTTCTCAGACATAGTGGCTTTGTAATGAAATGCAATGCTTTGCTACCCGGTGGGTGTGTCAGCAGTAGAAAGGATTCAAAAAAAAAATGATACATAATTTTATGATCTATTGAATTATATGAAGACGTGAGACAAGACGTGTTAATGTACCTCCAGACATGATAACAGAGACGTCGTATATCGGGTTTAATGACATAACAGACGAGGGGACATTCGTCTGGCAAGATGGATCTTCGTCAACATTCCTTAACTGGGGACCCGGCGAGCCAAATAATGCTGGCAATGAAGATTGCGCAGAGGTGGTATCCCCACAATGGGGTAAGCCTGGTATATGGAATGATATACCATGTGAAAGGGAAATGCCATACCTTTGCAGTAAACCAGCATGTAAGTGCAAATACCAATCCCTCTTATTCATGGAGAGTATGAATTTAGATGATTATAAAAGAAGCGAGGATGAACCAAATGCCCGTGAAATCTTATGTAGCTCATTTTATAATATCTCCCCGCACAAATCGATCAGACACTGAATATGACAGAACATTGGATAAATGCTGCCTACATTAGAAATCGAAGAACAAAACATATGATATTGTTATATGATATAATATTGTTATATATGTACTAAATATATTGTTATATAAAAGTGCTAAGCACGTGTTATATTATCTCAAAATATAAGGATACTCGTTTATTATCTAATAATTAAAAATAATTAAGTCTGCTATTAATTACAGATCACTTAAGCAGCCCTCCTCCGCCACCAAGCACTACTACTACAGAGAGGTGGTCGCCCAGGTGTGGCCCTACATGGAAGTACGACCCTGCTTCGGATTTCTGCTACCAGGTCAATACAGAGCAGAGGCTCACATGGGGCGAGTCCAGACAAGAATGTCTTAAGGCTGGGGGAGATCTTCTCAGTATCACAGGGGTACATGAACAAGCATTTGTGAATGGTGAGAATAGGTTGATCTCATTGTCAGATGGTATCAGTGGAAACATTATACAAATGTAGAAACCAAACATGTATTTCATACAGAAGACGAAGCTATATTTTAAGAACCTAAGCCAAACCAGTGAAAAGAGTACTCATTTCACTCCTTTTAAAGTCAATGTTTGTTAGGATGAAGAAGAGAAAACCTAAGTAAGATTGAGAGATTGTATGTGTCAGTATTCCTTCTTTTCTTGTTTCACTCTGTTGTTGTTATTACATAATGTGTCCATGTGTTTCCTCTCTGCAGCTCTACTACAAGTAGGTGCAGCGTCTGGTGGCCTCGCATTCTGGATAGGGGCAAACGACCGTGATCTTGAGGGAGGTTGGCAATGGTCAGACGGCTCTCCTTTCAGATATTGGAACTGGAACAATGGCAAGTGCCAATTATAAATTCATATGGTTGGTTTATGAACAACAGGGGAGTGCCATTCTCAAATGAACGCTAATGAATGTTCTTTTACTCGAAACGGAAACATTTCAGACTTTTTCCTCTCGTGTCTCCAAATCTAATTCGCTCACTGTTATAACAATGTCATAGAAATATTGAAACCTGCGTTATACAGTACATCCGTACCGTTCAAAACTACAGTATTGCATGCTAAATGTTGTTCAGTGCTGGCAACAGAATGCCTAATAATTCACTTGGCTTATTTTGTAGGAGTAAAAATTACTTCCTAAATTTCCCAAAAGGTAAATGTATCTGATTATAAAAACCTTTTGATATCATAAAAATCGTTAAAAGTGGATATTTGGGAAAGAACTTATTGAGACAATGCAATAATAGTTTTATTTTATGTGGACACCTGCTAAAGAGGAGGACATTTTTCAACTCGATGTATAGTTTTGATACTAGTGCCATGAATACATGTCCTGAATCTCATTATTCCATTTAGGTGAGCCCAATAACGCAAACACAGGCGAGCATTGTGTGGAAACAAACGTCAATATAGAGGGACGCTGGAATGACCATGACTGTGAAAGAAAGTTTTCCTACCTATGCAAGAAGATCCGTAAGTGAGATAGATCTAAATTCCTCAGTCACCTTTGATCTACGGCAACCGTACGGCGATCGTAGCTTCACAAAATCGAGAGAACTATGTAGCATTAAAATTGGGATACTCATTACGATCTAGATTTTCTACTCGAGTTTGTGAAGCTACGACTGCCGTACGGTCGTCGTAAAGCAAAAACTGAGGCTACTTATTTTTCACAAGTTACTGTCATCAAAAAACAAATACAAGTATAGGTAGCGTCTGTTTGTACAGTTTTAACAGCCGATGGTACATTTTAGCTGACACAAGAACGACCGTCACACCGCCTCCACCCACACCTTTCCCTCAAGACTGCACCGCTGAGCCCATTCTCTCTGGCTCTCGGTACGTCCAAGATGAGATGCTCGTCTCATCCAGTCAATCTGACGCTAGCCACGGTCCAGAGACGGGGAGGATAAGCGGTGGATGTCCACTTGGTACAAAGCTGTATAATGGCATGTGCTATGAGTTCTTTGGTGGGTCTAAAACGTACGAGGAGGCAAAGAAACACTGTAGCGCATGGGGAGGTGGACTCGCTACCATCAAAGATGAAGCAGAAAATACGTTTATAACTTCTGCGTTGGAGGAGCAGTTTCAGAGGACTGGGAAAAGATATTGGTATATAGGTCAGTAGATACACTGTATATGTTACAATAATGTATAATGATAATAATATCTTTAAATAATATCTTTAAAAACATTAGCTGTACAATATGTATCTATATTTTAATGATAAGCTTTTTAAAGATTTTTTAAGATTTTTTTAAAGATTTTTGCATAGGCATTTAATATGTCTTGAGCCCATGATAAGACAAATATCAGTACGTCAGATTTATATTACATGGAAGCATGATATAAATGTATCGATGATTTGAACTCCTAAATCAAATATGATTCACTTTGAACAATTCATGACAAATTGAACAGGTTTGGAACAGGATGGTGACTCCAATACTTTCCCGAAATGGAATGACGGCACAGATGTCTCATTTTCGAAGTGGAACACGGGCGAACCGAATAATGCCGCTGAGAAGTGTACAAGCGTAGAGCAACCCTCTGGATGGAACTGGCATGATGTGTTCTGCACCAGAGCTGAATCATTCATTTGCAAGATACCACAACAACCTGGTAAATTACGAATTCGAATATTTTTTAAATTTGAGTTAACATTATTGCCATGGTCAGTTCAAATAATCCATTCTGCAATGAGAAAACGCGAGGCAACTTCGGTCAGAATGTACAAAGAAATCATTTAGTGTACCTGAAATATTATGATGTTGGCTGACAAAAATGATTAGTATGTTCTATTCATAGTGAGCTACAAGTTTATGAGCATTCAATGGAAACTGTAATGTATGTAAAATTAAAGTCACTTTATTAATGATATATTTCTTCCAGATAGGGGCGGCTGCTGGGTCCCACAGTCTTCCGACAAGAATCAGTTCATAGCAGCAAATTTCGGTTACAACGTTATTGTCAAAGGAATCTATACTCAAGGGTGTCCAGATAGTACGGGTTATGTCACAAAGTACAAGATTTCATACATGCTTAGCACGACCTCAAAGTTGATGTACGTCCAAAGCCAACCAGGAGTTGACGCTGTAAGAATTAACATTTAGGTGTAGGTTTGGGATGTGGGATATTGAAATAATGCATTCACTTCTTAGTGCCATAGCAGTTTTGGTATACCATTGTGTATACCCTTTTTGGTGTACCGTGCCCATGCAAAGCTTTATGTGATCCAAAAATTCAACAGGCTCTACCTCTCTTGTATTTCATATTTGGTGTCTATCTATTTTATTGTCTATCCCACATCATTTGAGACTAAATGCTGATCTTTTATGAGTATTGTATCTACAACTATTTTTGATGTTGCGAGTATTGGCTATTATTTTTTCCAATTTTTTCTTCAACATGTGTGCTGTGTTATATCATCAGTATGAATAAAATGCACCTTTGTGTTCTGATCATGGATTATGATATTGGCTGTCGATTGGCAGGGGGAAGTTTTGTTAGACATTATTTATTTTCACCTTAGATCATTGTTTTTTGGATATATAGGGCATATTTTTCTTATTAAACTTAAAGTTTGCTTTTCTTGCTAGGTTTCTTTACAGTTTCTGGCACTTTACCTTCAGCACTTTGCTTAGATAGTTATAAATGAATAATTTCTGTTATAATAATATTAATCTACTGATTGTGTTCTTTTTAGATCTTTGACGCAAATGCAGACCAGAATGGTGTTGTAGAAAATGTTTTTCCTAAGCCAGTTAGAGCGCAGATAGTCAGGCTCGAGCCACAGGAATGGTTCCAGAAAATCTCTCTCAGATGGGACATAATGGGATGCAGTACACGTGCGTTGAATTGAATTTTTTTTGATATATTTTTTTTATTTCAGAGAAGAAAAAACATGTTAAAGCAATTGCAAAATACAATTACAATACAGTTACATGGAAAACGTACATTTTACAATACAGCATTGGTTACACGCCAGTGTTTAAGAATTTTATTTAAAGGAAAAATCATCAGTGTCATTTTGTTTAATTTTGCTTCCATGATAGAATAACTGATAATTATTCAAGTACGTTTTAGTTAATATGATGAACGTTTGCTGAAACAATTAAACAAATCTATGTCACGTGCATCTGGTCTCATCAGCGAGAAATGTGTACTTGATTATTTATATCCCTCCCCGCTGCTCCACCACATTTGAATGTTCACTCCAGGTGTATTTTTGCAGATGACTGTGAAGGTGAGAAGTTGATCACTGGTAAAGTGACAGTGGACGATCAATACTTAACCGCTTCTTCAAGTGCTGATCTTTTACATGGTCCAGCGAGTGCCCGACTTGATGGCTTATCATGGTCTCCTACGTCCAACTCTAATACACAATATATCCAGGCTGATTTGGGGGTCGTGATGAGGATACTGAGCGTGATTACCGCTGGAAGTCCTGACACTCCTCAATGGGTTACCGGTTACACATTTCTTTACAGTTTAAATGGAGCAAACTTCAAGTAAGGATATCATTTTATCTATACATTAGCACATTATATGCTACAGGTGTACAAAACATGGCCACTACCCTAGTTATTGAGAGCAACTGAACATTCACCAAAGACAGTTTGGGTTTGCCCTGGACTAGGTGGGTGACATTGCTCAAGTACATTTGCTGTACTTTTAGAATTAAAATGATCTATTAACATGCAATATTGAACAGTAATGAATGACAATATTGCGTTTCGTTACGTCAAAAGTATGCAATAATGCACCGATCACATATTCAATCGATCATAGTATGAACTAAATATTAGGTCTCCCTTTGTCTTATTCTAGGGTTTATCAAGACCCTTATGGCTCAGACAAAATACTAACTGGGAACACAAACCAGAACGATCAGGTTGAAACTACACTTTACTCAAAGATACACACACAATATATCAGGATTCAACCCGAGTCTTGGAAGGGTGGTATCGCCCTAAGATTTGACATTATAGGCTGCCTCCCAGGTAATGAGCATATGTTAGAATTGAATCTTATTTTAGCAAAAACACAACGTATTCAATATTAAGTAGACACGTCACTAAAATGTGATAATTGCACATTATGAGTTCATTATCGTGAATTTTAATTATTGTCTTTTTATTAAGTTGATAATCAAAGGTAAAAAGGTGTGCGTGTAGACAAAGCTAAAGATATGAACACGTAATTTCTTATGAAATCTAAAATGCTAATATATAAACGTTTATCACCATTAGCACATTATGCTAATTTTTTATACGAGTTGATTGACATCCAAACAAACAATACGTACATGAAATAATTTTCAAAATCATATCTAAAATATGTGAGCGCGATATCATATCTAGTATCAAAGCTAGACACAGAAGGTACCCAGCACGCAGAGTCTAGTTATAAACTACTTTTTAGAAGCGACGTTGAACGAATGCAAATAAATATGTTTTCCCCCATAAGCTTTAACATTCATTAAATTTCTTATTTGTCTGTGGTATCTATAACCTGTTCTTTAGAGCACATTAAAATGGACTTCGTGGAGCAAGTCCACAAGAAGTTTCAGATGACTAGCTCAACTCGATGTACTTTTATGCACAAAAGTCCATACTTTTGACATTGAGGGGGAGAACATATTTATCTGACACCTTGTACTATGAGCTGACTGATATTTTGCTGATTAGGTTGCTGATGAAGCACTTAAATAATGATGCTGAAGGGCACATCGGTGTGTCAGGTCAATCTCTGGTATTATGATGCAGTAAAGATAATTGGTTATTAAGGAATCAAAATATGTACAAATTTTTTGTATGTTTTATATTAACAAACAGCAAAAGTATTTGTGTTACTATAGCAACCATATATCAGTTTTATCCAAATATGTTTTTGTTAATAAGAACATACACAAAATTCTTAAAAGGTGAATGTAACTGGTACAGGCTGATAAAATAAATATTATTTAAAATGGACCCCACCCACTATTAAATACACTATGTTCTGTAACTATGACAGCCACTTGGCAAATCATGTTCAGATTTACCTAACAAATGATGATATATGTTTCCATAAACATAATTGTGATTGATAATGTTAAAATGAAATTATTAGGAAATGTAATTAAAAATACCACGCCCACTTTTTAGTAGATTGAATTGTGGTCACCAAAAGCAAATAGGGTCGATATTCATAGACATCATACAATCCAATGTTTTAATCAAGTTATCTTTTTGAAAACTTCTTAAATATGTTTTAAGGTAAACTCTGTGTTGATTGGCATAATCTGAAAAATAAGCAATCCTCTGTTTTAAAGAAGCTTTGGATATATCCGAAATATTTACAATTCTTCGCACTTAATTATGTTGCCAATCATTTGACCAACAAAAATTATTCATATTCACCATACATGTAGTACCTCCTTATATAAGTAGCACAGAGTGTATATATTGTAATTTTTGAAATGTAAAAGTGTAAACCATTACTAATCTAGTTTTTTTTATTATTTGACGAGAATACATTGTTTGATTCATTAGGATGCGATCAAACTGCATTAATTAACGGACCTCATCCCGTATCGAACGATAAACTTACTGCATCCTCTTTTATCGAGAATCACGGACCTTCGAGATCTCGTCTCAATACCAAGAGAGAGGGAGATTTGAGAGGGGCGTGGTCTGCTGCGTTTAATGACCAGCAACAATGGATTCAGGTACCTCAATGTTATCATGGAATCACCTTAGAATAGAACCGAAGACCCCGGGTCTCTGATCAAACACAAATATATGTATAAATATTTTTCTGTTCATTCTTAAGGACGTGTTGAACTAATTAAAGCAATTAAAGTGTTAGCCTTGCCCAAATCGGCATTTTTCAATTATCTGATCTCATAATATAAATCAAGATAAGTAAAATAGACCGACTTGGGCAAGGCTAGTAAAGTGTGCAAAAGCTATTTCTATTTTGTCGAAGTGGACAAGGCATTTGACATAAGTGTAAGACCGGTTTCAATGTTGAGTAAAAACATAAGTAAAAGTCATTCTGTTGACGTGAATAGAATCAGAGGTGTAAAATCTTCTTTCAGGTTGATTTGAACAGTGTTATAAGTGTCAAGGCCGTGTCAACTCAAGGACGCGATGATGCTCTGCAGTGGGTGGAGAGATATACAATTACGCATAGTCTTGATGGAACAAACTTTGAAAGCTACAAGGAAGGTGCCCTAAACGTCATAATCGTAAGACTCGCATTTTTCTTATCCCCTTCGTATGGAATGTTATATTTGCCCTTAGGGTCTAACGCCAAACCATAAGTGCAACACTTCCATTTATTCACCTTGCGCAATTTTATTAATTTTGAGTAAATTAAACCATACCTCAAATGACATACGTCAGTTCAAGGATCTAAACCAAAATTGCAGCCTTAAAATCAATGATCATTCAAAGATTCTTTCTATACAAAAATTAATTTTATAATCACCAAGATCAATGTTAAGATCGTAGCAGCATGTCAGGCTACCCGATAGGATTCATGGAATCATTGAGTTCACAGTTACTTGTTGCAGTAATCGGGTACATCAAATATGCTGAAGTCCTTGATTCCCTCTTTTGTAGTTGGACGTTGTTGTCGTCATTAATATGCCAACTTCTCCCTGAGGGAAATTGATTTTACCGGACATAGTGCTCGTCACTGGAATGCAAGTTTCTGTCGCTGTGGCATATGCTTTTAAATTGTATGTTTCACCTTCCACATGTTAACCTTTACATTCCCTGCAAGTATTTCTTCTCCCAGGAATTCAGCATTATCTGGATTAGTACAGCGCTCTTGTTTAGGGTAGAATAAAGATCAAACTTCACAGGTTTATTGTAAACTGTTTGTTAGTGGTTAAACCTTGTATGAGATTCAACACCAAGGAAACACCATTTGTGACGGCTTTTATGGTACATTGAATGAAAAGGATGCTGTCATCATTGGTTTTATGTATTCTTCCAATATTGCATCGGGCCCCGTACACTGACTTTCGCGATGTTTATAACTTGATCCAAAGCTAATTTTGGCCCACTTTTGCAAAAGGAATGATTACTCGCCCAAACATAACCCAATATCAACGAATTATTTACCATTGGAAAGAAGAGACACGTGGCTTTCAGGTTAATTGGATGAAATCAATGCTGAACATTATCACTGGTTTTGTGCTTTTTCGAGATAACAATTTGTTGCGTTTTTTTATAAGCACTGTATAGCACTAACATTTGAGTTGTTTTTTAACTCTAAACTGATAACAAATTATGAGGTAATGTATATTAATAACAACTGATCTTGTGACTTTAAAAAGGTCCACATGATGAAAGACACAATGATACATTCAACAGTATTAATTTATATCAACTCACACCCTTTGAATGATCGATGAAGTGAATTTCCCACTAATATTTTCCTTTTGTTAGTTATTGTTTTGTGTATCTGAAGTGTTCCTCAAATTCCCCAGCAAAATGCTCTTTGAATACATTTTCAAGATTTTATTATCATAACAAACTGGATGTAGCCCTCCGTCGGTCCGTCCATCCGTCAGTCCATTATGGGTGTTGATTTTGCCAAGCAAAAACAAAACTCTACTACTTTCTGGTTATTTCTCTTATGTAATGTCCAAAGGGACTTACAGAAGGGATTCGATGAAGTTCATTTTGTTATTTGGGATTTGTTATTTTCAGGAGTTTGATGCCAATATTGATAATGATAACGAACGAAAGCAGTTCTTCAGGAGCCCCTTTACTGCTAGATATGTCCGGCTTCACCCTACCAAGTGGCACGAACGCATCTCGTTGAGGTGGGAAATTCACGGTTGCCCAGGTAACAAACTGTTTTGAGACCGCTAAAATAAAAATATTATGAAAATATTTTGATTATGAAAAAATAATTTATCGAATGGAAGAGTAATGACCATGCTTCGTCAACAAGCTCTAGATGAAGCGATTGAGAGAAGGATCTGGCGTTGTTGACAAGTGAGCTTGTTGACGTACTGTTTATTTTAACGACGCTTGTGTTATATGTGTTAACATCTTAGCATCGAAGAATGCGTCTTAGTTTCTTAGTGATGTCTTAAAAAACTACTCGGAATGAGAAAAACTACGTGACGTATATATACTGCTTGTTTTTTATTGTTGAACATAACGATTTGTCACTAATGCCGGAGTCACATTTGCTCCGATCCATCGACCGGCGCCCTGCCGATTGAGTATTTTGTTCAAAGTTGTATTCAGTATTGAAAAAAATATTTTATCGGTCGAGCGCCGGTCGATGAATCGGAGCAAATTCGACTCAGGAATTAGTAATGTTCCAAGCAATGCACCCCCTTCCACACCCCCACAATAACCATATACGATGTAAATTGTAAAGGATTTCCTGGGGTGAAGACTCATACCTTTTTAGCGCTCACTTCACTCACAGTGATACAAACCCAAAGAATGCCACCCCTTGACATTTGCTTGCTACGTTCCTTAGGGGGTATCTATATAACTAAGAGGCTTCACTTCGATACAATGAGCTCATATAATTAATTGTGCATGTAATGTCACATGACCTCACAAACAACAAGCAAAACGAACAGCAAAGAACAATCAACCAAACAAAACCTAAAACATCAAGATACATAACAATTCTACAAATGTATAAACAGCTTATATGACTTCTGCTTATTTTGCAGGTCCAGATGCTTCCCAAGAGCTCGGTTGTTTCAAAGATGATATAGCTAATCCTGATCTACCAAATGAACCAATTGCTAGTCCCCCAGGAGGCATGGACCCCAAGCTTTGTGTCAACCATTGCTTCCATAAGGTACAGGGTGTTAAAAACATGACGTTCTACAAACTCACTTAGAAATGCATATTTTCTACCTAGAAATCAATGCGATGTATTTAAATAGAAAGATATGATGCATTATAACGAGAAATGCATCATATATTATGAATAGAAATACATGATGCATTCTCACGAGAAATGCACCATGCATTGTGTCTATACTGATGATTTAAGTCCTGTAAAATCTTCGTCAAATGGATCAGAAAACCTAAAGACGTCTGAAAAATTCAAGGTCAAAGGTCAACATCGTCAAACTACATGTAGGTCACAGACGGTGTAAGCTAAGTTTCCAAAATTTTAAGACTACATATCAATATTTTGACCGAAATTCAAGATAAACATTCCTCTAAAGATTTTACACATATTAACAATTCAGTTTTTTGAATGTATGTAAATAGAGAGACACTGAATATTGCAATGTGTATGATGGTAAAGATATTGAATGAAGAGTCTGTGTATTCTAGGGTTATGTATATGCCGGAATAAAAGCGAACCTCTGTAGGTGTGGTAACCGTTATGGTCAACTTGGAGCCAGCACAGATTGTACCACCAGGTGTGAGGGAGATCCTGATGCGAATTGTGGTGGTGACAACTCTAACACTGTGTATAGCACAGGCCTTGGTGGGTGGATTATTCCTGTTTGCAGTTTAAACAAGAGCTTCAACTGGAAAGCTCATGTTGTAAAGATGGTCTTGGTTTGATCCCAATATGAACTTTGTTTAAACGTTTCTCGTGTGTTCTTATATTAGATCACTATTGTCTTTTCATCTCGAATCGACATGTTTATAGCACAAGGTAACTCGAAAAGCAGATAACAAAAATCTGTTCTGGTTAGTAAATCGTTCTGCTTTGTTGGGTCACATTAATTTTGTTTTTCAGCTCCAACTTCTGAGAGATGCCCTGACTTCTGGACGCCATACAATGACATGTGTTATCAGGTGCGCTCCAGAAGAGGAACATGGCAGGAGGGACTGGACTGGTGTAACCAACAGGGTGGAACCCTTGCTACTTCCAATAGTGCCGCGGTCAATGACTTCCTGACTGGCCTATTGGCGGACGCAGAGGGTGTGTGACTTTACTCTTATATTAATCGTGCCTTTTTGTAGTTAACAACCAATGTGCTCTGATATATTCAATTTGGTAATAGGAGGGTTGATCATAAATTTCCCAAATACAGGGTGATCACTAAGTTCTGGGAATTTATCTGTCATTTCATTATTTTTCAACCAATTTACTTGAAGTTTTCAAGGTAAATGGGGAATGTAATTTTGGGTTGGATAAAACAGTCTCATTGTCATCTGATGTCACAATGGATAATTATTGTTACTATAGCAACATGACAAATGGCGTAGCGGGTCAAGTAAAATAAAAATGAATTCAAATTTTGCTTGATCCAAAGGTATGGTTAATAAATACCTATTTGGTGGATATATTTCTGTGATTTTCTATATTTTCAAATACTTCTAATACTTTAGTTTCTAAAGTAACATCTGTATTGTTATATAAGAGTGTACTTTGCTCTATTTTCGTATCTTTCATCAGCATCTCAAAGTCACAATCATGACTAAAAATAACGGGGAGTTATCTTCCATTATGTCTATGCTCCTTCCCATTACTCGAGCTGCCCATACTACTCTTGAAGAATTAGGGTTCACACAAGTTATTACTGCCCCATATTCACCAGACAATATTCACCAGATGAAGCACCACTAGGCTTCACTACATTTTGGGTGCTAAAGCATTATATGAGAGGTCATACGTTTGATTCCGATAATGGACTGATTTCAACGACTTGAGCAAAACTTCAAGGGATACCAAAGGGAGGACTGGAACACATCTTTATGGACTAAGTTTGTCAACAACGCATGTGCGTCCAGGCTAATGGAAACAATCATAAATGAAATGATCCTCTCAGCAATGAAGAATACTTCTGAATAAATGACTTCAAGAGTACTGTTCTGTCTCTAGTACAAGTAGTTTGAAGCAACCATCTAGGCAAGATGAATATGTTTTGGCAGGAAATTTTCAAATTAACATCAGTCAAAATTTCCTGACCCGCGAACCACTTTTACTTTTTTTGTAATTGCAATAAAATAAATTGTAGATGTGATATGTATATGAAGCATTGCTTGTCAATCCAAAATTATACAATGTACATCTGCTGAAAATTTCAACTCAAATGGTTGAGAAATCTTGAAATGGCAGACCAATTCCCAGAACTTAATGATCACCCTGTATATCTCTGAGATGTTGGTTTTCAATATAAGATTTTCACAGAATGTGAATGATCAAGTAAACAATTTTAATGTAACACATATTTGATTAGAAATGGTTACTATGATAGCCAAAAAGACGCCTACCTGCCAAAATGAAGGATGGTGTTAATCGTTCAATATATTTATTGAGTACAAATCAAATATGATTGTTCTTATTCAATATTACAATAATATGTTGGTTTCTCTATTAAGTATTACAAAATGTGAATGTTCTCCTCTAGGGTCTACACATGCCTGGATTGGTCTAAATGACAAACGATGGGTTCAGATGTATGAGTGGGTCGACGGTCAACCAGTTCTGTACACCAAATGGAATGTAGGAGAACCCAACAACTGGCGAGGGCGCCATGAAGAATGTGTCTTCATGTACAAAGATACGGGAGCAACACGGGTATAGTGATCCATGTTATTGACATTTCGATATGTCATAGTCTCTTCTTGAAAGTGTTTTCTTCTAATTACCCAAATGCGAGTAGGTAGTTACCAGTTTCACCACCAGGTGGCTGATTCGGGTCAATTAACATGGCAGGTATATAAGAAAGTTCCCTTAAGTGGGTCAATTTTCATATAACTCTTATGTGCCTAATACTTATACTAATGAAAATATGTCCAGTAAAGCAAAATATTATCTGTCTACTAAAAGAAAAGATATTTCATTTTTTGTGATTTTATAGCATGGGGTCTATGGGGAATCTCCCCGAGCCCTAAGTCACATTTTCAAAGAAAATTAATTTTTCAACGTTGACAAACACTTTTTAAAACCACATTTCTAAATGTAATTTTACACGTAGATTTCAAATATGATATTACTTTGACTGAATTTTGAATTTTTAATGACGTAAATCAAGATTATTTCTACTCGCATCTGGGTTATTAACCCATCATCAAGTTCTCGATTCATATAGTATAGTGTAGTGTAATGCAGGCTTGTTAGGCTATGCTTAGCTAGGCTAGGCTAGGCTAGGATGTTAGGCTAGGCTAGTCTAGTCTAGTATAGTCTATTATAATGTCGTATAGTATTCGTCATACCTTGCCCGTATGCTGTATATCATGTTTTGTTTTGTAGCATGGGCGTTGGAATGATGAGCTTTGTGACAGAAAATGGTCTACTGTTTGCCAGACGTCCAAGAAGGTTCTCCCACCTGGCCTAACTCTACCCCCAGAGCCTGGATGCATGCCAGTAAGACAATTCACATGCATATGGTGATCCAATGAAATCGCCCATTCGTCCGTCTATTCATCCTTTTGTTTTGTTGCCTATTGTTTGTCTGTTATCCGGTCTGTTATCATGCCAGTTAGATTGTAGTCTCGCTTTAATTCCGTGTGACCTCGCTAAATGCAATACTTGTGTGATCGGTATCCTAATACTAGTATACTTGCGTTTTAGGGCTGGACACCATGGCGATGGTCCTGCTATAACTTCATATTATCCGGAAGCACGTGGGAAGAATCTTTAAGAAATTGCCAGGGTTTTGGTGGATCACTCATCCGTATCGATGATAGGTTTGTACTGACATTTTTTCATGTACGTAAATTAAAAGTCGTAAAGAGCTTATAGAAAATTGTGTTCAGCCTTCATGATCATATCTAATTTTCATTATACAGTGCTGAGAACGCCTGGCTGTCAAGTAAGTTTGCCAGTAAGGAAGGGATGATGTTTTGGACAGATATGACTGACAAGGACAACCCAGGAACTTACATATGGAGTGATGGTAACCCAAACATACCATACACACACTGGGGCCCCAATCAGCCAGGTAGGGAGCCATGGACATGTTTTCATCTAGTTTCCAAACCAAACTAGACCTTATGATTTTATATGAAGCAAAAATTGTTAAAGATTGTTTTTTAACAAAATCTATGACACATATTTTTAGACCTCTGCTTGAAAAAAATAAAATTAAGAGTGATGGCTTTGTGCTTTCCGACCTCACCATGCTTTAATTTTCTATGACTACATGTACATGTATGTATGTTTTTGTTTTGCAATATCGTCGTTGATTGATATTTCTTTAAATGTTTGTAGATGACAGTACGGGGAATTGCGTGGCTTTTTCTGGAGGTGCTCAGACAGGGCTTTGGTTTGACGATAGTTGTTCAAACAAGAACCCATCAGTGTGTGAAATTCAGAGGACTGATTACACCACACCACCGCCTCCATCGACCCCTCTGTCCTCCTTACCATGTGCTGAGGGTTGGGTCAGCTACGGTGACAACTGTTTTCAGGTATAAGGAACACACATATTGTAGAGTAATAGAAACTAGTATAGCCTAATGAGGCAAATACTAGTACTGAAAACATTTGCGAGTTCTAATGAAAATATGATTTTAGATTAACTGGAACCACAATGGCAACTTTCTCCTAACCTGGGACGAGGCTCTTGTGGACTGTAGATCCAAAGGAGGTGACTTGGCCAGCTTCCACAGTGAGGCAGAGTATACATTCATATGGAGGAACTACATGATGTAAGTTATCGTTACTTGTTAAGTTGTACTAATTAAGACGATGAGATAATTAATTGCCCTATTTTTACGATCTTTACATCAGGTGAAACTGGTCACGCTTTTATCTTTGGCAATTTTTATTTAAATTAATGATGGTGGAGGGGTAAATGACAATATTTCACCCATTTTCATTCAGTGGTGAAACAAACGGCAATTATTGGATAGGACTTAACACTAGAAGTGGAAAAGAGGGGCATAAATGGTCGGATGGAAGTCCAGTGACTTTCACAAAATGGGCGGACGGCGAACCTAACGATTATAACAATGCAGAGGACTGTACCGTTGCGCATGCTCGTGCCGGCAGATGGAACGACATCTGGTGTTGGACCGGTCGAAACTGGATCTGTAAAATGCACAAAAGTAAGTGACCCATGTTTTTCTCATGTATTTAGAGGGGACCACGATTCACATTATTGGATCGGTCTAAACAGTCGAGGCGGGGCCGGAAGCGGCTGGAAATGGAGTGACGGTAGCCCAGTCACGTACACCTTTTGGAACAACGGGGAACCGAATAACTACGAGGGTAAAGGAGAGGACTGTGTCGAGGCCTATATACGAGGGGGACGATGGAATGACCAGTATTGTAGTTTAACACGAACATGGGTGTGTAAGATACATAAGAGTAAGTATGGACGGTTTGCTCACTTTATTCAATTCCACGCACGATTCAACTAACAATAGACATTTGAAAATGTAATCCAATGTAAATCCCATATCTTGATAATCATCATTAGCGTGTGTTTTTATTAGGTCTCGGCACCCCCATTCCTACAACGACAGCGCCATCTCCAGGACCACGTAAGTAACACACACATCTATGATTTTCTCAATACATCATTCTATCATTGATGAACATTGCTCATTTAACGCGTACGTTTATTTTATTATACTTATTTAATCTTTATTGTGGTTTTAATGAATTGTGTTTATTAAATTTCTAATTATAAATGAGTTACTGTGATTCACGCGTGCGTGTACGTCAGTCATGATCGAGTTGCGTATTGCTTTAGCTGATTGTTTGCCAATGCATTCTAATGTTATATTTTCAAAGCTGGAAGTTGCGCCCCTGACAACGACAGATGGCTTAGGTACAACGACAAGTGTTATTACTTCAGTAATCGCACAGAGCAATTCTCCTGGTATAATGCTAGAAGATTCTGCCAGCAACAAGGCGCAGATCTTGTGTCTATACACGATATTCAAGAGAGTAACTTCATTTATTCACAGGTATATAATTTGACATACTCAAAAGGCATTTCGTTTATATCACGCTGACATATTTTTGTGTTGTTATCATGATTGATTTCTTAATCTTACCCCTAGGTGATGAAAGGGTAGTTTTTGCATGCACTAAAATCGAATGAAGGAAAGGTTTTCAAAACTGACAATTTCAGCTTTCCAACGGTGTATCGGAACCTTAGTGCAGAAGTGGCCGTAATTTAAAAAGCGTGGATCTCTGTTCGCGAGTGGAGAAATACTATATGTGCGCGACAAAAGATTTCTCGTTCGCGACGTGAGAATCATGGTTCGAGCTCAAGGAACGTAGTTCGCCAGCTCAAAACTAATGTTCGCGTTGTTGGAAGCCTGTTACATGTACTTGCTTGGTTTTTGAGTCTTTCTTTTTTGCTTCTTTCCAATCACTCCTCTTGATATTGCCAAAACTATTTGGAGACGCCGGGAATTGAACCCGGGGCCTCTTACATGCGAAGCAAGCGCTCTACCGCTGAGCTACGTCCCCATCTTACAACGAGACAATATGCACCAATATAAAAAATGATCTTCTCCATAGTCCTGGCCTTAAAAAATTGCCACTTATTTTGACTGGGATAATGAATACCAGTAAGCTATATCTCTCCATATTTGGCAGGAAAATAGTTTCACACAGCTTTAGTGGTGAGAGTTATTCATCATTTCTAACCAAAGTAATATTATACTTGTACATCTGTATATATTTTTCACATGAATTTTGCGTGACTCTAGTCTGACCCCCAAGGGCCGTATGTGAGCCATTGTGGGGTACTCAAAATAAGAGAGTTCCTTGACTTTGTGATCTCGCTGAAGCATTTTATTACAAAAAGTCAAATGAAAGCCATTTAAGAGTATCTTTTTTCTGGCTCAAGCATCGGAAAATCCAAATGGTATGGGGATTCGCAGTAGTTTGGAAATTCGGAAAATACATGTTGCATCTTCTTTTTGATTTTTGCTCATCAAAATTCATAGTAGCCATTCAAACCAGAGACTTTAGAAATGAAAGGTTTAACCATCGATTTGATTTTTTGTAATCTTTTTTCAATTTTATGGAGTTGCTGTTTAACTGTTTTCCTTTTACAACAATTGAATAAAATGCTTTCAGGCCCGGCCGTCCACCGGACAGAGTGGTATGTGGATAGGACTGAATGAATTGGATTCGAAAGATGGATGGAAGTAAGTATTTCTTGCTCTCTGCAATTCAACATATTTTTCTTTACAAAAGTCGTCTTCTGTTGTTCCGATCGTTGACATAAAAGTTTATATTTCAAACCTAGAAAATTTCAGATAACTTCAAAATTCCTAGAATTAGACAAATGTACATATTTTCACCTATTCATATAGTACAGTATAATGCCAGTTATAATAGAACCATTTTATTTGATCCAAATCCGGAATCATTGAGACCAATGATGTATCATATTGACTGTTTATATTCAGATGGTCGGATGGAACTCCTAACAACTTTCAAAATTGGGATGCCAATCAGCCGAACGACTTTGGTTTCCAACAAACATGCAGTATTCTAACCGTCAGAAGTGGTAATTTTTCATTTCATTTTCATGTTTTCTTAATTGGTTAGCATGTGGAAACATCATGACTTGCATGTTTTATTTTTAATATTTTGTCTTATGTTTTGTTTATTTTTCACATGTGTTTTTGTCTCATGTTTTGTTTATTATATGACTGTTTTATTTTAAACAATAAAAGACACAAAGTAATTATTACAGGAAAATGGAACGATGACCATTGTGACATTAGGTTTGGTTTGATATGTAAGAAGTACCCCGGTGGCACCCCCGCCCCACCCACTATCCCGCCCCCAAGACCTGGCAACTGTCCGACAGACTATATAGAGTTTGGAGATAAATGTTTTAAATTTTTTGGCTCCAAAACTCAGAGGTGGACATGGCAAGATGCAAGGAAGGAATGTCATGCAAATGGCAACAATTATGATCTTGCATCTATTTCGAACCCTCTTGAACAAGGTATCCTGCATGATTAACACACCGTTGTACGAATACCCTTTAAAGTTAATAGCGTTTAAGTAATGGCCATTCGATATATTTTGCTGCAAGTTTCTGATATTGTCTTTAAATCGTTTGAGCAGTGAAAATGTGATTTCCGATTTCCTTTTTACATCTGTACATTTACAACCAAAGGAGGTAGTAATCTGCAGAAATTCTTTGTTCATCTTTCAATTAAAATACCTGACATTTTATAATTAATATCACATTTTAGCTTTCATCACGACCCAATTAAAGCTACAACCGCTGGGAGCATACTGGACTGGCATGTGTAAATGTAGAATCAACCAGTTCACGTGGGTAGACAACTCGGAGGTCACATTTACAAACTGGAATAGAGGAGAACCAAATGGAGGAAATAGGGTAAATTTTGATTTAGTGCATTGTGCCTAATAATTTTTGAATATCCGTTAATCGAACATGTTGGACAATGGTCTCTGACTGTTACGCGGTAAAAACATGATACAAATATACATGTCATATTCCGCAACGAATATGGCATATTCACTTACTGTGTATGACAGATTCAGCTATGGTATATGGCATACTCACTAACCAATGAGAACGCGATGCAGAAGTACGCATGCAGTTGTCAATTAAATCGATTGAACGGGCAAAAGTTTATATAAATTATTATATATATAATGATTACTGAATCAACAGGTCAGTGCATTGAATATTTCAACTAATACAGAATAACATACACCAGTGGTACCTGTCTTGTTTGATGTTGTTTCATATGATATGTGTTACACGCAAATACACACTTCAAAGGAAACATTATTACGCATAAATAAACGAACCTACGATACTTTCAGAAGTAATATCCAGCAATAACACGTAATAAACTTAGTCATATATAAGTATTCGAAGCGCAAACAATATAGGCAGCCCAGCGTAGTTTTACATTTAGAGTCGATTCGACCAATCTAATCGAGGCTTTATGTATCGAGCTTTCACATGCGGTATATGGCATATTCCACAGGTAAGTATGACATATTCCGCAGGTGAGTATCGGGTATTCACTGAAATCAATGTATCACTAATACCGCACAACCATGAATATATGCCACATTCCGCGTAACACTGACTTCATCAGTGAAACTAAATCATATGTTTCAAAGCATTTCTTGTAGAATAGTTAACGTTTTACGTGCATCCATCCACATTCAAATGAAATGGCAAGGAGTTATTAATGTTTATTTACAGGAAGAATGTGTCCACGTACTTGGGGCGAGATTTTTCGCTGGAAAATGGAACGATGCTAGATGTGACGCAAATTTAGGCTACATCTGTATGACTCTAAAACGTGAGTGATCAGCGCATGTATACTAGATGATGTTTAAAACAAAATTAAAATAATCAAACACCTGTCTTTTCTAATACATGCCATTTGTGCTTCATATTAGAGACATCCATTCCGGTACCACCACCGACGCCCCCTAACCCATGCCCTAGTGGCTTCCAGAGCTACGGGAACTCTTGCTACAAGGTGTTAACGGCCCTCCAGTCGTGGACGAATGCGAGAGACGCCTGCAAGACAGAGAGTGCCCATCTTACCTCAATCACCAGTCAGTACGAGCAGGCCTACATATACTTACTGATGAAGACGAGTGGTCTAACAGCCGATTCAGTTTGGATTGGTCTCAGTGACAAAAATGTGAGTATCGTCAAAAAGCATAAATTCCAATACAATAAACTGATAAAAGTTTTTTTCACGAGATCTGATATTGGGATTTTAGGAAAAAAACATGAATTTATAAGGCAATTTTCTTGTTATTACAAGTTTATACTGCTCCTGTCTTCACTTCTGATTAGGGGGGGGCAGTCACGCGTTTTTATTACGCTTATTAAAATGTTTATAGGTTCCTGGTACCTTTTTATGGGAGGATAACTGGCCAGTTGTGTACACAAGGTGGGACAAAGGACAACCATCTTTCACGGGCGGTGGTTGTGTTAGCATAAAACAAGATAGCCATTGGAAGGATACTTGGTGTCTAATGCAGCAACCAGCTATTTGCAAATTTACAACAGGTTATGTGTATTACATTTTAATATAATGATGTTGTATTATGTCCTGTTATTCTGTAGAAGTTCAAAAATCAAAATTTACAGGCATATGTTCAGGTATTATTATCAACTAAAACTGTGGAAATGAAACCCAAAGGTAGTCATAGAAAGAACATTAAAACCTCCATTTGATCTCATGTATTAGATTCTCAAATGACATTTATTAAGGTATAATTTTATTGAATTGAGTACTACCAATACCATTTTGAAGCATGTGGTAACCTTAAGTTATTTTATCAAATTAATTAATTACTTTTTAAGGATCTTTATTATAAGTCTCTGTCATCAATTGCTTTGGTCATCGTTTGTAATAATGACTTTGGAAGGGAAGGATTTTTTGCCACATGCATATCAATTTTCAGACCTAATAATTGAATTACAATGATCTCGTTTCAGATTCGCCACCAGTACCTACCCAGCACCCACCTGGTCCTGGAATGTGCCCGGATGCAGACGAGGACCATGATTGGTTACATTTTAATGGATATTGCTACTTCATATATCATGTGAGAGGTTTTACAACAAACATGTTTAAATATATTTTTCATATTAATTTATTTTCCACCATCTGAAGTAATACATGTAGTACATTAAAGAAATACAGCCCTGCACTTATGCAGTGATTCAATGGTTCATAATGCATTTTTATGTAACCACTAGAAGTGGTGCCATATTGTTGTTATAGTCTTCCACTGTTTAGTGGATGACGGTTGGCATTCAGTGGTTGGTGTTTGATGACTGTAGCAAATGCCAGGTGGTGACATTTGCATGTTAATGCATTTTTAAAGGTTTATCGAGCCCCCTATAACGGGAAAAAATAAAGATTTATTTTTTAAGCATCTCTGGTAAATTGTATAGAATATCAAATTAAATCTAAAGTCAATGGGAGCCCATTTACAGGTGTTCAGCTTTAAATCCACCATAAGTTTGGTAATCGGAATTTCTGCGAGACTGTATTCATATTTTGTTTCAATTAATACACTAAAAAATCTTGCTGATGAATCTGTTCACGTCACCAAACATAGGCAGGCTTTAACTCATGGTCTGATAGATGAGCCCAGTTTTTGAAACCATTGCAAGGAAATAAACATTTTCACAACATTTTAGGAACCAGATAAAAACTTTGCCGAGGCTGACTTTGAATGCCATACTAGAAATGCTGAGCTTGCATCTGTACATAGCAAAGAAGAAGACAATTTCATCGTTGCTCATTTGAGAGAATATGCAAGACATAAAGTTTACATTGGCTTCTGGAGAGGACTAACAGGTTGGTCTATTGTTAGTTATATATAAAAAATCCATAATGTAATTTTGTATTAGTTATACATGATTTCACTTTGATTTCGTTCCGTGTTATTGTTACAGACAATTAAACAGTATTTTTGTCTAACATCATTCCTTTTCATACCTTTTTCTAAAATTCAAGAGTTCATAACTAGTCGACTAGATGCGAGTAGAAATAATCTTGATTTACGTCATTAAGTATTCAAAATTCAATCAAAGTGATGTCATATTTGAAATCTACCTGTAAAAGTACATTTATCACTGCATGTTTCAGTCCAAATATCCCATCTTCTGTTGTGGATTTTTTCTTAGCTATATATGCTCCGTATATTCTATAGCATATGTATTCATCTTGTTCATCTTGCTATAGAGGGCTTTGTTTGGAAAGATGGAAGTCCAGTTCAGTTTACAAACTGGGGAAAGAATGCCCCGTCAAATCAGACCAACACCGGCAATGCTGACGACGACAAGAATTGTGTTGAATATAATCCAACCGTGGAAAAATGGTTCGATCAAGTTTGCTGGGCAAGACGAGGATATGTTTGTAAAACTAAAGCATGTAAGTTAAGACAGTATTATTTTAAAATATTGATGAATAGTTCTAGAAATCGGGTTCATGATAAAATATAAACGTGGTTTTAAATTTGATATTTTGTCACGCGACCCTACATTGAAGCTCAACATGTACATTCGTTGAAGTTCTATATTTATACAAAATATATTTATGAAACGGGAAATTAAGACACTCAAGATACTGAAAATATTTTTTATATCATTTGAAATAAAAAGCATGCGTCGGCCGGGAATCGAACCCGGATCTAATGCTTGGAAGGCATCAATGCTAACCTTTACACCACCGACGCTTCGTGAAAGCTAACGTGAAATATACATATTTGTTTAAAAGAGTCTGATCAGCTGTTACTCCATTGAGCAGTATATTCATTGTAACATTATGTTAATCTAAGAAATGCAGATTCTTGGGAAAGGAACATAATATGAATGCAGCACAATTAAGGTTAGAGAGAAACAGACTTGCAAACTTGATGTGTTGATTATTGATTTGTATTTTCAGTATACAACACAGGTGATACAACCACCAAATCTTCTGCGCTTTTCACAACAAAGTATACTAAAATCACATTACCACCTTGGAGAACGACCCGTCAAGGCTGGACGTGGCCAATTGTTTGGACAACGCAAGGACAAACTGCATTACCAATAACACAAGGTACATGTATGATAGTGTCAATTGCAGTCTACCATGGCTTCACTGGTCAATACTGGTATACGTATAACCTCAACTGAGAAATTTCAAAAAGCTGTCCTTTTACCATTTAAAATTCCATCAATTCAAATATGAGCTGCTTCGTCAAATTAAAATTAAGCAACTCCGATAGACGCTGGGTGTTTAGGAGTCATTGACAGATGAACTTCGCAAAAGTTTAAAAAAGTCCTTTGCTCTCTCACTATGCTGTCATTACAACAATTGATTAAGGAATCCCTAACTTGTGGTTTGTGATATATCACTCAATGATGTTAACTTGCTTTCTGGTGAATACCCTTTCAGCAACATAGACACCAAAGGATGATATATTTTCGAAATTGAGATTTGTATAATGATAATGATATTTCTATAATCGGATCAGAGGTTTGTGCTCTTAGATGTTTCTTTAGCTGCACCTGAAATTCGCGCTCTGGGGTATGTGCCCCATTTTGACCGGCTTGTGCTTAAATATATATTTATATTTTTATTTACATTCCAGGTCCACCAACAAAAAGCTCGTCTATCGGGGGTATAATCGGGGGTGTAGTAGCAGGTGTGGTAGTAATATGCATAATAGCAGTAGCTGTGATATTTTACAACAAAAGAAAATCTGATAGGCCACTTCTGAAACCAGACAGTAGCTTTGAGAATCCTGGGTATTCAGTTACATCCGGGACAGTTAATATGGGCAACAAAGATGGAAGTGAAACGTACACATAATCTTTCCACATTTGATTATAAATGATGTCATTATTTACATATTTTTCGTCATATAATAGCAGATCTAGAAAACACATTTGATTTTACTTTCTTATTTGTGTTAAGGTCCTTATTTGTTGAGATCTTGCATATTTTGTGCTGCCTGCTGCAGATCATTATTTTTGATACATGACTTAAAATGTGTTGTTGGATAGAAAATAGGGAGTTTAATCATGCACTGTTTTTTCACAACCTAAACGTGAACGGGAGTTATTAAAGCGATGCAATGTCTGTATGGGCGATTGGACATCTGTACAGGTTGGCGTTTCGATTTTTATGCAAACTTAAACTCCCCAATGTCTGGCAACGTCGTCGGCTGTTAACTGTCCCACAATAAATTTGTAAGTTAACTTGATACATAATATTGATAAGTTGACATTAATAAAAAGTGATAAATATAACAAATCGTTTCTTTTAATTATTTTACATATAATATGTATTGCACATTCACTCTTGTTTTCTAATATACTATATACACAATCAAAGGTCATCTACATTTTTTCAATCTACATTGCAATCTCAGTTTATCGTGTATTGATTGTCTCTTACGTCAGGTAATTGTGATTTTCGGTTGTCGGACCTATGAAAAGCATTTTTGTAGAAACTGTGCCTTGTAGGCCAAGCCTCGCCCTGTGGACCTCCGTCAAAACCTGTAATGGCATTTAGGATTTGAAATATTAATTTTTTTTTATTATTCGTTAAATTGCGTCTTTACGTCCATTTTAAATCACAGATAAATCCCATCGCTTCCATCAAGATAGATGTCAATCTCAATGTCAATAATAATAGTTCCATTTTAAATACTAATATAAACGATACAGATTGTATAATGTATGCCCTGTCACTTCTGTCTAAAAAGCAAATTCTGATTTTATTCAGCTAATAACATTGGTAATGTAACATAAGATAACCTGTTTCTACAACTTTGTTCCCAAATTATCGTTAGGCTAAACATAAAACGATTCGCTTCTTACCATTTACACAAAGCGTTTCTGCTGGACCCTTTGATGCCTTCCTTCTAGAGAATGACTGTCCACCAGACAGTAATGTGACACTCTCCTTATTCAATCTTGGCACATCATGGTAAAATACGCCACCCTCTGAAATTGATGAAATTGCTCTTATATCATGATGGCTGTGACATGACAATTCATACATTTATATTATTCCCACCTGGTGGGGAGTGTCCTAAGGGTGTTGGTAGTTAGTACTAGTTAAGAAGGCTTATATTGCACTCATACTATATTGACTTTAGAAATATTTGACGTATAGCGGCGGGCCATAATGGATATTTCAGCCCGGTAATGTTCCCCGGGAGAGATATCGTACAGTGCGTATAATTTTTGTTCAGTGGCAATTCGTTCTTATTAAATCTTGCTGAAAACACTACAGAGATCAATCTTCTACCAGAAATGGATCGAATAATGGAACAAAAACGGGTAATAGGGTGATCAAAATTAAAGAATAACAAGTTTCAAAAGCTTGTTTTGTCTTATCTTGAAAATGAGCTACCGCCCACTACCACTCCCACTACCACCGGTCTAGTACAGGTAGTACTTGATTATCACATTTGGCCCAGAATAGATGAAAACTTTCCTTTATTGCAAAATAATTATACCTCTTGATGATGAAGTTACTTGATGAACCCTTTAGATATTTATGATTATGTAATTTTTTGTAAATTTGACATACTTGACAGTATAAAAATTAGCTAAAAATTGTCTCAGGTCGGACGATTTAATTTCAAGAATATCTATTCATCACTCACAGAGTTGTGTGATGTTTCGTGTCGGGTACAGTTACTTTGACAGTATACTGTATTATGTTTCACAAAACTACCGTCGGATCTATCAATTGGTATTACCTTCTGTGGGAGGTGTGACTCTTCTCTTCAATGTTACAAATGGTTTCGTATTCAGCATGTGAACCTACGAGTAGAAAACGAAGTTAAAAATAGTTAAAAAATTGAAAATCACATATTTGATATATAAAATTGAGAATATCGACCTGCAAACATATCCGTTGGATCATCCAATTACCTAGTCACAAATGTCAATTTAGACCAAAGCTTGTATTTCATTTAACATTAAATTGTAACCCTTTAGAAATTACTAAAAATCTTTTCTAAAGAAACGATATCGACTTGTTCTATTATACAAAGAACACTTACAAAGAAAGACATGAGGATGACTTATTCACAAACCTTGGCATCAGCAGGTAAGATTCTTTCACATTTTGCAAAATTCGCTCTTGTTTCATCAATCTGATGATCTATTGGAACTGGAAAGAAATATTTTGCTTCTGTGATTTATAATACCCATATATGTACAGTACGTATATATATCATTGAATCATACACTCCTTATTACAAAGGTGGCATTGCGTATTGTGTGATCTGAACAGAAAACTGTTCACTTAAACATACTATTGTATTGTATTGTAGTGTAGTGTCCATCTTGTATTTCCAAGGTATGATGAAAATCAAACTGGGAAACGGGTATGTGTAGTGCCAGCGTGGTTGAAATGAAGGAATAATGAAAATACTAGCTAGTGATAAGGCTCCTGCAGGAGAGGAAGCAATTGGAATATTGACAATGATCCATTTGGGTCAGATTGCATGTCGCGTTTACGTACAAGTTCTCTTAAAGCGTGTAGCTTCATTATGATAAACCATGACATCTCATTTCTTCTCAGCCCTGAGATTTTTCAGGTGAAACAGAAAGATGCTATGAGTATCAGAATGAATGAATATAATTGTATGATATCTTACCTATTGTATTCACTAATGGATGTGGATCCTTAGAGGTGTACAATGACTTTGTGAAGCGCCGTTCACTACCAAGTGGTTTAGGCCCATACGTCGTTCTACTGATTGACTGGCTATTGAACGTCCTGTCTTGTTCGCCATTCTCGGAACTTGTTACGTCACATACTCTCTGAAACGTAGTCTCATTTGATTGTCGCGTATTTATCATCCTTGAAGTATGAGATTTGAGTACAGTGAAGATATTTTAATATATATGTTTAATTTCCTTTAATTTTACTTTAGAATGTTGTTGACAACTAGAGAGGTACTATACGTGTTTCCCAAGGGCAGTAGTTAACAAAGGAACATTGTGTTAATCGGATTTCGTTTAATAAGTTGGTTAACAACACAAAGCAAATAGGGATACAATGTATACAATTTAACAAATGGTGCTGTTAATATAATTGAATTAGTACCATTGTTAATACAAAGTTATTGTGAATTTCCTAAATCGATTATATTAAGTATTTTAAGTTGCTAAATCTTCAAGTGGTAGCCCAATAAAATATAGCGTAATATATTACAAATTTACGTCTTCAAATGATCATTCCATTTTGTCGGTATCATAACAATGCAAGTTGTTGATAAATTATATCAGTAAATCACAATTCAAAGCTATTAAGTAACATATATTTTTCGTGTGCAGCTTGTTTCCACGAAAAACTCTCCATGGAAAATAACATATAACATTTTCATCAAATTTTCAAAGATCTTTTTTATTTTCATCATAAAAAGTGGATCTTACAGTGGATAAATGGCAGATTTGTTCAAAGATCGTTATATTTTTATTGCATTTGATTCTACGTTACCTCATTGTTAAAACGTCGAATGTGATAGACATTTTTAGAGTGTGGATTGTGTGCTCTGTTGTGGCTCTTAGAAGGGGGTAGATCAGGCAGGGTCGGGGAAGGACCCGGGGTGAACTTCAGGTTATGAGTGCGTTTTGTCATGGATTCCCAGTTGCTAGGCTCTGCTACCAGAGGGCTATAAATATACAATTTTATTAAATTTACGTAAACTCAGAATATACATGTATTTTGAAGTAACAACCACAAGCGGTGACATACATGCATTGTAATAGTCTCCAACTTTTCTGTGGTCGGTGTTCAGCTTCTGGCGTGGCGGCTGGCGTTCGGAGTTAAGCGTCTGTAACAAATTGCAGATGGTGATATTTTGCATTTTAATGCCTTGTTGTATTTATCACGGTACAAGTAGTAAGAAATTAGATTTACATTCGAAATCAAACAACATTTCAGATTTGCAAAATTGATTACATATTAATAGGTCAACACAACAGACTTTCAAGCAAAATAGAATACTTAACAGTTGCACGAAAATATTATATTTATAGTCAGTATATATTACTTGGAATTAACATGGGTAGTCTTCCTTTGCCCGTAGCTTTGGGACGCTTTATCCATTCTTACAGATATCTTATCAAGTCAGCTAAGTGTTTCCAGCTAATTATCAAGTCCATAGAATTTCATGAGCACTGATAAACCTCTTCACTCAACACATCAACAAATAAAGGTAAAAGATAAACGACCCGATCGAACTAAACATCAGTTCCCTGAATTTGTAGACGACAATATTGCCATACTTCAGTATTAAGAATATCCATTAAATCCATCTGTAACTTTACATTTTTAGAACTCTGATCACTTTTTCTTGAAATCACAATTTCCTGAACGCTTGTCCAAAATCAAATGTCAATGTCCTATCGTCTGCAACAGCTGAGGATGAATTTCCTGGGATAACACTTGCTTGACAATTTGTCGCCTTTGTATTCTCAAAAACAAAATGGGTTACTATGCCTGAATCTTAAAACCTGTTAGAATGGAAATCGAGACACTGGGAGTTGTTTAATTAGTAAATTGTTTTGACTGCATTGTTGAAATCGATGCTGATCGAGAAAGGATTTGGTAGGAAATCAGTGTTTGCTTTTCCCTTTCCACAATAGTCGCGAATGCATAAACGGAAATAAGTATTTGATTTACTTTGAACAGACTGACATATCAAACACAACACTGAATTTCAAATGATTTGTTTCTGAAGTATTTAAAATTACTGGAATAAAAGATACATTTTGAAATAGCATGCAAGATGCATGAAGATATGTTATTTCATAAAACATGTACCACTAAATGTATTACAGGCTAATAGGATAGAGACCGGGAGAAAAAGACAAACAACGAGACTGGAAAGCAAACTCGCAACTCCATGTTTTTATAACGGGTGATTTGGGTAGATTTTATATTTCGCAATGCTGACCATGCACTTTTTGACGACCCTTTGCATTTATTCGACTTCAATTCTTAAAAGAGAGCTTCGTCTTCGGTAGTTTATAACTAGACTCTGCGTGCAGGGTACTTTTTGACCATATAACAATATTCTAAGATAAAAAAAACATAGTTCGAATAACATTATATTATGAAGTCTATTCTAAATCTAAAATAGATTTTAAAAGTGTCGAAAGTGCCTAGTTACGCCTCTGAAATGTGACTTGCGGACCAAACCCCTTAAATTTATTTAGCATATCAGTAACAAACTAACTAATTTCCTTTTTGTGATTCAAAAGAATTGGAAACCCCCCAAGTCATGGGCGATATGGTTACGGATACTAATACCTATACCTATATTGATGGCTATTTACTGTATAATAGGTAGCTTATTTTGTTTATTATTGGAGATCGAAGATTTATAGTATTCGGTAAATATTGTACGCAACTAAATAGCATAAGATAATGGATATGCCCTGTAATTTTACAGAATAACATCGATTTCCCATTCCATACTTAGAGATATTTATGTTGTAGTAAACATGATACCAAGCAGCCATACATGTATCGCATAAATAATGGTTACAGTGTTGTTCCATAATGACATGATAATATAAATATCAAGTTTTTAATAACCCATCAATTTTAATATATTTAATGTAATTGAATGTAGGCAAAGTTGATAATTAATGTTAATGTTCAATTCACCTGTTATTATTGTTGTTCGTAGGCTATGTTAATTTATACTTAATTTAAAATGTTATAATATTGCTATATTATTCGTTTTGTTAATTTATCAGTAATTAGTTTCGCTTTTTATAGAAATGAGTATTTATTCATTTATTACCTATTCATGTGTTCAGCTTTAAATGGGTATATCCCCGGCTGTATATTTATACTCCTGTGCTTTTTCTCCAACATTGTTGCGGTCTTCTGTGCTCCGTTTATTTTATGATAAATAAGAACGGTTGTTTACGATAACTCATTTCACCATATGATCGTTAATCTCATTGTTTTGAAATATTTCTACCCGATTACTGTCCTTTAGACGCTCGGTTTTAATTAACTGTAGTGCTTGTATGGCCTGAAAACCTGACTCTGAAATGTCAACATTATGACGTAATTCGTCGATTGTGTATTGTATGCTGGTATATTATTGACGTGTCATAGATAGCAATATTTGCATGCAGGTGACATCTATCTTAGATTATGTCTGTTCATACTGAAAGAGTGGAAAACTGGAAAGATTGAGAAATTCTTTTGACGACCACGTATAACGTTCGTTAATCATTCATTTACTTAACAACTTGACCCTACATGTACTTGAAAACAAAATAAAAAGTAAAAATAGTTATGTTGGTCCAAATGTTTCAATGTGAACTTCCAATTGCAAATAAGACGTGATATCAACATTTAATCGTATATCGCAGAGTAAAGTAAGTAAACGGTACTTGTTCACCAAGCATGAAACAAAACTTTTTTTACATTTGAAAAGATGGAGCTACATCATGAAATAAATAAAAAACAACTAAAATAGGTTACCGTCAGAGTCCTTAGGACAAACTAGAAACGATGACAGAAGTTATCGTTTCTTTAATGTCATCTTGGTAAGGTTTTGATATTACGATATCAAGCACGAGAGACAACTTGAATCACCACCTATTGTATTCTTCATAAAAATTGAATAAAACATTATTTTGAAACGTAAACGTATGTTTATTATTCAAGCTTTAATGTGTGTCAAGTAGGCTATCAATTGTATTAGTTATTGGCGTGATTGCTGGAGTCAGGCACTTGAACCGTCGCGGCTTACTTTTATTCACATTTTACAACATTAGACATTAATAATGACATTAACTTACATGTACATATAAAAATAACAACTTAAAAAACGAAGTATGGTTCCATCTTATCTTGACGTCATGTGTTGCAATTTACAGTCCACCCGGTTATTTCAATTTGAGGTCCGTGTAATTTCGTATTACATTTTGTCATGGTTTATTAGTTACTAGTGGACCACAAATACAGGTATGTTTGCATGGTGGAGTACATAGTCACTAACACTGCCTAATATTGTGCGTCGAAGTTTTCCCAAACCACGTGAACCAATGACGATGAGTTTAACATTCAGCTCTTGTGCTGTCTCGCATATTCCTTCACCAGGTTTGCCAACCTTTGCCCAAGCTTTACATGCCCCCATCTGGAATTATAAGACAATGATAAATTACAAACTTCATATTATAAAAACAAGTACGTGGTCGGTGTAATACTACTTAGCTCAGCTGTGATTGGTATTCAACTTTGTTTTAATCATTTTGCACTGTCAATAATAACAGGTATGTATTTTTCTCAGCTGTTATAACTTGCATGGAAAATGGGGAGTCAAGGTTTTCAATAGTTTGGGGGAGGCGTATCTTCTTAACTCACCCCTGCATCCTTGGCCTTCTTCTGGTATTCGTTTAGATTTGCTCTGGCTTTTGCCTGTGACTTCCTCAACACGTCAGCCCATATCTCCGCTAAAATCAAGTTCAAAATTTTGAAGGAATTAACAATGGTGGTATTTACGATACATAGTTGATCTGGAATTCAATGAACCCACCCCTCTCAAGCATGGAACAACATGGATGTGTTTGGATATGTTAAGAGCTCTCAGTTATACTAATTTAAAATTGTTTCTCTCAATATCCATATTTGCTGCCAACAATTAATGGCATAATTTTTACATTGATGTTGCAACGAGTTAATTTTGTTTTTCAAGCGTTTACATTTTCAGCAAAGAGGGTTTACATCCATGTCCATTGATTGTATAAGTTACAGCATTATGAATCTAGAATTCTTTGGTGTGAGAGATACATCCAGTTATGGCCCTTTGAATATGCAATGTCTGTTTCGAGACCATCCCCCTCATACTTCTGGACATACATATAAAAGGCGTTGGAAATATGATTAGTTTGACGATTTACTCACCTGAAGATGCCATAAATGCCGAGGGAGGAGGCTCTGGATAATGGACATTCACGAAATGCACGACGTTCTCTGGCTTGTGTAGAGTTTCTGCATAAACTACAAGAAATGTACATTCATATGATGCATATCGGTACACATATAACAAAAATCATGAAAATGCGCAGTTTTCTCAAAAAGACGAATCATGTTTTTGGGTATCGCACTTTGAGACCAATTTTAGACCCAAAACATAGATGTTGGCCAGATCGTTTTGCAGTAGGATCTCATAGTCTCAAAGAATAATTTATTGAGCTGCTGAACCTACTACAAAGGAATCTGGCCGGTGTAAAAGGGTAGGAGGTCCTATCAAATTATGGTCCTACTCTTCATTGATTTATATGATGACCGATTTCCCTTATTATCTTATACACAATCAGGGCCAGGAAGGGTCGTTAAGAAGGGGGACCATAATCCCTAGGGGACCATAATTTCTTTCACACCGGGATCTATGGCCCAATATGAAAGAAATATACCATTCCACTAAACCCCTGCAACCTTTTGATAATCATATATTATTATATTATTATTATGAGCTTTATTATACTTGTATCCCACATTTGGGCAAAGTGTACAGCTTAAACAGAAAAAAATGAAAAAGCTTAACTAATTATCTATATAGTATATTAACTAATCAAAGGGTGCTTGATCATTGCAAGATTTAATTGGATGCACAATATATTATCAATCTAGCCAACATATAATAGCTTTTTGATATATCAAAAGATGGCGGGGTTTATTGGAAAGATCTATCAGCTCCTATACACTTGCGTCTTCCCCATCCCCAATCCCCCGATCCTATATGAGGCAATTCTATTTTTTCAATGTAACAACTTGCTCGCCTGTAATCTTACCAGGTTCTACTGATTTATTTCAGAGTGGCTTTATAGTTGTAGCCTCTGAATTATCAAATATGCACCTTTTTGTGCTCCTATAAAAACACCTGTGAATGTTGCAATTGCCCTTTGCAGTTTTTTAGTAACTCAATTTTTTATAAATGTATATGCCGCAGAAAATACTGTGAGGAGAGTGGATTAGGAAAATCCAAATGTTATTTTCCCGTTGTGACTTTTCTCCAGGGATACGAGGCATCAGAGAAAATCGATGAGTATCGTGTATGTTAACAGTGAACGTTCAATGACATAATACAATTTTAATGATTTTTGAACAGAAATGGGTATACTGTATACATTACATCTCCATGGGTTTTTAATTTGCAATTTGTTGGTTTAATTACGTGTTGTATTTGATCTAGCAACCGAATAGACGTGTTTTATTTGTTTTTTCATAGTTTCAATTGCTCATTTGTTTAATTTTTGTCTGTTTGCTTGTTTGTTTGTCTACTTGTTTGATTGTTTAACATGTTTGTTTTAATAAACTCATGTCACGTGGTCAAACACGAATTAATTACTACCCACAGAAACAAACATGGTATACATCATTCTTCGTGTACAATAGAGCCAATAGAGTGAATTTTAGTAAACATTTTTTTGTCATTCCTAGCTATACGATAAAGAATATATTTTTTATCACGGGTTACACTAAAGCATATAGAAATCCGTTTTATATTAAATAAACTGAATGAGGTTGTTTTGACGTTTCAAACGTGAGAAAAACTGTTTAGCAAGACTTTTTTGACGAATGAATAAGTATGAACTACAAGCAAAAATAAATATTGAAAATACGAACAAAAGTTATGACTTACAATAGTCTTAAGTTAGTTGAGTTTTAATCTATTTCATTACTATTCGGCAAGTGGGAAGACAATCCAGTTTAGGTAACCCGTACGTTCACATTGTATCTATCTGAATAATTACAGTGCAATAACCAGATAACACTAGTAGTGAAAATCCCCTGTTCTAGTGCTATTTTGTTATTACAGAAGTGCCAAGTACAATAATGAGGCCTAGCCTACATTTCCTGGCAAGTCAATATTGCATTCATCTAATTTCCTTTTCTTAGTTTTCATACACTTCAATAATCTCAACACTCAGTGCATTGGTGCAAAATTGAAAGATGTAGATAATGTGGGGAAGGAGGAGTCCATATTTGAAAAGAAAAATATGACTCTATGAGGATTGCATCGAAATGTTCGAAAGTCCCGTTTAATCTTAATAATAACGTTTGTGTGGTTGCAATCCTTTCTTTGCCATAGCTTCACCTCAGCTCGGTTCTCAAGGGAGGAACCCTAAAGATTTGAATGCAAAATGCCTTGACAAGTGACCATGGGTTACTTACATGTAAACGCCTTTAGCGCACCCTCACTCTCATCTACGGGAATTAGAACCACTTTATCCACAAGTAGGTTTTCCCCTGTTGGTTCAGATGCCATTTTGGTATTGATCGCGGTGGATCTCACCCGTGTTCGAATGGTAGGTAACGAGGAATATTCACTGTCACAAAGCTCTTCGATCGGTCTTTGCTATTCCTCAATCCTCAGTAGTAATGTTGATATCCGATTGTACTTTTCATTGGGCTTAATTACCAAGAGCTAGCCTCTGTATATCTGATTGTTCCAGTACATGTAGATCACGTTTTAACAGTACAGCTGAGTGGCCTTAAAAGAAATGGTTGATATTTATCGTGCATAAACCTCCTAGTTCATGACCGTAGATATCTTTGAAACAGTGATCTACTAACAATTTTGTTTAAGGTCACACAGTTAATCTATCCTTAATAAAAATTCGTGTAAACAAACCGATTGCTCATATCAAAGTCACGGTAGACAATGTTGTGTTCTCGCCAGCTGGAGAATGAAGATAATTCCGTGAAGGAAATATTGTTTTTTCTCCTGAACTATTTATATACCAATGCCTATGCAGCTATATGCATGAATACAGTATATTACACATATAGCTGAAGAACATGAGTAAAAATATCGCGCTTGTTGTGATGGATATCTACTGTGCAACGATTGCTAGCTGACAAGGTCAATGCAACACTATAAATTGCTTCTTTTCAAACAACGCTTTGAAAGATGGCAGGTGCATTCAAAGCTATAAACGTCGACATGACATGCCATTGCAGAAAGTGCACTCCTCCCCTTAAAAGACTGGCTCCAATAGGGTTTTACATTGAATGGTGAAATCATTAAAAACAATTTTAAAAGGTCAGAAATGACAATATATTTTTTTAAATCACCTATATAGATTTGATGTGACCCAATCATAACTCCGAAGATTATTGTGCAGGGATGTAGAATATATTTTATGAAAGTATACTATGACATAAAGAGATAAAATAAATTGGATGCATGTTTGAATGTACGCCGAGTTGACAAAAAAGCATCCTTCAAGATTGGACCGCATCGCTGAGCTTAAAAAGAATTAAAACACCTAGCCTTGGACCAAAGATAGGTTACATCATTATATAGCATACAAATTACGCATACAGGTTTAGGTCACAGTGAAAAATATATGTCTGGGTATGCAGAAATGGAGTAAAGTTAATCATTGTCAGCCATGTGTTTGTGAGATAAATTGATATCTTTCTTTTTATACTTGTTAAGATGAGTAAAAACAATATGTTTAAGATACTTCCCACTGGCGGATTAGGGGGGCCCCCTTGGGTGGGCCCAGAAAAAAATATTTGGCCCAAAAAAATTTTTGGGCCAAAGAAGGCCTTCAGGCCCCAAAAAGTGGGCCTTTTTGGTCATTACTGGGCCTTTTAAGGCCTTATTTTTAATTTCAGGCCAAATTTGAAGAAAATGGGCCTCAAAATTTCAAAATTTGGGCCCACTTTTGGGTTTTAGGGGCCCAGACGTTTTTTTCTCTGACCTGAAATTTGGGCCCCCCCCCCCTTGTTGGTTCCCAGATCCGCCCCTGCTTCCGCACGATTCATTTGTAAGATTGGTGCATTTTCCTATTTTTAAGCTTGTAACTTAATCTCTGATTACAACAATTATTAACATTTGAGAAATCTTCATTTGTGCTTTCGTGGTTTGCCCTTAATTTCTAATGCCTGGGTCATATTTGCTCTGATCCATCGGCCGGCGCGCCCCTCCCGATTGAGTGTTTTGTTCAATATTGTAATACTCAATCGGGCGGGCGCCGTAGTGAAAATCAGAGCAAATGTGACCAAGGCATCACTGAAGTTTCTGGCAGGTGACTCAAAAAAACGAACTTCATACTTTGTGTTCTCTGCGCTTGCATGCAGTGTCATGGAGTATACTCTGGTTGATTGGTGACGATTGAGGAGTTGAACTAAAAAAATTAAAAGGACCTACAACAACGCCCCAGGCGGTCACCCATCAAAGCACTACTGGGGGAGTGAAATAAAAGGGATATCGGATGCACTGAACCAATGTGACTACACACGTACTATCTACATGTAGCAGTCCATTTTACTTCTTTTAATTGACATGTTAATTCATATATAGTAATGCGTTCATGGATAACAAACAAAACGCTGTTTTACATCATTAAATAAATAAAATATATTTAGATATATTTTTGAGCCAATTCTAGAATGCAAGAGTATATACATATTTATAAAACAACAGAAACATGGAGATGTACAATACAATGCACTGTAAATCGTAAATCCACTATATGTCTACAATCGGGATCCAAAAGGAGAGACTTGATGCTCAACTCCCCAATGACGATTTTCAAGTCAGATGTGTTCAGTAGCAGCTACAGAAGATTGTTGTTCCCTGGAATAGCCAAGACCAATTCTGATTTATTGAATTAATAGTCGAATGTGCATAGTGTTAAAAAAGCACTAGTAACCAACAGTGAAATACATGAAAAGGTTGTTCCTGCCGAACTGGTGCATTCATCATTCATGCCTGGATATTTCTTGTCCCTGATATTATCACAATGCGTCTTAGAGTCGCCAAGACATGCAGCGAATTTCATAACGTGGAAGATATAGTTTTGCTCGTGAGTCGTGTGGAAGAGGTGCGCCATTGGTCCACGGGCATATATCCCAACGTCTGTCAAATCGTGGCCTGTTTCTTTCATTGGTATGGCAGCCGGGTATTTGAAATTTCTGTTTTCTGTAACATAATGATATCAATCAATCTACATTAACTAATGAAGTTATCAAATGTGATGTCGACCTATTCAAAAGCTCTCGAGAAAACTGAATCAAGGGTTTGCATTTGCAGAGAGCGATACGCTTACTTAGATCATCATTCGTTAGGTTTGTCCTCGGTGCGCTGTCATTAAAGTTGGGTCCTTCTGCATAAGCAATGACGGTGTATGGTTTCCCGTCCACTGTTGAAAAAGCACCACCCCCTGATGTATGGGACGAATCGTCTGTGTAATCAGTGTTACCTGGCGAATATAAATTCTAAATATGATTTGTCTCGCTTGGAATATCATTAGTTTCTCATGATGCAGTCTTTAGAATAAGATATGAACATGTTCTCTTTAAAATGTGTAGTTAAACCTCCCTTTTGAGATGAGCAATGCAGCCATTGAACATGGACCATTACCTGTGACCGGGTTTCCTCTCTTGGCGTATGAGCCTGTAATTATAGGTGTTGAGTGGTCCGAAGTGACAATGATCAGCGTGTCCTCCTCGTCTGTCACATCCATACCGACCTTCACTGACTTGTCAAACTCAATGGCTTCTTCAAACGCTTTATGAGCCACTGTGTCGTGGTGGCCATGGTCAATTCTAGCACCTAAAATCAAAGATCATAGAGGCAAGGGTACAAGACAAGCCAGGAAAGCATACCGTTCACTGCCATGGATGCATTACACTGTAGCCGAGTTCATTTGGTTCTGAATAGAAAAAACAAATAAATATGAACAGTTTTTGATTCTGATCTAAATTACCCAAAATAATGTCATTATTGTTTTTTGGTTAACTCTCACTCAAAAGCTCATCAGTCAACTTTATTGCAATTCGTAAACGTGGTTAAGGACCCTTCGTATTTGATCAGACATTAAAACAAATCATTTTAAGGCACACATTCACCAGAATCTACTTTTGACACATTTTGAAAGTTCCTTCCAACATTTGACACACTATCTTTTTCTGCCATATTGATCAATCCATGGACCCGAGGTCAATAAGTAATAGTCACGGTATGTGACAAATGATATCCACTCATACCCGGTGTCCAGAGAACACTTCTCATTAATTACCTTCTACGAATAAGAAGAACCCTTTGTCACTACGCTGGAGCCTTTGTATTGCTTTTCTAGTCATCTGCGTCAGTGTCGGCTCTCCTGCAGCATCTGTGTCGTTTGTATACGTCATGTGACTGTAGTCAAATGATCCTGCAAGTTCATAGTTAACATATTTAGATATAATGTTTCCGTTCTCGGTTTCTATAGGGTCAGAAAATTACAATTTCCAAAGTTTTTGAGGTACTTACTACTTACTTAAAGATTAACAAGATTAACGAAAGTTACATTTAAAGTTGTGATTGTCATAGAATATTAGATGCTTTTACTTGTCCTAGTTAGTCACGAGTGCTTATATATTTTATTGAGAATCACTTTTGATAACCTACCAAACCAGTGATCTAAAGTGTTAGGATCAATAGCATCAAACTGTTCCTTATTCCAAACAAATTCAGCATTCAGACCTCGGTCAATCTTCTCTTTAACCCATTCCTCGTGAATTTTGCGCCCATCAAGGCGTCGTCCTGTTCGGTCAGGATACTCGGGATCTGCGGTGATGTTGGGGTATAGATGGCGGCGACCACCACCCATCAGAACCTACATATTAAGAGGCAGATTCAATGATCAGAATACAAGTTGCCAACTTGATCAGACATATTTACCAAGCTCAAAATATTGTCCTTTTCGGATCTAGAACGTTTAATTCCCAATTGTTGTATCTTAGAACAACCAAAATGTGTTATTGCGTTTTAATGTTTCATTTGGCCAATAGGTTGCAGCACGAGACAAATAGTTTCGAGACTATTGTACCAAGATGGAGATTTCTAAATAGTGAAATATATTTGAGAGTAAAACCATATTTTATGTAGTTTATTAGATATACATGGACATAAGTTATTACACTAATGTCTATTGATCTGTCCCGAATCACTTACCGTGATATCTTTCCCAACGGGTCCCATAATGTGTGAAGCGATGTCAATGCAACCCTTTGTTTTCGCATCATCTGTCATTGTCGAATCATCCTCCCACTCTCTTTCCGGGACGTGCGCATAAAGAGGCCCTGGTGAAGCATGCGTGATTCTTGCAGTGGTCACTATACCAGTGGCCATCCCTTTGGAAATAAAGCTCACTTACACTCCCCTCCAAAGTTTGGTAACCTCAGCTCCTTCATTAAACTACGTTTTAAAGTTACGTGTTACATGTTTTATTTACATAACCTGCGAGGAAAATACTTGTAATATTGATGGAAATGTATCTTGACTTCATTTCAGATGCCTCCAAATTTTCCCAAATTTTTCCTCAATTACGATAGGTCGAAAATTGATGATAAATCTGATGAATGTTTGAAAATCGACATGTCATATGAGTAATATTTAGGTTTCTTTTTCATTGAATCCCGAACGAACATGAAAATCACACCTGCGTTTTGAGCCAATTCAAGAATACATGTTGGACTCCTCTCTGCGATGTTGGTGCAGTCCCCCCTGGGGGCTCGTCCGTCTGTGCCAATCACCCCATAGTTGCTCTTCACCCCACAAAAGCAGGCTGTTGCAGTTACTGATGAATCACTGATCTGGTGGTCAACACTGTATGTCTATAACACATTTCATTTAGGTATTTTCATTTAAAGTTTACATAGGATTCGGATGGTGAAGAGAATGAAGAATGAATAATTAATATAATCTAGCAAGAAAACTTTTCCTTTTAAACTCTTGGTCGAGGCTGTGTAAAAAATGTAATCTATGTATACTCTATATACCACATAAGGGGTGATATGAGATATAAATAAATACTAGATAAATAAATAAATGAATGGAAATAAAATAAAGATAAAATAAGATTAAACCTGCACATCGCTCCAAAACGCAATCTTGGGTTGTTTCGGGGGTGAACTTTATCATTTTGAGCTTAATGAAAGATTATAGAATGATGAACAAATGGGGCAAATCTTGCGTAGAAATACTTACGATAAATGTGTACCAAAGATTTTTCATTGAATTGCTTCGATCGGCGCCGACGATATGATTTTGGAAAGGTTTCTAAATGAAGAACGTGACGTCACTTCCGAATCATAGCATTCAAAATAAGTAGCTTTTATTACTTCTTCCATTCAGGATTACACCGTGGTGTAGCGGTAGAATTCTCGTTTAGCACGCGGGAGGCCCGGTGTAAAAGGGTAGGAGGTCCTATCAAATTATGGTCCTACTCTCCATTGATTTATATGGTGACCTAGATACAACTCTTTCCCTCATTATCTTATACGCAATCAGGGCCAGTAAGGGCCGTTAAGAAAGGGGACCATAATCCCTGGGGGACCATCATTTCTTTTACACCGGGTTCGAATCCCGCAGTTGCAAGGTGGGTATAGGTAACGCGGCGCAGTCAAGCATATCTGTTCAAAACGAGGCTGCAACGCGGTAAAGACACAAAATGGAGGCAACTCCAATTATCGGAGGCACTTCGTCCTCTGTTTCCTCGAAACATAGGTAAGTTTTTGAAAACTCATGCTTCACACTCGGTGATCAACCCCTTAAGGTATGTAAAGCTATAAGAATTTCTGTTCAGGCATTGACCAGAATAAAGAAATAGTCAACGCAGATATGATTTCCCGATCCTATTTCTCTTGACCTATCTTCTTATTCCAATTAAGGAGGTATTTCGCCACTCATGAGCAAATTTAACATTGACATTCAATAGCCTGATACTTATAGAATGTACAATACAAATTAAGATTGAAACTTTTGTTTATTTTCATCGTAATCTGCATACAAAATTGAACTAGTCGGAAACGCGGCGCAGTCATTTTCAGCAATTATGGCAACGCGTCGACAGCATAGATTAAATTGTATGGCAACGCGGTGCAGGCATCAACTTTCTCTGTATTGTAAAGTACAAAGAAGTTTTGCATTATGCTTTTCTGTCAAGGATTTTGATTTAATAAGGCATGTGACTTTTTCAGAAAAAGATCAAGCAATACATGCAATACCAATCTATCCCTATACAGAACGAAGAGACGAAGAATAGGGAGCAATTCTACAATAAACATAAATGTCGAGGGGAATAAACGGAAATTCATATCACCAGATAGGGGGAGGAGGCCAACAACCCCATTTCCCGAGGTCCGCTGGGCACCAAAAAAGCGCATCAACGTCCCGTCAGACACATAAGTTGCATTGCTGAACTGCGTTTCCAAAATATACCTGGTTTTCCACCCAGAATCGGTTAACAGAAGGCAAACAGTGATGAAACTTTGAAGAAATAGAGATTACCGTGGTATATACGTGATTTAATAGATATGTGTCAAGTGACAAAGTCAAAAACATAGAATTTAAGCTAGAAAAATGCCAAATTGTCAAATTTCAGTAAGTGATTGATTTTGATTGACTTGGAAGGTATTTCCCTGATTGACTAAATTTCAAGAAGCTTCACATAGACATACTCTGTGAAGTTCTCCACCGAATGGTATATGCTATTATAACTGTAGCAGACACAAACTAGTGTATGAAGCTTATGAATAAACTTACCGCCCTTTCGATCTTCCACTGAGTGGCCATTTTGTGTCTTTGCCGCGTTGCAGCCTCGTTTTGAACAGATATGCTTGACTGCGCCGCGTTACCTCTGACCACGGTGAGTTGCCTTTTTATTTTTTTAACTAAATGATTGTTCTTTGATATTACGCAGAAAAAACAATTTTTATTTACATTAAACTTTATATTAGAGCTTAAAAATGTAAAAACAATATATGTCAACATATTGCGTTTTGGAGCGATGTGCAGGTTTAAAACAAGGGGGTGAATATGTCTATCCATAGACTACACCGCTGCCATATTTACACCTATGGTGAGGGCACAGCTTACAGTACTTACATGTTTATGGAGGATATGTTACAAAAAGTGGGTTCACGATCACAAACGGCTTCCTTTTTGGGTTCTACTGTAAACTATGTTTTTAAATTGCTTAAAACACATTTAACTTATAGCATGAACCAGACAGCTCCTGTCCACTTGGAAATAAAAGTGATGGTAAGTTATTTCTCTCTTGTGCATGTTATGTTTTCAGATAAGTCACATAATATGAAGAAGTCAATTCTCGCAATCCAAAAAAAATGAAATAAAATGGGTTTAAACCATTGTGTCAACAATAACATTTACGAGTATCATAAACTCTTTTCTTCACAATTTTACAAGTTGACAGAGATAATATTTATGATCGAATGCTTTACTAGAATAAAAAAAACTTTAATTCATTTTACTCATTCTTGTGTAGCATGGACAAGACGGTAAAATCGCACATTTTGTCTTTTCAATGTTATTCCAACCTCGAAATTCACTCAAATGGAATGAAGGGTAAAAGTTGAAAATCTTAAGGTAGATATCACTGGCAAAAAATACGTAATTAATTCATATATTTGTGGCCTCTGGATATATCTTAAATAACGAAAAGTTAACTTGTCAAACAGATACTCCATGAAATACTCGTACTCGTGCGAAACAATATTCGATTTCTAACTTTTAGACTTGTAGAATTTGTTAAATCGGTTTCAAGCCCAGCCCCTGTTTAGTTCCAAAATTGTTGATACATTGATAAGAAAATGATTTTCTTTGCCTTGTTGTACATCGTCTATTCTAATATAGCCGATGTCCAAAAATATTGTACCTTTGAGTAACCGACGTTTGGGAAGTCATCGTAGACCAACGTTTCTTCAGATCCCAACTTGCCATTCTGTTGTCCTTTGAAGATTCTAGACAGGGTAAGACTAGTTGGGCCATGTCCGTCAGAGAGAAAGAAAATTATGTTCTTTGCCCTGTTGTAGTTATTCTTTCTTCCCAATGCTCTCTCTAGCTCTGCCTGGGCTTTGTCTATCCAGAACTGCGGCTCTGCAATATAATGTTAAAGGGTTAAAACTTATTGAATGACCTCTTATTCTTATTCACTTGATCGTATTGGGGTATTGAGCTCGAGAGCGTTATATTAAGCCAGTACATGTATTATCCCATGATATTACTTCAACGCTATTTTAACAACATTATTCGATTTGTCAGTTTCCTCGACCGACGTGGAGAGCGTGACTTAATCCTCCTCCTTCTTCTGCTGGAGATACCTCTCTACCAGCCGTGGCTTTGATATCATAAATCACCGTGTCCAATGGCATTTAGATTTAGACACAAAATGATGCACCATCTTCATTTCTATGTGATCAATCCATATAGGGTTTTTTCGAAACTCGTAAATGTTTTTGGCCATTTTGTCAATGACGAATATTTTTTTTTTTTATAATTTTTTTATTTCAAAGAATAAGCATGTTAAAGCAATTGCAAAAAACAATTACAGTACAGTTACATGGTAAACCTACATTTAACAATTTTACAATACAGTACAGTGGTTAAATATTTCGTCTTAAGAGACGTTTTATACCATTGGCATTTTTTTATTTATTTAAAGGAAAAAATCATCAGTTTCATTTGTTTAATTTTGTTTCCATGATTTTCCACTTATCGCCTCTGCCAACCCGTTTGTCCATAATAAAATATTCCTTCACATTACTTATAAAACCTTTAAGTGTTGGTTTTAGCATAGAATATTTGCACAAATAAACATACCTTTTAAAAATACATAGCATATTATTTAAGATGATTGTCTTCTCATTTACACTCTCAGGTCCTATCAATACATTTTGTTTAGTGCATAGCAATGTGAGCTCTAAAGGAAGCCATTGTTTAATGTCATTTAATACGGCACTTACAATAGTACATTCATACAGAAGATGGCAAATCGTTTCAGGATTTGCTTTACAAAAAGTGCAAATGTTTGACTCTACGAGTCCACACATTTTTAGGTAATATGTATTAGTTGCTAAAAATCTGTGAAGGACTTTATAAGTGAAGGATGATAATTTTATTAGTATATCTAAAATACGAAATTAATTTTTTGATCAAAGTTTCAAATCCGGGAGACCCGAACAGGAGACCAGATCAGAAAAATATCTTCCCCAGGCCTTATCAATACTTTTTGAACTCTCTCATAGCAATATGCGATATATGCTAGCTATTTCTAACTATTTATTAGTATAGGCTAATACAAGCTAAGGGTCATGGTAACCAAATGTAAACATGAGATGACGAAAGATATGTAAGTTATTCCAATATAGCAAGAGCAAAGTACGCAGGATGCGTTTATATTGTATTATTCAATATCAAAATTCGTATTCTATGATTAAAATCCGAATTTCTTTAAACCGTTAAATTTACTTTTTATAATTAGCTCAGTAGCAAACAGATAGAGATCACCATGCGCTTATACATAAGCTATCGAGGTTCTTATATGAGTACCTGTGCAAGATCTTCCATTATTGATGAGCTTTGATAATATTCTTCTTTATCGAGTCGAAGACGAGATAAGGAAACATTATCAAACGAGTCAAGGCAATATCTTGCATGGGGTTAAGATGGCTGTATCTTTATTAGTCATATGAGAAAATTCAAGCTAACGTAATAAAACAGAACTGAGCTCATGTATGATATGTAAATAGGATAATAAATCGAAATATTACATTCAACCAACAGCTAAATGTTATAAAGAAAACCCACATAGCTTTGCATTAGATATGAATAATAATTCAAACAAATCACGCCTTCTATAAACTGTGAACAAATTCAATATTTCACCCGGTCGTTATTCTTGGATACAATACCTGGTAAACCGGATATAGGAATTGAATTTGAATATGTCTGAGGTTTTGGCAAGGAAAAGGTTATTTTGTATTTCCGATTTTGTGTTTCAAGATCAGAAATTCATCTTAGCACAGATCCCTTTTAAGTATTCAATTCATATGCAAACATGTCGAAGTCAATATGTTCGTTACGATCGCACGTTAATCATAAATGCGTCAGGGCTCATCAACCCTATAATGTTGAAGCAAGTTTTTACTTACCCTTTTCTTCTTCGTTGACTCTCCCGAGTGTTTGCCCAGCTACTGACAGTAGAACTGCCGAAACGAAGAGCAACTGACGAGCACACCAAGCAGTCATGTTTTCAAATGCACAGGGGTATCACTGGCAATGTATTTGAGATTGTCATGTTACTGAATGCAATGTTGATTGTTTGCACACTAAGAACACTTAAAAACGTGGAGACCTTTTATAAAGAGCAAACATTTTTGCTGAACAGTGTCTGGTTACTTGTAAAGATATAAAGCATGCAAATATTATTTTTTCAATCGATGAATATGTATCATGTAATTTTTGTGCCCATATTACACGGTCACTGGTGATCCACTCGATTACGCTGGTTACCAAAACGAACCGTTTTGGTAACAAAATGTCGGAACATCCGGAAGGTATGATTTTTCTCGTTTCCTTATTTTACACGTTGTAGGCAGAATTCCTACGACATTTTTTAACACAAACGTGTATCAGTATCATATGTTTAAGAAAGTGTACATATTTGCGAACAAATAGTTCAGAAGACAACAGAATCGTTGATTTACTTCCTCACTTAAGTTACATAAACGGTTTGGGTTAAAAGTGCAGATCTTAACTGTTTTTCGAAAAACCGTTTATGTAACTTAAGTGAGGAAGTAAATCGACGATTCTGTTGTCATCTGAGCTATTTTATCGCAAACATGTACATTTTCTAAAACATATGATACTGATGCACGTTGTGAGAAAAAACGTCTTGGGGATTCTGCCTACAACGTGTGAAATAAGGAAAAAAGAAAAATCGTGCCTTCGACATTCCGACATTTTGTTACCAAAACGGTTCGTTTTGGTAACCAGCGTAATCGAGTGGATCACCAGTGACGGTGAGTAACGTTAACGCACCGTTCTATGTATCTTGGGTGTAAAGTGCGTTAGATGTCAGAAGTCAAACATCGCCCTACCAACCGGGCAAAAAAATAATATGGAAAAACGAGGTGAGTGAATATCTAATAAAATTTCCATTATGAACAAGATACAGGGTGTCAAATAAGTCCCGTCCCCCCCCCTACAGCCAAAACAGGAAAAGATGGTACATAGTGTGATATACCATTGGAAAGATCGTCCAAAGTTAAGTTGATTGGCATATATCTGACACTTGTCAATCAATGTCACAAATTGCTACATTGTTGCAATTAAGGTGCCCGTATATATAAAAAGGCGGCAATTCAGCAGATTTTTGAAAACCAGGCATCAGTAATGCCATTCAAGAAAAGTCTGTCAAGATGGCAACATATGTATCTGATAGTGAGATACAACAATTTGTAGATAGAGTAAGATGTGTTGCATACAGAGAGGCAATGGACAGTGGTGCAGACTTTATTTGTAAGAAATGGATAGCGAAGAAGATTAAAAGATCTGACAAGTTTGTTCAAAGATGCTGGAAAAAGCCGTATGATGAACTTGTTACACAATCAAGATGTGGTGCTCCCGAAGTCCTTTCTCCTGCATCAAAGGAAGTTATATGGGATGGATCAGCTAAAAAGAGAAAGAGTTGTACTGAAGTGGCCAGAGATATCAAGATGAAGCGTGGCAAGGTGGTGTCAAGACAATTGGTGCACAATTATCGTGTTCGCGAAGGCCTTAAGGCATGGCACATTATTCCTAGACCATTGAAGAATGAATCCCAAAAAGCAGATCGCCTTTGGTTTATTAACTTTTTGAGAGATTGGGATGAGGATGACTTCCTCCATTTGGCTCCTTCTGATGAGTTTTTTGTGTATACAATAAGAAAGCCAAACCATCAGAATGACCGTGTATGGGCTAAACGGCGTGATGATTGTAGTGATTTGCTAGTGCGAGAACAGTTGGCATGGCCCCAATGCATAGGGATTTTCCTCTTATTTACGGCAAAGAAGATGATGTGGATTATTAAAGATGATGGCTAGAAATGGACCGGGGATTACTTCCGTGATACAGTTTTAAGGGGGAGGGTAATACCCTTTCTAAGAAATCCTCAGAATGTGATTGAGCCATCCCAAGTGACTTTGTTACATGATAAGGCCCCTTGTATGAAGGCATTGGCTACACAAGATCTCCTCAAGCAGTCAAAAATTGACTTTTTTGGGAATGATGACTATCCTAGTAATAGTCCGGACTGTAATGCGTGCGAACATATGGGATCCATAGTTAAGGATAGAACAGAGGCACTTATGGATGAGGAACCCATAGAGAACAGAAATTCAAAGGATGCTTTATTAAAAAACTTGAAGAAAGTACTAAAAAGTCTTGAAAATGCACATGAACTTTTTGACGTTTTGCTTAAGTCATATCCGTCTCGTTTTGACGCCATAAAAGCTGCTGGAGGGGGACATACCAACTATTAAAGAAATCATCAGAATAAAGGTAAATGTCATCTAAACTACTTGAGAGTTGGTGAGTTAATGTAACTTTGGATGATCTTTCCAATGGTATATCACACTATGTACCATCTTTTCCTGTTTTGGCTGTAGGGGGGGGACGGGACTTATTTGACACCCTGTATATGGGGGTACCATCCAAAAATTCCAGACAGACTGTAACATATCAGTATAATATGTTCTTCTCTATAGCAGTACGGGCACAAACTAGTCAGCGAGACCCCCAGGGAGGATAATGGCTCTTGTGATTTCCTCGTGCAAGTTATTTTTCAAGCGAGCTATACAGTCAAGTTGGACTTGTTTTCTTCGCCCTCAGTTTTCAATTCCTCGCAGAACCTAAATATCATAGTGCTTGTAAAATTATGCTAAACCTTATTTCATTCATAAATTCATTTCAAATTAATATTTTGTTCCGTGCGCTCATAATGTCAACGATTGTTAAAAGATCTGCGTTTAAATATTAAAGATCATAAAAAGAACAAACACTCCTCACCGTAAGTTTGGCAACCCTAACTCCCTCATTGGACTACGTGTAAAAGCCTCTTTTATTTGAAATCTATTTACATAACCAGCAATGAAAATACTTATGATAATTTGATAAAGGTGGAAATGTAACTTGACTTCATTTCCAGCGCCTCTAAATTTCCAAATTTTTTCTCAGTTACAATAGGTCGAAATTGTTGACTTTGATGATTTTTTGAAAATTGTCACTCCCATGTAAACCAATGGGAAATGGTGGGTTCGGCGCAAATCAGATTTCTGGATATCTATTCAGCAAATACAGGGTGTTCCAAAAGTAACAGGACTGGTGCTGGCATTTTGTTAAATATGCACCAATCGTTTTCAAAATTTTACATAATGTACTTCCATGTATCGTTTCTAAGACTGCAAAGTTCCGACAAAATATATGAAACTCGGGTAGAGTTATGGTTGCTATAGTAACATGACATCGATATACCCGGGGCAACATTCCACGCAAAAAGTTACAGAGACAGTAAGCATTTTGTACATCCCATATCATTTTGTTCATGCCATTTCAAAGTTAAAATGCATCAACTGGTGAGAATTACATTTGTTTTACATCATTTGATATTCCTATGTACCCTCTACTTTGAAAAATACTAGGCTCCTCTTTGGTCAGTGCAAGAGTAGTATTCTGTATCCATGACCCAAACACATGAGTGAACCCATTTGAGGACATGTCACGCAGGGTCGATTGGACAACTTGGAGAAGGTCATTCTCATCTTTAAAGGTCTTACAGCACTGATTAGCATTCCGTTCTCAATATAAGTAAAAATTAGATATTGCATGATCAGAAGAGTATGGTGCATGGTTTTAGACCTCAAGACCTAGCTCCTCTTTAGCTGCATGGTCTTTAATGGTGACCTACGGGCAGGCGCGCTATCAAGGTGGATGACTGGCTTCAAATTGTGTATTTTCAAAAACTCAACCGTGAATTGTTCAGACTGTTATATATAGTGATATTCCAGGAAATTGAATAAATATAATTATCATTATGAAATTATACTTGAATCTGAGTTGTATAGCAACATCTTTACAACAAAGCAACTAATAAAATAAACAAGAAATGTTGTATTATAATAGGTGAATTAGATGCTTTTTTCAGTAATACAAAAGTGTTAAATATCACATTTTTAAGAAAAAAGTTGCCCCGGGTATTGGAATGTCATGTTACTAAAGTAACCATAACTCTAATCGCATTTCATCATTTCTTCTTAAACTTTACAATTTTAGTTGAAATACTCCAAAGTACAGTTTGTGAAAATTTGAAGACACTCAGTGCAAAATTGACAACATGCCAGCACCAGTCCTGTTACTTTTGGAACACCCTGTATACTTTGTTGAACGTGAAGGAACATATCATTTTCTACCCAACTTGTATTTTTGCGAGAACTCGGATAGATGTATATTCTGTCAAATGACTTGCGACAAACCTATCAGTTTCCATTGGTTTAACATGGGAATGTCGATTTTCAAACTTCTTCAGATTTGTCATCAATATCCAACCTATTGTTATTGTTGAAAAAATTGAGAAAAATTGGAGGTATTCGAAATGATGTCAATTTATATTTCAAGCCCTAAAAGTAGTATTTTCCTTACAGATTATGCAAATAAAAATTCAATAATACATAGGCTCTAGTAGTATTCCAATGGAGAAGTTAGGGTTGCCAAACTTATGGAGGGGAGTGTATGTACGAGTCTCCTCTCCAAAACAACAAAACATTTATTACATTTCTATTAAATACTATGAGTTAGTAAGGATTACTTTAAAACAGAATTGCATATTTATTAGGTTAACGAACTCCAAAAACATACTCAAAATAAAGTTATCACTCATGAACAAGTTGAAGATTTTAAGCTTCTATGTGACTAAATCATTGCGTTAGAAATATCACATAAATATAAGATGTCCAATTTTGATACAATTTTAACACCATACGCAAAAACAGTACAATCGTTTGTGTTATGATATGATATGTGAAATATGTTACAAGAATAATATGAATTATGTTACAAGATGAATTTGCTTATAATTGTATCATGTTTTAAGAATAACCCCGCCTCAACCCCGCATACACATATTACAAATCCTACACTCCCTCCATAGGGTTGGCATTGTACGCTTTTCATTCGACAGCATGTAAAAGCCTATCAAATCTTATTGTGTGCAATCGTTTGGAATCGGTTGACAAACTTAAAGAGGGGAGTCTGAGAGTATTAAATGAGCCCAAATGTGCCTTTGAACGATTCACTCTGCTCCACAATGTTGGATCTAGAGGGAGAGATTTGATGATCAACAAACGTGTTGAATACTAAAACTTTAGTCAAACTACAAACCTTTGTGACCCCTCCCCCACACACACAAACACTACACACCGCCCCTGTGTGAGTAGGTGTTAAGTCAAGTAGGGGGAGCGCAGTCGCAGGGGCTTGTGGCTAGACTACTAAAACTTTATAACAATTAGGATTTTCAAGAGTCAGTGGTGGTCAGCAGCTACAGAAAATTGTTGTTCCCTGGAAAATACCAATTCCGATTTACTAATAGTCAAATGTACACAGTGTCAGAGCACTAGCAATCAACAGTGAAATATATGGAAAGGTTGTTCCTGCCGAACTGGTGCATTCATCATTCATGCCTGGATATTTCTTGTCCCTGATATTATCACAATGCGTCTTAGAGTCGCCAAGACATGCAGCGAATTTCATAACGTGGAAGATATAGTTTTGCTCGTGAGTCGTGTGGAAGAGGTGCGCCATTGGTCCACGGGCATAGATACCAACATCTGTCAAATCGTGGCCTGTTTCTTTCATTGGTATCGCAGATGGATATTTGAAATTTCGGTTTTCTGTAACATATTATCATTAAGTCTACAATCATATTATCAATGAGTGTACATACAATATTTTTCGGAGCATTCAATGACTCATTCGAGGTTTAATCTCACTTTATGTTGTCATAAAGGATCGTAATCAGAAAATTAAGGGATTGTCAAAAACTTTTTGAAGTAATTCACGATAGATATTTAATTATGTCTTAATCTCGCCGAATTCAAGATTCTCGGGAAAACTAAAGAAGAAACACACTGAAACGAAACTACACTTAGAACAAGATTTGTAGAAGCATCCGATATGATAATTTTATGAACATTATTTTTTTATTAAGCGATTCGCTTACTTAGATCATCATTTGTTAGGTTTGGCCTCGGTGCGCTGTCATTAAAGTTAGGTCCTTCTGCATAAGCGATGACGGTGTATGGTTTCTTGTCCACTGATGATAAAGCACCACCTCCTGATGTATGCGAAGAATCGTCTGTGTAGTCGGTGTTCCCTAGTGAATATAACACTTAATAAAATACTCACTTTGGATTACCCTTAGTTTCTCATGATATCGCTCATTATTTTAATATTGTGACATATGCATTTATATTGCTCATCACTTTTTTAAAATGTACTGGTGCACGATTGATGATGGGACTTTAATTCATACATACGCATGCGCACTGTTTACAGAAGTCCGTGGACGTGTAATATTTTGACCAACAGAGATCCATGTAGTCATTGAAAATGGACCATTACCTGTGACCGGGTTTCCTCTCTTTGCGTATGAGCCGGTGATTATAGGTGTTGAGTGGTCAGAAGTGACAATAATCAGCGTGTCCTTCTCGTCTGTCATATCCATACCGACCTTCACTGCCTTGTCAAATTCAAAAGCCTCCTCGAGAGCTTTTTGAGCCAGCGTGTCGTGGTGGCCATGGTCAATTCTGGCACCTAAAATCAGACCAAAGAAGCAAAATACAAGACGAGCTGAGGGAAAGAGAGCATTATCGTCAGCTAGCTAACATACGCATTTCTGTATAACAATTAAATACGGCTCTTTAATCTATGGTTTTGCGTCGCAAAGTGCTCTGGAATAACTTGACAAACTCCATTATAGAGCAGCCCTAATAGTTTCTGGGGCGATTCATGGTACGTGTTAGCAAAAATAATAATAGTCTAAATTGGAAAACCCTGGCGGAGAGAAGAGAATATTAAAAACAAAATATTCACATGTTCAAAGTCCGATCAAATTTGACCCCCTCTTATGTAGTTTCTATATTCGAAAAACTGTCAAATCCTGGTGCCAAAAGGGAGCTCCGCTCCAGAATAGAATATGTTTTACCCGCGAGAGCGACTATGAAATACTTAAATTCACCAGCCATAAAGCCTATCTCCATTTGGCCTTATCTTTCAACTGAAATAAAAATATCGCCAACCCTATCGATCTTTAAGAAAAACTATAATAAGAAATACACATTTCATAAAAAGAATATTTTAACAAGAAGTCTTAACTAAAAAGGTCTTTTGAAACTAAACTTAATAAAATTAGAAGCGATCTTGCCCTTAAAAGTGACTTTTTAGACATAATTTTAACAACATCATAGATCCTTCTTGCCCCTATGGCCACCGAGATCAAGATAAGATTCATCTTTTACTCGACTGCCCTCTAACCGCCATACATAGAAATGATTACATACAGAACATCCTGAAGTTAGATCTTGATATTATGTGCTATTTTGGAAAAGCCAGAAAGCAAAAAATAGAATTTATACTTTATGGAGAAGAAAATTTAAATAGTGAACTGAATACAAAATGCCTTCAACTATCTTCAAATTATATTGACAATATCTTAGAACGACCCTTCTCATTTCGCATCATCATCTCTCACTAGCATTCATATACATCATCACGGGCAAGACCTGGTGGACGGCTGTGTCCGTTGCAATCTTACACACTCAAGTGATTTATACTATGTTTTTCTCTTTCTATAGGGGGGCCCATAATGCTATATTTTCCTAAGTGACATCTATATTATTGAGTAGAGTGAATGTTTATTCTAAATAGGGAATTCGAAGTGGCCAGACGTACATTCAGCAGTGGTAAGCATATTTTGATTTACATGCCCGAGCAAGGGGCGCCCGAGCAAGGGGCTAAAATAAAAGGCTTTGAGGGCCTAGAGATATAATGCCCGAGCAAGGGGCTAAAATAAAAGGCTTTGAGGGCCTAGAGATATAAATGCCCGAGCAAGGGGCTAAAAATAAAAGGCTTTGAGAGCCTAGATATAAATGCCCGAGCAAGGGGCTAAAATAAAAGGCTTTGAGGGCTTAGATATAAATGCCCGAGCAAGGGGCGCCCGAGCAAGGGGCTAAAATAAAAGGCTCCAAGGGCCTGAAATATATGCGCAAGCAGGGGGCAAAAAAATATGAACCATAAGGGGTAATGAATAAAAGGCCTTGAGAGCCTAGAGATACAGAGATATATGCCAGAGCAAGGGGCTATTAAATATAACTATGAGACAATATAAGAGAAGTTTTCTGAGAGGCAAATATTTGACAGAAACAAAGAAAAATAGAACATTGATGACATGAAAAATCTTGATAACATGGCCTTAAAATGAACACTGGAAATTCAACGTGTTAATAACACAGTAACATTAGAGGTCATTATACAGTACGTTATGACGTTATAGTACAGTGTGACGAAAATAATGACACTCAGGTATAATCTGGTAATTGGCAATTGAATGAAAATTGGGGTTTACTCAATAGAAAGTAGGTTGAATTGTTTTGACATGACTGGATAACCTATGCAAGTGATTGGTTATGTAATGGTTTAATTCCATGTACCCTCTTGTAAACTAATTTGAAAATGACTTGAGTTTGTAACATTTGAAACTAGTGAAGTCTGATAAACAATTGGCTTCTCTTTACATCTAAAGTCCGGGAGCACTGATCTCTTAGTGGTTTTAACCACGTGGACTTCGGATGTGAGAGTTGTCTCTCCACAGTAGGAGGTAATTGGCAATTGAGGTTAATTACTCATGTTGGGGGACTGATTTTTCCCCACCAGTAATTCATGAATGAAACATTGATATGAGGTCAATTTTAGGTTTTATTAGCTTTATAATTACATCATGGAAAACCATCTACTAGAACTACTGGGAGAGATTGCTCTCAAATCCGATGTCCACGTTAGTTTTTTGCCCGTTTTGGGTTAATTTTTTATTAAAGATTTGAGGATTGGGAGTAGTAAAAATTAACAAATCACATTATTCAGGATGTAAATACACCGTAAAGGGTAAAATTAAATGTGTATTTCACCCAATCCTTTAACATGAAATCTACTTGAATGTATGGATGTCACTTTGGAAACATAGATTTCCTAAGTGACATCTATATTATTGAGTAGAGTGAATGTTTATTCTAAATAGGGAATTCGAGGGAGGTACTACTTTTTTCAAGGCCTGACTTCGTCGCTAACATGCTAAATATAAGAGTTAGCTGACGTTTGGGAGTCTGACTTACCTTCTAAAGGTTAGAACCCGAATCTTAATGAAACCATATCACCTTTGTTCCGTCAACCATGGAGCATTTGCCACAACATCCAAGAGGTAAATCATTGACCGAGAAAATGAATGATTTCCTTGTAAGTTCCGGAAGTTTCAATACGAAAAATTACCGAACATATATGAAAACCGAATATTTGTTCGTTGTTTTCACGATTTACAGGTTCGTATGTTCTTCAATGTTTTAGTCTAAATTATAAAGCATCACCAACAGGTCTTACTCTATTAATCGACTAATACAGCAGACGGCTCATATTTCTACGTAGCATTTCGTTCAGACAAATATGGGACTGTAGATCACGCAGTTTCGTTCGTTGCGTACTTCACTTGAAATTGGTAATTTTATATTGGCTACTTCACTTAGCTTGGCGGATGTAGAACATTGCTTAATATTCACACCAGACATGCTTGGTTGACACGTCAACAAAGTAAAGTTCAAGGGTCAATGCGTTATTTCGTGATAACTACAACGCCTTCCCGAAAGTCAACATTGATGAAAAATGAAAAAGTCGGAAAAGCATTTACACTAATTTCTATCAAATGCTATGTTTATGCATTACCATCGACGCAACAAAGGTGATATGGTTTCATTAAGATTCGGGTTCTAACCTTTAGAAGGTAAGTCAGACTCCCAAACGTCAGCTAACTCTTATATTTAGCATGTTAGCGACGAAGTCAGGCCTTGAAAAAAGTAGTAGTCATTAGCGAATGGAATGGATAATAGTTTACATATCATGAAATTTGGATGAAATATCATGAAATTGAGAAATGATTGAAAAATAAGTAACCCTCCCACCCAACCCATTTCCTGAGGCTGTACATTCTGGTGGGTTTCACTTAAATATGTATTTCACCCAATCCTTTAACATGAAATCTACTTGAATGTATGGATGTCACTTAAGAAACATAGAAGCTCCGGACCCTTATAATCTATGTAAATAATTGTGTTGAATAATATGGAAATACATGTAAATTTAACAATAACCTAAAAAAGAGAGCATTATCGTCAGCTAGCTAACATACGCATTTCTGTATCCAAACGTGTCATAGTGTTACCAGCAGGGCGTAAAATGTTACCCACTGCTATATAGTATGTTTTAAGAAACACTTATTACCTTCTACGAATAAAAAGAACCCTTTGTCACTACGCTGGAGCCTTTGTATTGCTTTTCTAGTCATCTCCGTCAGTGTCGGCTCTCCTGCAGCATCTGTGTCGTTTGTATACGACATGTGACTGTAGTCGAATGATCCTACAAGTCCAAAAATAAACATACTCAAATAGGTATACTATACTATATATTATATATTATCATAATAGCGTTGTGGAATGGAGATTGGTCCCTTCTGTTGATGTTATTTGCTGGCCCATGATGTCTTTGTCAGATTGGTACATCATTTGTGTTTTCTGATAAAATAATCTAGGGTAATTAATCATATTTCTTTAAAGATGATTAAATAACCTACCAAACCAGTGATCTATTGTGTTAGGATCAATAGAATCAAACTGTGCCTTATTCCAAACAAATTCAGCGTTCAGACCTCGGTCAGTCTTCTCTTTAACCCATTCCTCGTGAATTTTGCGCCCATCAAGGCGTCTTCCTGTTCGGTCAGGATACTCGGGATCTGCGGAAGTGTTGGGGTATAGATGGCGCCGACCACCACCCATCAGAACCTACATATTAAGAGGCAGATACAATAATCCAAATACAAGTTGCCAACTTGAGCAGACACAGATTTACTTACTCAAAATTTTCCTCTTCGGATCTAGAAAGTATTTTGAAAAGTTTAATTCCCAATGTCTATTGATCTGTCCCGAATCACTTACCGTGATATCTTTCCCCACGGGTCCCACAATGTGTGAAGCGATGTCTATGCAACCCTTTGATTTGGCATCATCTGTTATTGTCGAATCATCTTCCCACTCTCTTTCCGGGACGTGCGCATAAAGAGGCCCTGGTGAAGCATGCGTGATTCTTGCAGTGGTTACTACACCAGTAGCCTTCCCTAGAGAAATATAGCAGTTTATTTTGAGTAACTAGGGCCCAACGTTCTCTTTACTTGTACCCATGATTCCAAGTGGAGTAATTGATGTAAAAAAGGAATAGGTCATCGATGTGAGTTAGAGTCAAGGTTTCCTTTGATACCCCAGATCGAACATGAAAATCACACCTGCGTTTTTAGCTAGTTCTAGAATACACGTTGGGCTCCTCTCTGCGATGTTGGTGCAGTCCCCCCTTGGGGCTCGTCCGTCTGTGCCAATCACCCCATAGTTGCTCTTCACTCCACACAGGCAGGCTGTTGCAGTTACTGATGAATCGCTGATCTGGTGGTTGACACTATACGTCTATAACACATTTTATTTGGTAGAGATTAAAAGGTGGATTGGATCTAGTGGATTGGATTCATGTAAAAGGTGGATTGGATCGAGAATCTTCAAAATATGGAATTTCTTATGAGATTTTTTCTGTTGATTTCCCTCTGCAGTATTACAGGTCCCTTTTGAGAAATCAGAACAAGGCAATGACAAATACATACTCCAATTAGTTCATAGTACTCTTAAGTATTTAACTGCTTTTCCTTGTAAAACAACTTTTGTAAGACATCATAAATATAAATCTGTATTTAAAAGCTGTCATTCAAATTTATGTGTGAATGTTTGCAAAACATTTCTGCTATGTTCAGTTTGGATTGAAAACAGATGATATGGATCTTCAAACCAGTCTGCCTTATGATTAATGAAGTCTAAAATTACTCTTGGAATGAAAATAAGATTGTGTATTAGAGCAGGTACTAGGTCACCCTTCTAGCCCACCCATGCAAAATAATATTACCTCTATTATTTGACATTGTGGAAGTGAGGAGAGCAACAATCTTATTAGAGGGAGATCAATAGAACTTTTTAAGGAAAATCCATATTTTGAAGATTCCCAATCCAATCCACCTTTTACATGAATCCAATCCACTCGATCCAATCCACCTTTTAATCTTTACCTTTTATTTACGTAACTTTATTTGAAGTTTTCGTAAGATTCGCCGGTGCGATGAAGAGAGTGATATGGTGTCTACAAAACCTCTAAAATACTAGAACAGCAATTCCAGGGAGTCTTGAAAATCTCATCTTGGACGGAGCATGTGTCAGCTAATAAAATTAGAAAATCCGTTCACTGGTATTTGAGTTTTTTTACGAAAACTTGTTGGCATTTGAAATACAGCTGCCATTTTGGAAATTTCTTCTTAAACAGAGCTCCTATATGTCTCTAAGTAGCCGCATAAAAAATTTGAAAATCGTGTCAGGGTTTCCGTTTTTTGACCACCTGTATTTGACTAATCAAAGATTACATATTTAATGAAAATGGCGACCATTCTTATCGCCCGGGAACACGAACGGACGGACAGACGAACGAACGGACGACTTTCCTATATCCCCCTCGAACTTAGTTCGGTTGGATAATTACAACACAAAGTTTGCGTAAAGAGACTTTAGGCCATAAGAACTAGAGTCTTTGTTTTGCGTCCACTTGTTTGCCCGATTTTGAGTAAATCAGAAAAAACAAACACATCCAAATAGCAATCACAAGGCATTAACATGACAAAATGTCACCACCTAGTTGCTCACAATATTATGAGTTCAAACTTAATATAAGTCAGATTTGAATTTCTGAGAACTTGTAAAGTCAAATTTGAACTTCTGAAAAGATGTAGATGATTTTGAAAAAAAAATTTGGTCAATTTGAAGCAAGTTGAAAACAGACCTTTTTGACCTTTTTTGACCTTGAGAAGGTCATTAAAGGTCAAATGTCAAATCTAAAGTCAGATTTGAATTTCTGAGAACATGTAGATGATTTTGGAAAAAAAATTAGTCAATTTGAAGCAAGTTGAAAAAAGACCTTTTTGACCTTTTTTGACCTTGAGAAGGTCAAATGTCAAATCTAAAGTCAAATCTAAAGTCATATTTGAATTTCTGAGAACATGTAGAATGTAGATGATTTTGAAAAAAAATTTGAAGCAAGATGAAAAAATACCTTTTTGACCTTTTTTGACATTGAGAAGGTCATTGAAGGTCAAATGTCAAAATCATCTACATGTTCTCAGAAATTCAAATCTGACTTTAGATTTGACATTTGACCTTCAAATCTGACTTTAGATTTGACATTTGACCTTCAATGACCTTCTCAAGGTCAAAAAAGGTCAAAAAGGTCTGTTTTCAACTTGCTTCAAAAAAATTTTCAAAATCATCTACATGTTCTCAGAAATTCAAATCTGACTTTAGATTTGACATTTGACCTTCTCAAGGTCAAAAAAGGTCTGTTTTCAACTTGCTTCAAATTGACTAAAATTTTTTTTCAAAATCAGATTTGAACTTCTGAGAACATGTAGATGATTTAGAAAAAAATTGAAGTCAGTCTAAACAGTATTTGTTGAGTTATAGGAAGTTGTAAGAAATTGTTACAGACGCCGGACGCCAACCGCCGGACGCCAACCGCCGGACGCCAACCACCAACCGCCGGACGCCAACCGCCGTCGCAAAAAAAACGGAGACCATAACAATATGTCACCACTTTTGGTGGTGACATAACAAGGGTCTGAAAGTACCATCGCGTTTCGTTCAATCAGAATCAGACGAAACGGCGGGTAATTCGATGAGCGTCAAAAATTGATTACTTTGGCATACATTGTTTATTTTCTTTTTTACCCTTGAATGATAGCTATATTTTTAAATATACTATATAAAATGTATAGATATGTGTTTGTAATCACTACAAATTGGTATGTCATCCTTTTTATTCCCGGGTTTTTATGCCCTTGAAATGTATTCATCACAAGTTTGTGTTTTTCTTGAGTTTGTGTTTGTTTTCCTTGTTCCCTTGCATGATTTGGATTTTGCCAGGACGCAAAACAAAGAATCTACTTCTTATGGCCTTATACTAAAAGATGAGAATGCATACCGATACACTATATCGATTGTGTGGATGTGTCTATCCATAGACTACACTCTACACTACTGCTATATTTGTATTTACCTACGGCGAGGGCGTTTATGGCAGTATTATTGTGGATAATTTACAAAAAGTGGGTTCAAGGTCAAAGCCAATGGGCGTCGTTTTTGGGTTAATTATGTTTTTAAACTGGAAATAAAAGTGGTAAGTAATATCCCTCTTATGCATTTTTTTATTGAGGAAGGTCATATCATAAAAAAACATCTAACCTTGCAATATACGACCTGTTATAGGAGGTAGACTAATGGAACATTGATATCTCGTCGACCACCATTGCGGCCACAAGAATTTCACATTTACGACTTAATTTCATAAACTCTTTTCCTCACATCAAGTTGACAGAGATATTATTTTTATTATCGCATAAATTGCTGGCATAAAAAAAACATCTAAACATAACTCCATTCTACTGGACTAGAACGCATTCATACATTTTACTGAGATCTATTGGATGTTTATCGTATACTCTAAATATCTAATGTTACAAAGAATTGTATTGTACCTTTGAGTAACCGACGTTTGGAAAGTCTTCGTAGACCAACGTTTCTTCAGATCCCAACTTGCCATTCCGTTGTCCTTTGAAGATTCTAGACAGGGTAAGACTAGTTGGGCCATGTCCGTCAGAGAGAAAGAAAATTATGTTCTTTGCCCTGTTGTAGTTATTCTTTCTTCCCAATGCTCTCTCTAGCTCAGCCTGGGCTTTGTCTATCCAGAACTGTGGATCTGCAATATAATTGAAAGTAAATGTTAAAACTTATTGGATGACCTCGTATTCTTACTCACTTGATCGTATTGGGGTATAGAAAATATTGAACCAATATCATATATTATCCCATAGTTCAGGTCAAATCTATCTAACATGTATTTATGATATTTTGCAAATAAGAGTAGAAAAAGCGATAACCGTCGAATACGTCCATATCATTGAAGACATATTGATTAGACCAATTTTTCCGAAACTCGCACATTTTTGGATATATCAATTGGAAATGAAAAATAGGTCTAGCTAAAAATGAGTCATCAAACCCTGGAGACCAGATCAGAAACAATAATTTTCCCTGGCCTTATCAACACTTTTGTGTGCTCGCTTGAAGCAAAAATGATCATAGGTGTCTTCGTAAATTGCGAAGGATATGTTATTTCAGTTTAGCAAAAGCAATATAGATTCCTTGAATAAAGTTCGTATTTTTATGATAGAAATCCGAAGTTCATGAATCCATCACAGTTTTTGGGCCACTGACAGAGACAGAGAGCGGCAAACCTACCCTTTTCCCGATTGGAGAAATGTTGAGCATGCTATGGTAACTACTGTCATCGTAGTAGTTAACCCCATTGGGAGTATGTTGAATGGAAACTTAAAAAGCTGTACCCAATGCCCTGACCGGGATAGTACTCTAGGCCTTATACAAGTCAGAGACCTTCATAGTTCATAGCTTGAGATAACTGATCATACTTCGTATAAATAGTTTAGAGAGATAAAACAGAACTTAACTTGAAGAATGTATGATTTGTAAATTGGAAGATAAAACAGAATATTCGAGTATTTTGAGTGATATCATTTTTTATCGACAAGTTGATATCAAATATCAAGTTAGCGTAGCGAATGAGTGTTGATATTTGATCTACTGTAAAGCAATAAAATTATCTAACATAATATGATATTTTGTTTATCGCATGATTACAATCAAAAATTCAAGAAATCCAAATTCGTTCATCACGATATGCGATGGATAAATGGTATCATAAACGAGAATTTCACACGGATGTACTTATTGTACAGATTACACAATAATCGTGGAGAAATATAGTTTTCAAACAAGGCGAACATAATACCTGACGGAACGTACAAACATGTTTGACCATTAGCCTACAAATCCAACATAAGCAATCAAATACATGTAATCCTTAAATTAAAAAAGTGTTAAGAATGTTTGCAAGCAACTTGTACTGACGTAGTATTGTAAATCTAATTCTAAGGACTGCAAAACGATTGATTCTGAATTTTCGATGGTGGGAAAGTCATTTTTATTTGCTAATTTTTCCAGCTCACGTATTATTTCAATGGGACTTTTTATCAAAAATTGATAAGAATTTCGGTGATCTGATAGAGTTTTCAAATAATATCAGATAAAATTTATTTTGACAATTATCAAAACTATGCTAATATTGCAATACTTATTGTCAAAACTATCGCTTTTAACGCTAAGACTTTTTGGTTTGGACCAAATGGTACCAAGAGAAGCGCCAACGTGAAATTAGCATTATCTGATAACATCAGATAAAATTGATAAAAATTAAAAATATCGCTAATTGATAAAAGTGAGCGTCCGTATTTAAATGCTCTAAATGGTAGCCCCTTGTCGAAGTCAATATGTTTTTATAAAACGCGTTGATCACAAATGAGAAATCAGGGCTCGACAATCTTATTATATGTTGAAACAAGTTTTTTACTTACCCTTTTCTTCTTCATTGACTCTCCCGAGTGTTTGCCCAGCTACTAACAGTAGAACTGCCGAAACGAAGAGCAACTGACGAGCACACCAAGCAGTCATGTTTTCCACTGCACAGGGGATCACTGGCACAGTTAGATTGTGATTGAGTTCAATGCTGGCATAAAACACTATACATAAGCACACTTAAAAGGAAGGCCGCCTTACTATAGCGTCATAACTCGTCATTATTCGTTTGGAATAAATTCCCTTATACGAATATTAACGTAACATTTACAAATAAAATTCCCAAATTACAAAAACAAATATGAAGTATCAAATAAACAAACAGATACTAAATTCGGGTGCATTTTATGTTTGTTAGGACTAGAAATATTTGTAACTAACATTTTTTTGCTTAACAGAGTCTGGTTATTTCTTAAGATATGGAACGAACAAATATTATTGAATGTCTTCCTTCGTTTGGATAATAAGAGTCTTTTACGATAACTGGTTTATCAACATTCTAATTTTCTATAAAAACTGCAATATTTGTGTTGATATCAGCATCATTACCTGTGTATTACCTGTATATTACATGTGTATTACCTGTGTATTACATGTGTATTATCTGTGTATTACATGTGTATTACCTGTGTATTACATGTGTATTACTTGTGTATTACATGTGTATTGCCTATGTATCACTTGTGTATTACATGTGCATTACCTTGATAACAATACAACAATTTATCATTACCAATCATTTTTAAAACACTGCTTATTTTTTCATGAATTTAACTTCAAAGATGGAATTATATACACGATATAAAAACAAGGTATAGATCTTAGGAGGCTAAACATTTACTTCAACGTATCAACAAATCAACTTTAACTTTTTTCAAAGCAGTATTAACTAATGAATGCGTATTATATAAAAAATAAAAAAATAAATAAAATAACGAAATTAAAAATATAATCATATAAAATGGCCTTCAAATCATCGCCATAATTGTGTTTAGCCTTCAGTCGGGTTTTCCATTCCCTGATATATCTCTTAACGTGAAAAGTCCAATATACATGTAGCGCCCAACTTCACACCGGAATAGCCTGACAACGGTAAAGTCAGATACCGTTGTCAGATACGGTTATGTAAGCCATTTGTAACAACGGTATCCGACTTTACCGTTGTCAGACTATTCCGGTGTGATCTTGGGAGCAATTATATCTACATCAAAATAAAAGGCATTGATGTGCATGTAAATCACTCCCGATCCGTACTGTATACTTTAAATTTCATGAACGATATTTCCAAATTAGAGGGTAGGTTTTTTATGTCACCTCGTACTCTTATTATGTGGCAGTGTAGGCTAAAATTAGTCAGCGAACCCCTAAGGAGGATGTTGCTTCTCGTGATTCCTTCGCACATGATATTTTTCAAGGGAGGTACAAACTGGTTTGACTTCTTGTCATCCTAGCGAGACCCAGATATAATTCATTCCTTGCATTCTTGTGAAAAAAATTCATCAGTGTTTATGAATGTCGACGACTATAAATATAAAAAGAACTGCGCTTAAATGTCAAGGATCATGTCAAAGACCTAGTTATTTAAAATCACACGTCTATTATCACTATTCATAAGATATAAATTTAATAGGTCATTTTAATACAGAATTGCAATTTTATTCAGTTACAATATACGTTTGATAATGAAAACCTAAAAAGTACGAACGACTGCAAAATAAACCAGAACAACGGCAACGCCAAAGCGTAGCGAATCCCATCGAACAGAAATGGCTAGCATTTTTACAAACGAATAGCAAATATCATAAAACAACACACATAAGAAAGGCCACCATTTTCAAAATGGTTGCTCACTAGCCAAGTTGTCATCAGAAGAAATAATATGCTTTTCAGTAGCCACCTCTAAAATTTTTGAAAATCGCACACGTACTTGTAAAATAACACACATAAAAATGGTGGCCATTTTTCAAAATGGCCGACTACTCCCCAAAGTTTTATTAGAAAATGTGCCATTTTTAAAGTATTCACATATCAAATATGAACAAAATCGCTCCACTACTTTTTGAGTTATAGTAAAATACGTTAAAATGGCGGCCATTTTTCAAAATGGCAACCTTCTACCAAAAGTGTCATTAGAAATAGACAATGTGCCATGCTTATAGTATTCACATACCAAATATGAACAAAATTGCTCCACTACTTTTCGATAATAATAGTAAAATACGTTAAAATGGCGGTCATTTTTCAAAAAAAAATTCAAAATGGCCGCCTTCTACCAAAAGTGTCATGGGACAGTGTGCCATGCTTATAGTATTCACATACCAAATATGAACAAAATCGCTCCACTACTTTTCGAGTTATAGTAAAACATGTTAAAATGGCGGCCATTTTTCAAAATGGCCGCCTTCTACCAAAAGTGTCTTAAGACAGTGCTTACCAAATATGAACAAAATCGCTCCACTATTTTTTGAGTTATAGCAAAAATCGTAAAATGACGAGTAAAGGCCACCATTTTTCAAGATGGCTGCCATGTGCTTCTTTAATATCTACATTTGTAGCATTATTAATGTCCTTTATAATTTTTTTACATTTAAAACATATTGCTATAACAGTTTTACATATAACACCTAAATTACTGTAAAATCGGCACTAAAACGGCCGCCATTTTGAAATGAGCGGCCATTTTGAAAATCGGCTTTCGAGCAGAACTTCTACCCCCATAAGGTATATGTGTACAAAATATGAACAAAATCGGGCCAACGGTATTTGAGTTATTGCCCGGACGGACGTACGTACGTACGGACGGACGGAGGCGTTCCCTATATCCCTCCGAACTTCGTTCGATGGGATAACTAACAGGGCATGGATGAAGATTGAGATTTACATGGTTAACATAGAGATAAGCTTGTATAATTAAGTCAAGGCTAGTACTGGACTCGTGTTTTCAAAGTGATAACACTAGCTTTCAGTGTGCAGATCTTGGAAAAGGATTCATAAATTTGCCGATAATGGCATTTGGCTGTAGAGTTTATGACCCAACCCTTCTTCCACTCAAATTAGATCAACTGTTATCTTGTTGCCATGGTAACGAGAGTAAAGACTTGAAGTTAATAGATTTCCATAGTTAAAATGTTTCAAAATGGAGGGGAATATGTTGTTATTATATGTTTTCTTCAGAATTTATAGTGTATATCTCTGATGATATGGTATAAACGCTGTCATTCATTTCGTTCCTTACATGTTGAGCCTTGCTACCATCTACCTTCTAATTATATGTGCAAGTTTTGGCAACTTTCCTCTTCTTAACCACATCAACTTTTTGCAGAGATGGTACTGCATTATATTATTGGTAACATTATTTCGGCATAGCAACTACCTAGCAACGGAAGTAATTACGACATTGGAGCCTCAAAACCAGCTAAGATATCTCTACAGACATCGGATAATGTCATATTTTTCCTAGCAATTAAATGTTGGAGCCTGATAACCATTTTAGATAGGCAAATTACTACCGTATTTCGTTTGGTATGGAATAACGTTGAGAGGTAATGACACAACACCTATAAAACTTGATGACGTGATTATTTCGTTTCTACTACTAACAGTAGTTAAAGCAATGTACCAATACGTTGATTTTTTTAAATTAATGATATTGCAAGGACGTGAATGTTACATTGTTGCGAAGAACACCCTTAATATCTGCAGTAAGCTAGCTACTATCAAATAACGCAGATGCGAGTAGGAAGTTACCAGTTTCACCACCAGATGGCTCGTTCGGGTCAGATAGCATGACGGATATAGTAAAAAGTTCCCTTTAACTTAAATTACATCTGTTAGTAGTTCAATTTTTCATATCACCCTTATGTATCTAACAGTTATGGAAATTATAATACAATACAAGAAACGATATTTCACTTTTTGCGATTTTGTAACATGGAATATGGGGAATTTCCCCGAACTAGAAGTCACAATTTCAAAAAACATTAATTTTCAAAGTTGATAAACAATTTTCGAAACCATATTTGTAGATGTACTTTTACATGTAGATTTCAAATATGACATCACTGTGACTGAATTCAGTTGAAATAGCCTATTTAATGACATAAATGAAGATTATTTTTACTCGCATTTAGTCGATCAGGGAATGTTTTATAGATAAGGTTACTTGTCCAACACCCCTGTGGGACCCTAACCACTCAATTCAAATTCAAGCATAGATTAAAATGGTGTAGGTGCCTATACTTTACATCTGTTTGCACAAATTGTTTGTGCAACATAAAATAGTTCCATTTCTCTGATGATGACAATTATGAATTCAATAGCCACAGTTGTACACTCCCCTTCATAAGTTTGGCAACCTTAGCTCGCCCATTGAACTACGTGTTAAAGCCTCTTTACGTTTGAATTTTTATTTACTTAACCGGCGATGGAATTACTTATAATATTGAGGGAAATGTAACTTGACTTTCTTCCCAATTCCTCCAAATTTTCTCAATTTTTTCCTCAATTACAATAGGTCGAAAATCGATGTTTTTGATGAAATTTTGAAAATCGTCATTCCCATGTAATCGACTGTGAAATGGAGTGTTCGGGGAAAATCAGAAATCAGGATATCTTTTCAGCAAAAGATTCAGCAAAAAATATTTCATATAGAAAATTGAATTGTGTAACTTTTTTGTACACTAGGTGTTTAGTTCATTTGATGAATACTAAAGTTACATGTACAGCGTTTCAAAGTCATTTTTGAAAATAATTTTTCGCCTCGCTCCTGTGTTATTTCAATGGGAGACGTTTTTTGAAAAACAATTTTGACGTTAAAGCCCTTTAACTTTGTTGAACCTGAAGGAACATATCAATTTTTTGTTGAATAAGGTTAGCTAATTCAATTGCCTGCCTAGCTCGAATTTTTTGCAAGAAATCGGATGGATGGATATTCTGTCATATGACTTGCGGCAAACCTACCATTTCCCATTGGTTAACATGGGAATGTCGATTTTCAAAAATTCATCAAATTTATCATCAATTTTTGACTTATTTGAGGAAAAAATTGAGAAAATTTGGATTTGAAATAAGTCAAACTACAAAAATCTTTATTAATATAGGCTATGACACATACGGAAATAAAATGATTATACATGTATGTACAGAGTAATTACACAAGTCTCTTTTTAGTATCCTCTCTTTAAATAGAATACTACTAAAACATTTTGCAATTATCAATCAAACTTGGCACAACCTTCAACAGGCTAGGTTTTCTTACGTTTAGTTTGTAATTGTTTGAATAAATTCTTTTTTGCATCTTTCTTCATCTGAAGATGTGCTGTTCTGTCTTGCCTTGAGATATGTATGGATAACGTTCCAAACTCAGCGTCAGAGTCACTGCTTGGGCTACTTTCATAGCTCACATTCTCTTCCCCATCACTTACAATAAAATCAGATTCATCATCACTACTTATACAAGTAATAGGTGTATCACCCTTTAAAGGCACATTACCTGCAATAGTCATATCACTTGTTGGCCTTTCACCATGATGTTTGATGAAGTCATCAATTTCATCATCATCTGAGATATGAGTCCCATCATTAGCTGTGTTCATGTTTGAATTATCATTTGGATCATTCATTGTGTTTTGATTGGCATTACCCTTAGTTTCCTGGCTCAAAGTGGTTTGTTTTATTGGGGTTGATTGTGGAAGAATCTGAAATTCTGAGCTATAGTTTTCACTCTCTGCAGTTGTGGTAGCATGATCATGATCAGTTTTAACAGTGTCATTGGCATTATTGATGTTTTCCTTTTCATTATCATTCATGTTTATGTCCCCATTGATGGTTGTGGAAGATTCTTCCTCCAAGTCTGAAGAGCTCTCAATGACAGACTTGCGTGTCTTACATTCTGTAGTCTCGTCATCGCTGCTACTGTCTGACGATGTCACATACCGCTTTATGCGTTTGTACTTTGAATCACCCTGAAAAACAAACGACATTTGTACACTCTAAACTGATAAAGCCTTCTTGTGGCATTTGGAGAATGGATAATGACACAAAGAGGGGAAATGTCATGACATAGGTTCATATTGTTAATACAGCTTTTGTTACATGCACCTTATTATTTTAGATAGACTGGAAAGTGATTTGAATAAGTTTCTTACTATGGCTCATTTTTTCATGGTTTCAATAACTGATTTAGATAAATTCTTAGTTTAGAAATTTCTATTGATGACTCCCTGATTCAAAGATGGCGTTCTCTTCATATTAAAACTCCAATGAAATCCCATAGAAGTTGTACCTCCTCATGAATTGGAATTTCAATGTTCTGGGTTTGAATTTCAAGGTGGAAAGTATTTGAACTTGACATATGGTGAGTTCATATTTGTTATTGCTGCTTTAAAAACACACCTTCTTGTTCAATGATCCACGTCTTTTCTTGATCTCTGGCTGGTCTTCATTCTCACTCTCAGTTGATTCAGAGGAGGACCCTCTTGACTGGGACCTCCTAGACTGGGCCTTTCTTGGCCTATTTCTTCCTAAATTTTTAGATTTCTTTCTTTGATGCTTCGCTACCTTTGGAGCCTCCTCTTCAACAATAAAATCCCCAAGTGATGAGTCACTGTCCGAATATTCATCATCTAAGTTACAATAGCGACTATTTCTGTAAAAATAAGTTCTAATTTTTTAACAATTAGTGTATCTTTTTTTAAGATAACCAATAATTGTCAATACATTCTGACTAACAACCTTAGAACATATCATATTAGCTTATGTGAGTAAATAGACCAGTAAGTAAACCAACATTGTCACTTTAGATTTTCAAAAATACTCATATAATCATTTAAAAGTATGACAATAATCATACTAATTTAACAATACTACTTGTGCTTCTATCACACTACTCTTGATAACAATACTAACACTTAAAAATACATTCGACGTTTTATATAAATGCTCAATTTTTAATAGTCTATTATGCATTAACTATCCTATATCAGTACTCACTGTTCTATTTAATATTTAACAATTGTCACTATTCAGTGTTCTCCCCAGAATATTTTTCAAGTGGGTGCAAAATTATATTTATTTCAAAATTCCTTTTTACAGCTTAGTCAATATAATGCCTACTTTTCAGGATTTTTCTCATTTTTTGTGGGTGCAAATGTATTTTAAGTCGGGTGCAAGCCTATTATTAAACCCTCAAGTGACGTGCGGCAGCTATTTGTTTTAATGTTGTGGAGATCATGCTGTTGTCAGGTAAAACCCATACTGAATAAATATACTCACACTCTTGTATAATCGTTGACCAGTTTTCTTGGCTTCAATCTCCCAAATGACTTCTCGGGTGTTATATTACTATCAACTTGTATCTTGCCAAGAACATCTTCCCTGGTTGGCATGTGGAATTCCCTTCTGCTTTTAGCGTGAAGTCTTTCTGAGCTTCTTTTCTGAAAACAATGTTAGATACTTGATGAGGAACTCAGACAGTTCTAACTTTCTCATATACATGCAGGTGACTTGGTTGACTTGAGTTTGAGGAAGTTAGCGTTGCAAATAAGTGATTTCACAGCTACTTTTTCTGATACTTCTACAATTGGTTAGGCAGCTTCATTTCTTAGAAATAGAGTCTTATAAAAGTTCCACACTTAAAGCTATTTATTCAGTGGAAAACATTTTAGTCAAGTCACAATGACATTGTTTTATGGGTCAACAAAAGTAAAAAGGAAACCATGTTACTCAAAATTCAAATAACTCTATGATCTAAAATGAAGAATCATGTTTGTACAACATGCATGTTATATTTACCTTTGAAGAATCCATGATAAATTGAGCTTCACAATAACCAATTAAACTGCTAGAAGGGGGGGGGGGTCTTAATTCTTGATTGGTACTTTACATCAACTTAAAAATTATTGACTTCTCATCCCTGTATATACATGTGCATGTAGTTCAGTTCCTGGCCAACCTGAAATTTAACATACAAGACAAGATCTCGTCAAATTCATTATAAATCTGAATTTAAATGCAAGGTGTTAGTTTTGATGAAATATCCAAAACTGCTTTGATAAGAGGCCAACACAGTGATATTTCATCTCTGGGCTCTTGTCTGTCCAAATCTGAATTGAACTCCTGTGATTCCAAACATGTGACATCATAATTACAATGATATTTGGACACACAAGAGCCCGGATCAAGTGAAAAATATTTGCCATATTAAAAGTCAAATCATTGCGTCCCTAGGTTATTTAATCGAACCAAACAAGTAGAAATAGAAAGATGAAGATCTCAAATGAAGTGCAAAATCTGTCACAGGAAAGCAGGTACCATTTTGTATAAGGAACGTTTTGAAAGGTGGTCACTTTTTTTGGAAATTTTCCAATTTGGTGTCTCATCTTATGAATTATTCTTTGAGCCTATGAGATCCAACTGCTTAACAATCTGGCCAACACATATGTTTTTTCTTGAAATACATTGGCGTCAGAAGGGGGAGGGCATTGGGGGCGAGTAGGGAATAAGAGTACAAAGACAAGGTCTGCAAAACAGATATAGTGGGGAATATAAAGAATTACTATAGCTATGAAAAATACATGCTGTCGCACATGTAATAAATTCTTACTTCAGTATATTCAGTGCTCTATTTTCTTCATCCTAGTAAGTCCAAATATAGTGGATTTTTGTGCCCATAATGACAAATAGGAACTTAAAAATTTGAAGTAGATATTCACATGTTAATGCCGACTCTTCAATTGTTGAGGTGATTTTGGAGCCTGATGGCGCCGCAAGGAGGATTGGCTCCCAGAATGCAACATGACACGTGCCAGATTTCAAAATGCCGTTCCGCCATTTTGAAACCTGTCACAAGTAAATCAGGTTGACTGATGCACAGATATTGGCTAGATCGTTTTGTAGTAGGATCTCATAGGCTCAAAGAATAATTCACAAGATATGACACTAAATTGGAAAATTTCAAAAAAATATGACCACCTTTCAAAAATGTTCCTTATGTGAAATGGTACCTGCTTACCCATGACAGATTTTGCACTTACAGTATTTTATAGCTGAGATCTTCATCTTTCTATTTCTACTTGTTTGGTTCGAGTAAATAACCTATGGATGCAGTTATTTGACTTTTAATATGGCGAATATTTTTCACGAGATCTAGACTCTTGTGTGTCCAAATATCATTGTAATGATGACGTCACATTTCTGGAACCACGGGAGCACCATTTAGATTTGGACAGACAAGAGTCCGGCGATAAATTATCACTGTTTTGGCCTCTTATCAACGCAGCATTGCTTGAATAACGGTCATTGATGATAAAAAAGTTAAAGAATAACAAGATGCTTCGAATGAGGTATGATTTGTCTCATATTTTTCAGAAATGGCTCCATAATCGTCATTTTAAAATTTGAAATTTTCTGAGGTGACTCATCTTGAGGAATATTTATTGAGCTACTGATCCTACTACAAAAGAATCTGGCCGTGATCTATGGACTGATGTTACATTCTGGGAGTCAATCCCCCTTGGATCACAAACATGGCGATTCATGAAAACATTTGTATGATTTGGTAGGAATTTATCCATCATTTGCAGGTACAGTATGAAGCTTTGGATTCATTTATTGTGCAACTTAAAGTGAACGGGAATTATTTTCTACCGCTTGGGAGAGTTTGAGACACGAAACTTAAAATTTAGCTTATTGTGACAACTTTTGATGGTTGAGGTTTATTAATGTCTCCGACTTAATGTGCAGGTACTGTATCTAACAGAAATTTGTATCGCGCAAATAACAGCTTTTCCCTGTATTTATTTTCTCCCGAATGGCAACTTCTTCCAGGTTGGCCAATAGTGTCAGGTTTTGCTTACAAGTTCCTGTGAAATATCTGTTCTGTGGACCCTGAATAAGAATGCACTCTTATTCCTTACCTCTCATATCTCCTGAAGTCACGATGACCTCTTACAAGATTTTTAAAAACAATCCAAGACACTATTAGAAATGAAATAAACACAAACATGTGAGATCATGGGAGGCCCGGATAGAGGTACCCTACCTAGGCCTAAGTAACCTCAGAAATGGAGGGAAAATTGAAAAAATTAAAAATTGTTTTTTTTCATTTTCCATGAAATAGCCTGCTTAGTTTACTCATATTTACCGGTATTAAGGTACAGCTGGAAAGTAACATTTTGTTAAAAAATTGCTATACCAGCACATGTTATTTTCTGGTACAAAATAAAGTATGAAGGCATGTGTCAATTTCCTTGCTTTTTTCAGGAAAGTATCATTACATTGTCTTCTTTAAGAATATCTAGTAGGAGTTCAATGGGAACTCCAGGAAATTCTGATATTTCACACTTTCTTTTTTTCCAAATTTTCTTTCAAAGTTTCCGGACAACACAGGTGCTACCATTGACCTGTTTCCAGGTTTACTAAAAGTAGACAGTGTAATGATACTTTCCTGAAAAAAGCAAGGAAATACACTCATGCTTTCATACTTAATTTTGTACCAGAAAATAACATGTGCAGGTATCACAATTTTTTACCAAAATGTTACTTTCCAGCTGAACCTTAACCTACATAACATAAGCAATAATGTTTGCGTCGCCATTAGATGTTACACTACATACCTCCAAGGAGCTACAACTGTCGTATTTTACACCTTTTACTGGTAATTGTGAAATAAAAGTAGATTTGTTTTTGATATTTCAAACCGGAAGTATGTGCTATTTATACGAACGGACAGAACATTGTGACGAAATACAGTTCTTACTTTAACCCATATAACTTTGTCTTAATTTGGACCTACATGTAGGTCCTACAGTATATCTAAATGTATTTTCATACAATACTGATATTTATCATTCCAAAATCAGTAATGGCTCTGAATTATTAAAATGTGACAACAGATTTCAATTATGCAGGATGTATTTATTTATTTAACATCTGCCATGATTTATGATTGTGCTTACTCGAGTCTTTAGCTATGAGAAGGCTTTCTTACATCTTACATCTATCCTAGGGGAAGAAGGTTGGATCCTGTTTAATCCCCATCTTTTTATCGGTCATTGTTTGTATTTGTTACGTGTTATTTGTTGTGCGATGCGCCAAATAAATAGTTCAGAAGTTGTATTGTTCATTTCTGAATATATTGTCAATCTGGTTTTTGAAGCTATTGACATCTTTGGCACTAATAGCAGATTCGGGTAGTTTGTTCCAGTTATTTGCAACACGCTGGGTAAAAGACATCCTTCTAACTTCTGTTCTATTAAATCTAATCTGCACTTTTTGACTATGCCCTCTGGTGTTCCTAAGTTTGGGTTTCTCAAACAGTTTGTTAGGATTTATTCTGTCTTTACCTCCTCCTCCTAGTATTTTGTAGGCTTGAATTAGGTCACCTCGTTTTCTTCTGTATTTAAGAGAGGGTAGTTTTAATGTCTTCATACGTTGGTTGTAAGATAGATTACTTATGGAAGGTATCAGTTTTGTTGCACGACGCTGCACCTTCTCAAGATTGTCCTCGTCTGTTTTGTATCTCGGCCCCCATATTATGTTACCATACTCAAGGATGGGTCTGACTAAAGCTTTGTAGAGTAATGGTAAGATTGTTGCATCAAGATTGCTGAATGTTCGCTTAATGAGTCCAAGTACATTGTTAGATTTTATTATGGCATCATTAGTGTGCTTATGGAACTTCAGCTTTTCGTCTATTTGAACTCCTAGGTCCTTTTCTACTTCACTTGGTCGTATTTGTTCCGTGTTGATTAAGTATTCCTGTCTTGTGTTGTTACTTCCTAAATGCATCACACTACATTTATCTGTGTTTAGTTTGAGCTGCCATCTATCTGACCATCTAGAGAATTCATCTATATCATTTTGTAGTTGTCTGTGTTGTGCCTCATGCTTTACCACATTGAACATTTTGGTATCATCCGCATATATCATAGTTTCGCTCAGGATATTGTCAGGAAGATCGTTAATGAAGATGGCAAATATCGTGGACCCCAAAACGGACCCCTGAGGTATTCCACTCGATACAGGACTCCATGATGAGGCTGATCCATTGATTACGACACGTTGTTGCCTTCCCCTTAGGAAATTCCCAAACCATCTTAGTAGCGGCCCTCCAATCCCATAAGATTCCAGTTTCATTAGTAGTCGCTCATGCGGAACGGTATCAAACGCCCGCGAAAAATCAAAATATATTGTGTCTATGGGGTCTCCAGCGTCAATAAGCTTTGTTATTTCCTCCATATACATTATCAGTTGTGTTATGCATGAACGGCCTGGGACAAATCCATGTTGATCGTCTGTAAAAAGCTCATTTTTCATGAAGTGGTCGATAATAGCGTCTCTTATTAATGATTCTAGTATTTTCACCACTACTGATGTTAGACTAATGGGTCTATAGTTCTTAGGTAGTTTTCTTTGACCTTTTTTAAAAATGGGTGAAACATTGGCTTTTTTCCAATCGTCTGGTAATATGCCACTGTCCATTGATTTCCTGAAGATGATTTTTAAAGGAGACACTATATTTGATTTAATTTCACGGAGGACACATGGGTGCATATTGTCAGGTCCCATAGATTTGTTAGCATCTAGTTTTAACAGTTTCTCCAATATCCGATCCTCGTCAATTGTTATATCATTTAGTGGGACTTCTCCTGTATATATTGCATCAACATGTGGAAATTGTTCCATGTTCTCTTGTGTGAAGATACTGGAGAAGTATCTGTTGAATTCCTCTGCTGTTTCAGTGTCATTCTCTGTTGATGATCCATTGGCTCTTTCAACACTGCCAATTTTATGATCTGTTTTCCTTTTACTGTTACTGTAGTTCCAAAAACTTTTTGGGTTCTTTTTCATATTTTTGGATAAATCTGTTTCAAATTGCTTCTTTAGCTCTCTCGTCTTGGCTCTAAGGGAATTTCTAGCTTCCCTGTACTTCTCGAAGTCGGCAGCTGATTTAGTTTCCCTGTATCTACGCCAGTGCGCATATTTTCTTTTGTTGAGTTTAAGTGTTGGTTTATTCATCCAGATATTTTTCCTTCTTTGTTTACTTGGCTTTGAAATAGGGACGCATGTTTCTAGGGCATCATTGTATTTCTCTTTGAAACAGGACCATGCTTCCTTCACGTCCTTATCTTTCAGTGTGTTTTCCCACTCTATCTTACTGAGTATGTCATTCATCTTTTTGTAGTCTCCATTTCTGTAGTTGTATCTCTTTGTTGCTGGTTTAGCCGATTTTTTCGCTCTCAGTGTTGTGTTGAAACATAGGCATATATGGTCACTTAGCCCTAAAGGGGGGAGATAGTTAATTTCCCCAATCAGTCTGTCATCATTGACTAGTATAATATCTAGAAGACTCGGATTTTGGCCGGGTCTATATCTTGTGTTTTGGTCCACCTTCTGTATCAGGAACAGTTCTTGGATACATTCTATAAATAAGTGTGATGAGTGTGTAGTGGGTGCTGTACTCTCTTGAGTATTCCAGTTGATTTCTGGGTAGTTGAGATCCCCTAATATAATCACGTGATCTGCCTGTATTCTATTCATCACTGTAGATAATAGGCTTTGGGCCTAAGTAAGATTGTGCCATGATCACAAGGATTGTACCAAATACACACAGCAGTGGCTGAATGCAAAGGGAGCAAAGGGTACTATGTGAGGGAAAGAAAACTGAAATAAATCAGATTTTTTATCCTTTTACAAAGGATTGGTATCGATATGGCGAACTGAATTCAAAATTGTTTTTCTCTCAAACCAATTATTGAAAAAGCACTGTCCTTTACATGTATGTAATGGTCACTGGTTGAAAACAATCTGAAGCAGAATATATTATATTATATATACTAGATAATAGCATATACATTTTTTATAGCATATACATTTTCTTTGACCTCTCAATATTATAGTTGTACAAAGGAAAGTTTGGTTCATTTAACAAAAAGTATTCAAAAAATTAAAACAAAAACCACCAAAATATATTAAAGTAAACATTTTATTCATTAACAAGATTCTTTTTTTATAACCAAACTTTCCCTTATACAGTTACAATATTGTGAGACCTAAACATTTGTACATGTATATGTCATTTTGTACAGATAGATGTTCCATTTCAGACCATCGAGTGTTAATTTTAGGAAACAACACCCAAAAAGAATGATCATAACGCAATGCATTGAGTCTTTGGCTTCAATTCTTATCACACATTGCAAAATATTTTTCACAAAATCATTTAAAAGATACAAAATATTATTGTATAACTGTATGCAGTTGCATGAAATAGTGTGGCCTAATTGGCTGGAATTGGACATACCTTGCCTGGCTAGCTACAGTATTTATGAATCAGATTTGACAATTTGCAATTTGATAGTAGTTGCACTATATCGTTTTATAATCTAATGAAACTAACGATCATATATAATTATTACATGTACATACATGTAATGTATTTATTATTTGTAAAATATATCTCTTACAATCATACTATACAATAAACATGCCTAAGTTTCAGGCCTATGATTTAAAAAGATTTACATAATCATCATTGTATTTCTGCAATACACAGTTCCATTTGAAATGAACTGCGCACTACGAGGAATGCAAAGACTTCAAGACGAGGTTAATCAGAAGTTAGCCCAAATCGCACCCGGATTCCAGAATCGACCAATCACCACAAAAACCAACAAAACCAAACAGAAGAAAGAGAAGAAGATCCCCAAAGACAAAGACATTAAGCACAAAACCAAAAAAGGTAAAAAAAATTCACATAGGTCTAGTAAGAATTATTTTTCCTCAAGTGAATCCTCAGCATCTTTAAGTTCAACCTCAGATTCAAGCTCCGAGTCTTTGTCAAGTGAATCAGATTATGATACTGAGTCTGAATCAAATTCCTCTGAATCAAAATATTCAAAAAAATCAAGAAAGACCAAACATAGATCAAGCAAAAAAAAATCAGGAATAAATCAAACCCATTCAAAGTCTTGTAAAAATCCTCAAAAATATCCTCATATAGGCCTCAAATATGAATTTGCAAGAATGAATGTCAAATACAAAGACCTAGACATAAATCTGTTCGTGGCAGGAGTTTTGAATTTGGTGGTCAATGAGATAGAATATCATAAAATCTCAAGGTCAGGTGTTGTCATCAAATTAAAGCATTTAATGGAGTTGATGTATTTGAACAAAAGAGGTTTTTCATGGGTCCAAGTTAGAAATTTCCATGCTAACATTCTAAGTGAGATTGAGTCAGGGGAATTTTCTTGGGGTGACGATACGACTCACATTTTGAACCACCTCTCTGTACAGAACCAAGTTAATAAAAAGCCTCAAAACATCCAAGTTCATACAGGTCAAAACATTAGCTGGTACTGCATAGATTTCAACAAAGACAACTGCGCAGAAAATTCTGCGCATATGTCAAAACAGCAGATCAAAGGACAAGTTAGATTGTTAGAACACATTTGTTCGGTTTGTTATAACAAAGACAGGTCCAAGTCAAATCATTCAAAAACTAAATGCCTGCAAGGCATTTCTCATCCGAGTAAGTAATTTAGAAAAAGAACTTACTTCAACTTTGGACTTATCTCTGTTAGATCAAACAGAAACTTATGTTGTAGATAAGGATAAGAATTACAATTTTGACACAACACAACACTTAGGGTACACAAACCCAACAAACACAATTTTAGCATGCACACAAACAGAAAGTACATGCAACAACCACATACACAACAACACACAGAGTCTACAAACAATTTTGACAGTTCAAGACGAACTTATATTACCGGACTCACCAACACTTTTACAATCACCACATGAACAATGGCCACCTACGTTAGTTCAAAATCATGGCCTATACATTGAATTACACAACAACATCACACAAACAGGGGCTTACAATTTTGAAAAGGCACGTATACCTCTACCAACACCTCTGATAATAGAAAATTGGAAAAAACTCTTGTCAGACTATTCAGATAAAGAAATAGTCAAATTTTTGGAATTTGGTTGGCCCATAGGTTTCGAGGGAATTATAACACCCAATAACAAACCTACTAACCACGGCAATGCTCACAATTTTCCTAAACACATTGACCAGTTCATTATTAAGGAGGTGCAAAAGAGAGGTACTATAGGCCCTTTCAACAATAACCCTTTTTCACACAACATACTTTTATCCCCACTCAATACAGCGGATAAAAAGAATTCAGAATTACGACGCACTATTGTAGATCTCAGTTTCCCACCAGGAAACGGCATAAACGATGGTATTCCTGAAGGTCAATTTCTTGGAGAAGAAATCAATCTTACTTACCCTTCAATTGATGATTATTCACAAATCATAATCAAATTAGGTAAAGGTTGCGCTTTATTCAAGGTCGACCTGTCTAGAGCATATAGACAATTGCATCTAGATCCTTTTGATTACGACAAGATCACCTTTTGTTGGAGACAAAAAATCTTTTTTGACGTAGTTCTGCCTTTCGGTCTCAGGACTGCGGCATACATTTGCCAAAGAGTTACTAATGCTATCACATACATTCACCAACAACAAGGTTACCATGTAATCAATTACTTGGATGACTTCGGAGGTTGCGAACCTTTTGATAACGTGAATTCAGCAGTCAGTCACTTAAAACAAACACTCACTTCACTTGGCTTATCAGAATCCTCAGAGAAATATCTTGCTCCAAGTAACAAAATGGAGTTCCTGGGCATTCTGGTAAACACCAACAATATGACACTCTCAGTCACACAAGACAGACTATTAGAAATTACACAACTAATAGAACATTGGTTAACTTTAAACAGTGCGACCAAAAAACAATTAGAAAGTCTTTTAGGTAAACTCCTCTTTGTCTCAAAATGCGTTAGAGGGAGCAGGGTGTTCATTAATAGACTCCTGGTTAAGTTCAGAAGCTTGAAAAAACAACATCATAAGTTCAAAATCTGTTCACAATTCAAGAAAGACTTAGTGTGGTGGAAACATTTCATGGGCACCTACAATGGAGTCACAGTCATCCCTGATAGTGAATGGACACCTTTAGATTCCATTGTGGCCACTGATGCATGTAACACAGGTTTAGGTGGATATTCACATAACAAATTTTATCACACTACCATCCCACTTTCCTTACAATCTCACAGCATTAACGCTTTGGAATTACTAGCTATTTTATTAGCATTAAAACTCTGGGGTCACCACTTTCAAAAGAAACGCGTTTTGGTCAATTGCGACAACCAAACTTCGGTATTGGTGATCAACACCGGTAAATCCAGAGATAAGTTTTTACTGTTGCTCTTAAGAGAAATTTCTTTCGTAGCAGCTACGCACAACTTTCAAATCAAAGCAACACACATACCCGGTCATACCAATGTGTTAGCAGATAGTCTCAGCAGGTGGCATACAGGCTTAGAATTCCAAAACAAAGCTAAACAATTGCTCCCAGAGAATTCAGTCGAGTACAAAATCAAATCCTTTCATTTCAATTTTAATGAATGTTGGTAATTTTTCCAGATCAAATCAAGGAGCTCAAAAAGCAAGCTAATCACAACATGATGTCTGCATATAACAGCAAAACCTGGCAGAATTTATACACACAATGGAGGACTTTTCTTTTATTTTGTGTTTATTACAACATGGCATTTTTACCAGTTCAAACAGACACCATTCTTATTTACATGCAATTCTTGAGTAGGACTTTCAAATCAGTGTCTTCCATTTTAAATTATGTAAACGGCATAAAAGTTCTACATTTATTACATGAATTGCCCTTTCCTTTACTTCATAGGGAATTCCAATACAAACTCCTTTATAAAGGTTTACAAAGAAATAATCTACACACCGTCAAAAGAGCTTTACCTATTACCCCAGAAATTTTAACTCAAATTTTTGGCTCGTTAGATCTAACCTCAGATTTAGAGTCCACATTTTGGTTTCTAATCCTCACACTTACGTTCTTATTCGCAAGAGCAGGAAACATTATCCCTTATACAACTTCTACTTTTGAGAACAACAAACATCTTTTACAACAAGATATTTTCAAACAAGACTCAGCTGGTTTGATTTTCCTCATAAAACACTCTAAAACAAACCAAGCAGCACAACGCATTTTAACACTTCCGGTGTTAGCCAAAGAAAGTTCTCCCTTAAATATTGTGTCCGCATTCAATCATAAAAATTCTTTCCATAAATATAAGAAAACTTTTCCAGCCTTTCTTTACTCAAAGAATGGTAAATTGATTACATTTACAAGGCAAAAATTCGTTAAAATTTTGAGAAACAAATTACAAAATTTAGGATATAATCCTTCATTTTATAGTGGACATAGTTGCAGAAGAGGGGGAGCTTCCTGGGCATTCAACGCTAACGTTACTGGTGAAGCCATTAAGGCACATGGAGATTGGGCTTCGCAGTGTTATCTTAGATACATAGAATTGAATATCGCTTCCAAACTGGCAGTCAGTCATAGAATGTTAGCACAAATTTAATCAAATTCACTACTTTACGCATGGTAAATGTTCATAAGTTTATTCTTGGCGCCTCGGCTTGGTGGGCGCGACCAGTTTGATTACTTTAAATTATCATGAAAACATAATAAATATGTTTTCTTGCAAACTAGTCGCCCTTGCGCCAAATAAATGTGTTATAAGTTTCATTTTACTTTATGTTTTTATGTTTTTGTTTTATTTTACGTTGTCTTGTTTTGAGTCTTATTTAATTTATGTATGTTTTGTCAATAAACTGTAATATTTTAAGTGTCATAATATGTCACTTTATTGTTTGTATTTAACTAACAAACTAAGTGTTTGTAATGTATTGTATTCTTGTGTTGTAACAGTTTCCATACAAAGAAACACAAATCTTATTTGAATGAATCATCAATAAACTATAAATTATTATTTTAACCAATTTTCAGTTACTTGGATCAATTTAATTTGTCGTATTTTTGAGACCAATTGTTGGTACCTAAAATGCCGTAATTTAATTGGTCAACATAAATTAACTTCAACCAATAGAAACCTTACCTGTTGTCACATGACCCAATATTATAATTATTACCCGCCAATTTTACTTACCTTCACTTACACAAAGAACTTCCTTATATCAACACCTTCTTTTTAAAATTCCAGGTAAGGTTTTTATACTTTCATTATTTCAAATCAAGTTATTTTCAATATTGTAATTAATTAAAGTAATTTCAATCTTTTATTTACAACAAAGAACTTCTTATATCAACAGCTTCTTTTTAAAATTCCAGTCCACATTAAATTTCATTTCCCCACCCTAAACCCACCCTCTACATTTTATCAAGATTTCACAATTAGGGTGGGCGCGACCAGTTTGATTACTTTAAATTATCATGAAAACATAATAAATATGTTTTCTTGCAAACTAGTCGCCCTTGCGCCAAATAAATGTGTTATAAGTTTCATTTTACTTTATGTTTTTATGTTTTTGTTTTATTTTACGTTGTCTTGTTTTGAGTCTTATTTAATTTATGTATGTTTTGTCAATAAACTGTAATATTTTAAGTGTCATAATATGTCACTTTATTGTTTGTATTTAACTAACAAACTAAGTGTTTGTAATGTATTGTATTCTTGTGTTGTAACAGTTTCCATACAAAGAAACACAAATCTTATTTGAATGAATCATCAATAAACTATAAATTATTATTTTAACCAATTTTCAGTTACTTGGATCAATTTAATTTGAGTTCATGGGAGGCCCGGATAGAGGTACCCTACCTAGGCCTAAGTAACCTCAGAAATGGAGGGAAAATTGAAAAAATTAAAAATTGTTTTTTTTTCATTTTCCATGAAATAGCCTGCTTAGTTTACTCATATTTACCGGTATTAACCTACATAACATAAGCAATAATGTTTGCGTCGCCATTAGATGTTACACTACATACCTCCAAGGAGCTACAACTGTCGTATTTTACACCTTTTACTGGTAATTGTGAAATAAAAGTAGATTTGTTTTTGATATTTCAAACCGGAAGTATGTGCTATTTATACGAACGGACAGAACATTGTGACGAAATACAGTTCTTACTTTACCCATATAACTTTGTCTTAATTTGGACCTACATGTAGGTCCTACAGTATATCTAAATGTATTTTCATACAATACTGATATTTATCATTCCAAAATCAGTAATGGCTCTGAATTATTAAAATGTGACAACAGATTTCAATTATGCAGGATGTATTTATTTATTTAACATCTGCCATGATTTATGATTGTGCTTACTCGAGTCTTTAGCTATGAGAAGGCTTTGGGCCTAAGTAAGATTGTGCCATGATCACAAGGATTGTACCAAATACACACAGCAGTGGCTGAATGCAAAGGGAGCAAAGGGTACTATGTGAGGGAAAGAAAACTGAAATAAATCAGATTTTTTATCCTTTTACAAAGGATTGGTATCGATATGGCGAACTGAATTCAAAATTGTTTTTCTCTCAAACCAATTATTGAAAAAGCACTGTCCTTTACATGTATGTAATGGTCACTGGTTGAAAACAATCTGAAGCAGAATATATTATATTATATATACTAGATAATAGAATATACATTTTTTATAGCATATACATTTTCTTTGACCTCTCAATATTATAGTTGTACAAAGGAAAGTTTGGTTCATTTAACAAAAAGTATTCAAAAAATTAAAACAAAAACCACCAAAATATATTAAAGTAAACATTTTATTCATTAACAAGATTCTTTTTTTATAACCAAACTTTCCCTTATACAGTTACAATATTGTGAGACCTAAACATTTGTACATGTATATGTCATTTTGTACAGATAGATGTTCCATTTCAGACCATCGAGTGTTAATTTTAGGAAACAACACCCAAAATGAATGATCATAACGCAATGCATTGAGTCTTTGGCTTCAATTCTTATCACACATTGCAAAATATTTTTCACAAAATCATTTAAAAGATACAAAATATTATTGTATAACTGTATGCAGTTGCATGAAATAGTGTGGCCTAATTGGCTGGAATTGGACATACCTTGCCTGGCTAGCTACAGTATTTATGAATCAGATTTGACAATTTGCAATTTGATAGTAGTTGCACTATATCGTTTTATAATCTAATGAAACTAACGATCATATATAATTATTACATGTACATACATGTAATGTATTTATTATTTGTAAAATATATCTCTTACAATCATACTATACAATAAACATGCCTAAGTTTCAGGCCTATGATTTAAAAAGATTTACATAATCATCATTGTATTTCTGCAATACACAGTTCCATTTGAAATGAACTTCAGATTTGGATATATTCCAAAAGTTTCTCATTATTTTCCAGCCATTCCTTTGGGAAGTTACTAGATAATGATTTGTGGGATCATCTATATATTTTAGAGACCCCAATACAAATTCTTGTGCGAATGCTCTGTGAATGCAAATATACAGCAAATCAAGTTCTCTTGCACTAAGATCCATATGAGTAAAATAACCAGCTAGAAAGTGACCTGCGACATCAACAGGGTCAATTAAAGTGACCTCTATCATTAAGTAACAGATTGCTATCGCAACCTCAAAAATAAAATAGCTTCTGAAACTATCTCCAAAGTCAATTACACCAGTGGCAACATATTGTTCATCATTTGTGTTAGTATTGTCATTGGCACTTTCACTGACATCAAATTGTGCGTGTTTAATCACTTGGCCATCATTTGGCACTTTGGAATGACTACCAGCTTTTACTTGGTTTGATTTATCAATTGTTTGTATTTGCACTATGATATTTTCATCATGAAAATCTCCATGTATTATACCTGGAATAGAAAACATTACATTCTATGAAAAATGTCATTAAGTCTCATTTCAAGTTTCCCTTATTACATATTAAATATTAGATCCAACTTCATACCAAAACACAAGAATGAAAAGTACATGGGAATAAGCCAGTAAACCATCATGTGTAAATATTTCCTCTTAATATACCCTTTGCATCATCTAAGTCTATATGATGTATTTAATGTTGTGTATTGTATAGATTGTTTATTGTTTATGTATATATTTTTTATGTTAATATATTGTTTATCTTTATGTCATATATAGCTATATATGTATTGCACTAATCTTCTTAAATTATAAAATCAGAGACACATTCTACTCTAAATATTTATATCTACATAATTATACAGTAAATGCTGTGTGAGGGAACACATTAACTTCAAAATAGTGTTCCACTTAGGAGGTGTTCTACTAACAGTAAATATTTCATTTTACATTAAGTTAATAGATAATTGGACTTTGAAGTGTTCCATTTATGGAGGTGTTCCACTTACAGGTGTTCTACTTTACAAGTTTCACTGTATATTCATAGTAAGTACGATTGTACAGTCTGAATACAGATGTAACATAAAATATATCATAACAAAATATATCATAACAAGCTTATACCATGGTCAAGAGCAATATCTACTTAAAATTCTCTGTTGAATGAGAGAACATTTTTGAAAAATTTTAATTTTTGAAAAAATGAAAAATTTTGAAAAAATTTTTTTTTTAATATATACCCAGATTGATATCCATATCAACCCTGATATCATCCCTCAAATCCCAATATCATCCCTATCCTAAATATGTGTTTTATCACTTGCTTATATTGCTCTGACTATGGTATAATATAACATACATGTATCATATAATTAAAAAACCTTTTCTACATATCTATTTGTATGCTGTCTCTAACAGTACCATATGGTACCATTTTGGCTTTGGTACTGTATGGTACTGTAAAAAATGTTATCAAACAGGACTGTAGACTAAAACAGTGTTCTGTAATGTACCATTTGGTACCATGATTCTGAATGCAGATTGGGGCTATACATAGGCTCTATATATAGAGAGCCTAAACAAAATATGTATTATATAATTTGATTGTTTCCATGTTATCAATTATGTTTTACAATGGAGAGTAAGTCTAAAATCATTGCATTACAAGATCAAACATTTTACAATCATTATAGCATTTCATTGTCAATATCTGTAGAAAAATACTTCTCAATATTATCTTATATACATGTAGTATGTCATAGATATTAGTTAGTTCACATCACTTTCTGATACCATTCTCTAATATCGTTCTAAACTCAATACAATAGCAATTACATCTGTCACTTTCATAATAACATTGTATTTTCGATAAAATGATATCAATGAAGTCATTATGGTACATAATTGTTCCGTAAAATTTAAATAGTCACTTCATTCACATGTATGTGATATGACTATATCGCAATATCATATTATCAATATCATTTTCATTAATTTGTTGATATCAATATCAGTCCTTATCCACTTTGCTCACTCACAATGACACTTCACTTCCATCGATCTGATTGGCCCGTGATATTGATATCAACTCAGTGATATAAAAGAAATCCCTCAAACCAAAGGCCAATTAGATCACTAGAAATATCAATTTAACATGAACTAACTAAGATCTTAAGAAATGTCATCATCACTGAATATAGCAATATTTTCTCATCTAATTTGAAACCCTGTATTATAAATGTACAAACATGTACAATTTGGAAGACATTTTAACATTCCATAATGTTGAAATGTATTTTATCAGCAATATATTTTTGTGCATTTCCAATCTTAATCACAAATTATTTTATATTAAATTGTAATTTAATGAGCTTAAACTAAAAATAATACAAACTTTCATTTCCATGAATCAATAAACTAATTGCATTTGCTTCCTTATAATCACCCTGAGTACATTGTAGACATGCTTTTCCCCATAATAAATTAATGGTAAGAATTCCTTTGCGTCGCTATGTATTGATCATTATATTCTGGGATCATAATAAAAAAAAAGATACGTAAATTTTAGAGGAAAATCACGTCAGTCATTCAGTGAATTACTTTTTGTAAGAATCAATGATATTTTTCCATCGCGTGTACAAAGCATCTTGAGAAACAGGCCATAGAATTTTCAATTTTTTCCATCCATTTTCCTGTGTGACTAAAAGGTACTCATTACCAGGGTCAAGGGAATACGAGTAAGCCCCCATTACAAGCGACTGAGCAAATCTAGATGCGACACATATTTTCAGTACTTCAAACTCTGATTCATTGAGTGACATTTCTGACAAATACCCTGCGAGGAAGTGTCCACCAACATCGAGGGGATCCACATTTTGACATTCAATCATGAGATAACAAATCCCGATAGCTACATCAAAGACAAAATAAGAAAATGCAGCATCTTGGAAATCTAGTACGCCACAGACATCGTATTCTTTCACAGGGGTGTCTGGTTTTAGAGAGCTTGGTGTCACCAAGAGGTTCTGCTCATTGTAATCCCCATGAATGGTACCTACAAACAACAGTGGCACCATTAACAATCTGAGGGCCCATATCAAATATTGATAAATTATTTTTTTGTGAAGATGTAATTTCATAAGGGAAAAGAGGTGATACCCCACAATTATTCAGATAAGAATTGTTGAAATTGGAGACAATGCCATTCCAGAGACATGTAAATATGCTTTAAAAACATTAATTTCAATGTTCAAAAGATTTTATGAATATCGAAGGACAATCATTTTTACATAGCCTCTAATGGACCCATTAGAAAATCCACTTCGGCCCTCATATGTTGTTAATGAAGCCTCTGAGATGTTTGCTAAAGAATGTGATCTATAAGATAAGAGCTGTTTAGAAAAGAAGAAAGACCCTCTCATCTCACTCCGATTCAAACACTTATGAAAAAAAGGTAAGAAAACACCAACAGCCCAGACCCTATAAACAAAACTGATTTGACTCTAAGGTTAAGGTTATAATTCATTTGTTTATCATTAGAGAGGGTAAGCTACATGTGTTTAAGATAACTTGCACATGAATGTGAAGAACTATTATATGGTTCTCTAGAGATACATGTCAGTTGATATATTAAAGTTGATAAGTATCATAAGGAACATTGTTGTAGTTAGGTTACTGGAAAACCAATTGAGATCCCTGAGGTCACATTCAGGAATAAAGTTATTGAAAAACATGTAGCTCACCAGTAACACAACATAATTTGATAACAGCAACAGTGTCCTCACCTTTAGTAAGTTTATCATAGTGAGGTGGTACTTGAGCTTCAAATGCAGTTAGAACCTCCTCTATGAGAGCATGATTGTCTGGATCTGTGACTGCATACACAAACTTGCTGAGCTGAGGGGTACTGGCGAGGTTCCACAAGGAAGTGTAGTCATCAAAGGCAGCATGGTTGAAATTGGTGTCCTGGAATATCAAAATAATGTAATTGTAGCAAATCAGGGTACCAAGTCACTACAAGAGCAAAGCTAACCTACATGTATTAGGTAACTCATTTTGTAGTGTTACATGAGATATTGAGGGCTCCCGAGTTCTAATTCCACATACCAGTGCTCAATGTACAAGGCACAGACAGGACCCTACAAATCATATACACACCACAATCTAAAGAGGAAGGATGGATGAAAACATGGTCATCAAGTAAATGACACATTTTAATATCTCAATGAACAAAGCAAACATATACACAACACATTTACATATGCTTTCTTTACATTTTAAACAAATTAGGATGAATTAAGCTAAGTGAGATAAAAACTATTGTAGTATTGTATTGTATTTATTGTTTCCATTCAACATTTGATTTGTTAATAGTTTAACCATAAGTTTAAAATTCATGCATTTTTCAGGATATCTGTTGCACAGTTCCTACCAGATTAGTGGTTTAAAAGAACATCTTATTCGAACATACAAATGTGTAAAATATTTCAAAGTACAGTTAATCATTAAATTAAGTTTCAGATTCATTCTATGTATCTTATATGAGACTTTCATATTGCCAAAAATTCAAAAGATTTGCACAAACATTTCTAAACTTGATGTGAATTTTTAAAATAAATCCAAAATGTGTCTAAACTAATAAAGAAAATCATCTGCCATGCAATGTCATCTCCAAAAAGAATAATGTTCTATACCTTGAAAAGTTTGTTTATTCTGCCAAGCATGACTCCAGCACTATGGAACAGATGAGGTGTGTATGGCACATTGAACAATGTTTCACCTGGGATAAATGTGAGGAGACGTACAGTATGACGGTTGAATGGTCTGTCTCCACCTTCACCTGGAATGCAATCAACATACAGAACATCTTAGAATTTTTGTTTTTTCCTAAAAAATGACAAACTACCGCACCATTTGTTCCATGTAAAAACAATATACTACGTATATTTAAATAAAATTTTTCAATAATAACTAATAAAAAATGCAGTTTATTTATAAAAAAGAAATCTACCACAAAAAACTACCGTTTTTCAAAACATTTCAAAATCTACTGCATTTTTGACTAACTACCACAAAGACTACCAGATTTTAAGATGACCTAAAAATTATTCCACAAAAATAAAGTAATTTTAATAAATATACCACAATTTTTTATTCAAGGTTGGCAGGTCTGGATCAATAAGCATTCAGAAGCAGGGTTTCACATTGTTTAATACAGACCAATACCCACTTTACTGAATGTTGTGTTGAATTGACATATTTTTGAATATATGGATAATCAGCCTTTAACTAGTAATTTTATACTTTCTGCAGCCAAATTCCTGGTAGAAATCACAAAAATCGAAAAATGAAAATTAAAGTAAATTTTTCTCTACTGTATATATATGGCAGCATGCATCAATGAATGTATGACCATGTCACAATACTTTACCTTCAATTCAGCTTGCTCAAAATCATGTTTTTTTACTTTAAAATTTACTTAAAAAAAACATTGAGAAATCCTGCAGAATTTTTCCTGAAGTATTCATAATTTCATTTACCATCAAATACTCCTCTCTTATTTGATACAAAGTGTACACATACCTGCCAACCTTAGACCAAAACTTTGCGGTAGATTTTTTTAAAATTGCTGTATTTTTGCGGTAGATTTTTTCAAAATACGGTAGTTTTTGCGGTATTTTTCAACAAAATTGCGGTAGTTTTTGCGGTAGATTTTAGAAAAAACGGTAGTTTTTGCGGTAGATTTTTTAAAAAAATGGTAGTTTTTTGCGGTAGATTTAAAAAATACGGTAGTTTTTGCGGTAGATTTTAAAAAAATACTGTAGTTTCAAAGGTTTGGGGTAGATTTTTGAAAAAAGTGTAATTTTGCGGTAGAAATTTGAAAAAAGCGGTAGTTTTGCGGAAGATTTAGAAAAAATGCGGTAGTTTTACGGTAGATTTTTAAAAATGCGGTAGTTTTTTGAAAAACCGGTAGTTTTGCGAAAGATTCTGAAAAAATGCGGTAGTTTTACGGTAGATTTTGAAAAAATGCGGTAGTTTTTACGGAAGTTTTTTGAAAAACCGGTAGTTTTGCTGAAAATTTTGAAAAAATGCGGTAGTTTTACGGTAGATTTTGAAAATTGCGGTAGTTTTTACGGTAATTTTTTGAAATACCGGTACTTTTGCGGAAGATTTTGAAAAAATGCGGTAGTTTTATGGTAGATTTTGAAAATTGCAGTAGTTTTTACGGTAATTTTTTGAAAAACTGGTACTTTTGTGGAAGATTTGCCAAAATGCGGTATTTTTCGGTAGATTTTGCAAAGTGCGGTAGTTAAACCTTTATACAATGCGGTTTTCTATATTAATACAATGTTTACGTGGTCATATTGTTGTTGTTATTGTGAATACATATTTTACTGCAAGAGTGATTTTGATAATTACAGTTTGTAAAGCAGAACTACCACCTGAGAATTTTACGAAACTATTATTTTCAAGAAAAAATAGATATACTATTTTCAAGAATAAATAGAGACTAAACACTTTTTATTCTTCATTTACCATGCCTACAATGGACTGACAGAAACTTTGGATTTTAATGTTTCAGCAAAATGTACATATACAACTTTTTTACAATAAATCTAGATTGATTCAAAATACGAACACAATATTCATATCTCCACTTTTATTCACCTTCTAATCAGTTTTTTTAGATATCAGGATGTTTGGAAATACCATGAATGAAACATTTACTGAAATACAAAATATGGTTTTTACTCACCATCTTAGATGATCTATCATTTTAACGAATTGAAATGACAGACATAATGTTCATATCATGTCATATAACATTGGAATCATATGGTATTAAATATTGATTTGTTCACTCGCAAGTCTCTAATGACTGAATGATATCAATGTATTTGTCTGGCACAAATAGAAAATAAGTACAGATCAATTGTCTTTCAAAAATAATTTGTTATGAGCATTTGCCGAAACCTTTCCCCTGAGACATCGTTCAGATTCGGATATCACAATACTTTTATAATAAACCAGAACTCAATGCTTTATTTTTTAATTAAGTATTTGTTACTGATAATGTGTTCTGATGAAAAATTCAACATTTTATCGTTCTGTTAACAAATTGATTAAACTATGTATAATGTATATGTGTCGTTCATTACTGATCATAACAAATCAAACTACGCATATTTCATACGCTAAATATGCATACGCATTTCCACTCATTTATTTAGATGAAGCGCAACTAAAATCATCTTTTTGTTGCATTCGGAATAAAGATCCGTGTACAAAAGGGTTTGGTTAACTACAAAAATAGGACCCACGGTCCTGTGCTCACACAGTTTGGAACCTTCAGAGGAATGTATATCCTGACTTTAAAACAAAAATATTGATTTGGATTTGTTGTCTCGAACTTTGAGAAATAAACTTTGATAGCACAGTTGTGTGACCTAGTTTGATGACCTTTGACCTTGAAAATTTTACTTATTCAGAGCTCAGTAAGGTCTTTTGTGATTAAGCTGACCAAAATTTGAAACCAAAAATCAATTTTAAAAATCAACTTTTTTGTAGATGATTTTCAAAAAAAAATTGGTCAAATTGAAGCAAGTTGAAAAATAATTTATTTTTACTGTTTTTTGACGTCAAATATCTCAAAAACTGTAAAAATTTGATGCTGACATATATTGAGCAATATGTAGGGAATGCTTAAATCTAGTAATGATGTAATTCATTGCAAGAAATGATCAAGTATAAGGCAAACTTTGAGAATCTTGTCAATCACAAAACCTGCCATTGACTTTATACATGAGAAAGTTTCCTGAAAATGACCAAGTCCTACTTTTTGTCAAATTTTATAGAGTAAACACCAAAAACAGTAATTCCAAGAGCTTTGAAATCTTCAGAGGACATAAGTTGCATATACAGCAAATACTAAAAGTTATTTGAAAGTTCTACTTCAACAAAGTGTCTAGTATATACAGAAAATTTGACTTTTTGACGTCAAAATCGGCAATTTCTCGGAAACCGGGTGAACTTGGGAAATGGCGATGATAGGTCAAATAGGCATTATGGATATGCATAAAATGAATGTGGATATGACTCAATCCGAATAGCAGTTTTAATTTGTGCGGCCAATGTTGACAGACGGACGGACGGACCAACGGACGGACGGACCAACGGACGGACGGACAGACGGACGGACGGACGCCTGGTCGATCCCATAGGCTCACTGTGTGAGCCAAAAATCATGGCAGAAAGAATTCTTTCTAGCTAGTGGTAGTTGGTGTTTGGACTGATTACACGCAAGCTTACTTAGATAAATGCGCAATAACCTGATAACCACAGACCTGCCGATACCGGGTTGGTGAAGGAATATTACAGGGACAGTACAGGAAGACTTCAATTTTTCAGCATTTCCCAATAACAATAACGGGAAATTTTACGGTAGTTTGAACAAAAATACTGTTGATTTTAGCAGAAATACGGTAGATTTTCGAAAATTTACGGTAGATTTTCAAAAAGTTACGGTAGATTTTACGGCCGTTCTCATGGAATAAACGAGTTTTTTACAAAGAAAATTTACGGTAGATTACGCAAAAAATACGGTAGATTTTTCTACGGGCGTTTTTACGGGAAAAAATGATATTTTTTTTACGGTAGTTTGTCATTTTTTACGGAAAAACGAAAAATTTACACGGTAGGTTGGCAGGTATGGTACATACTGCTGTTCCCCCTTTTGCAATCATTGTGCTGTGTGTATGTGTACTTGTAAAAAGACTCACTGCAAGATTAAATGAAAACCAGTACTGAAACAGAGCAACATACTTGGTGTTTTCATCCATCCTTCCTCTTTTGATTGTGGTGTGTATATGACTTGTAAGGTCCTGTCTGTACCCTGTACATTGAGTACTGGTAGTGGGCATGGTATATCATTGCTGTGTAGCAGTCTCTGCATCCCATGTTCTGCATCTGTAACATACATGTACCATGACACCTGTTAACGATCAATGCCCTAATATGGCATTGACTGATCTCAAGGACTAATAATATGTCAAATATTTCATGGTGGTAAAATATATATATATAGAGGATATCCTATGATTTATGAGTGATATAATTTTTATACACGAATGGATATGATATCTGCACGAGCGAGCGTAACGAGAGAGTGCAGATATCAATATCCATGAGTGGATTAAAATCATATCACGAGTAAATCATAGGATGTTCTTTTTATTCCATAGTTAAAATCATCATCAGGATCGTTGGAAATTAAGTGATTTAATTCGAATTTTCCAAACGATCCGGCAATATTGACACTTAGCCTCGTTTTGAGTCTGAAGTAGCAAAAATCCATAATTCATAGCATACGGCGCCGTATGTCATGGCTTAAACACCGTATGTTGTGGTTAAGTGAAAATTTGTCAAAAATATATTTTACCACTGATTACAAAAATACCGTTTTTATTTTGACATGTTATCCAGTATGAATATCATGCTAACTATGGAATAAAAATATATATTTTAAGTTATATGATATAAGTAACACAAGAATTAATGTATCATGTGTTCCTCTTTATACATTTTCATGCGAGTTCTAATTAAGTCATATAAATTACAAAGTATCCAGCTAGACCATTTCAATAAGTACAATCTACTAACTCACCAATATGTGCTTTAACAGACTCCATTGAGTTTGTAACTTTGAGGGTGTAACCATGGGGCCAGATTTTCTCAATGTTGTTATTGTTGTGGTCTTCCTTTACTTTCACATAATAATTTCTGTCATCATAACTTGCCATCTCTTTAATAGATGTCACCTATAGTAAGAAACATCAAAGTGATCTAAACTCCATTTTTAACGCAGATAACATTCTACTGTACATAAAAAACTGAACTTTTCATATGATAAAGAGAGTTCATTTTCCAATCAGGAGCTAAACATTCATGAAAATTACTTATTTAGAGCTTTCAGATGACATGCTGATTTTCATCATGATTGATGGCAGAGCTGAATGAAATTCCAAACATGGGATAATGAAATTCCAAACATTGGTAAAAGCTATTTCTCCAAAACTAATTAAAGTTACCTTGTATTGTCAAACTTTAAGATAGTTATGATAACTAATTTTTCTGTCAGATGATCAAATTCCAAGAACATTTTTTTCAATAATTCAGAGAGTTATTTCATGTTTGGGTCACCAAACATGGAAAAATGGTTGACATATAATACTAAAGCCAGATTTTGTCTAAAACTAAATAAACTTACCTGGTGAAACTTTCAGATGTTACTGATATTATGATTGTCTGTCAGGTGACCAAATTTCAAGAATATTTCTTCCCAGAGTTATCTCAAGTTTGTCACTGAACTTTTTGGGACACCCATTACTAAAGATATCTCAATACCTATTCCTTCCATAACATGACCTTAAACAACTTTATTCATAAATATCTAGGCATACTAAAAGCTTCTTGGATGTTTAACCTACCTCCATTCCAAAGAGAATCCTGACCATATTCTTGGCAACATTCTCATTCATCTGGGGCTTGATAACCTGGCCAGGTTTCAGTTCAGCTTCTTTCTCATTACTTCCATCCATGTTGTTAACTCGTGTGAAGTGATCTGAAAATGAAATGTTATCATAGATACATTTATTCAAATGATCAATAGGCCTATCTGTGTTATTATCAATACAATCTATATGCATTGAATCTAATGTATTGACCTTGCTTTATAATATCTCCAGCAAAATGATCAGATTAATTCATTACATTGAGCAAAGAATATTTCCAAAATGACATTCTTTTTATTGTTGCACCATCTAAAGTGGGTATTGATTAATACAAGCTCTGATGACATTTTAAGATTCAGAGGGATGCTGGAAGGTTGAGTGTAAGAAAATACAATAACATCCATGATATTTATTCACTGATTGCTTTGAAACCTACCTCCTTTAATGCAAGCTGTGTGTCCAAATATGCAATTGCTTTGAGTTTATATTACACTGTACTATCAATTCTTTTAGGAATATAGTCAAGCCTTATAACGTGGATTTCCCTATGTTTATAGTATTTTTTCATAAGGAAGCCTGTGAGCCATGTGTACAGTATATATGCCACAGCATCTTGCTTCAATTACAATATCTGTCAACACTTGATAATTAACAAGTCAAATCCTCTGAAAATCGCATTACTTTAAACATGCAGTAAAACAATTTATAAATCTGCTGTGTTTGTGTCAGCGAGCAGAACATTTGTCAGTATAATCACTTAAAGGCATACAAGTGTAAAAAATGAAAGCTTTATGCAGAGCTTATTAATTCCTGCAACAGCCTATTTCACGATTGAATTAATATGTTTCCATATTGATCAACTAAGCGAATACAATATTGAAAGAAACATAAGGAGACATCAGATTGTAAAGATGAGCAACTAAAATATGATGGATGAAAATGAGTGATTCATTTATTTGTGGATGGAGATACAGTCCTTTATATTATCTAGCATTCAATGCTTTTTTAAGTAAAATTTTGCTTAAAAAACCATATTTGATTTTCGGAATGCTAATTTTGATCAAAATTATGGTCAAATAAATTTCCAACAGATCTTATCACAATATATTTTCAAGTTAAACTAAGCCAAAATTTTCATGGTGAAATTTAGAGCAGGGATGGGATAATTTTTTCCTTTTCATAGGTTGATGTTTTAATACATGTATAGTGATCCCCCCAGAATTTTTTCTCAGGTGGGTGCAAAATTCTCAATTTACACAATTCAGATCAAAATTGCTCACAATATGCCAATTTTTCATTAATTTTCTTATTTTCAAGTGGGTGCAAATGGATTTTCAGGTGGGTGCAAGCCGATTTTCAAAATCTCATGTGGGTGCTGCGCCCACTTGCTTTAATGCTGGGGAGATCACTGATGTATATAATTTTTGAATCAGCATTGGTTCAAGCATTTTAAGTAGATCATAATGTTAACTGATTTACTTCAATTGATTTGTTTGCTCAGAATGGTATGTTCTTTTTACTTTTCTGTTCATTACGGGTGAATTATATGAATATCAGTCTAAGGGTTTACCCCTTTAAATTACTGTTTAAGCCATATCCTCTAGTATAATTAATACATTCATGCCTCTGTCCTTGTCCTTACTACACTGTTCTTGTTTGTTTACATATTACATTTTTTCTGCCAAACAAGAGTTGGTATGTCAGCAGGGTGTAGGATATCAAAGGATTTTATTAGTAAACCAGAAAGAAAGCCATGGCTTATAAGTCAATCTGGTTTAATTTTGTTAAAACAAACAAGACTAACTTTTTGCAGATTCTGCAAAAAATGGCAAAAATTCATATATCTGTCAATGTTTACGATACAATCAGACTACTGCATGAGAAAGAAGGCTTTAAGGTGTCAACTTTATGATTGACAATATCCCTCTAAATAAATGTCTTCTGACTTGGAAGCAATTTTCTTCCCACCCTCAGAAAAAAATTCCCTCTTTAAAATGCCTATAGGTGTGCATATCAAACACCCATGTAAAATAAATGCCTAGGCACTAGAGTGGGGATAGTGCGAGAATTTTCGTTTACATTGATTCTATAAACACTATATACAAACAAACAAACTACTTTCAGCATCTTTGTGGCAATCAGGCAACATCACGCTATTTATATGTGCCACACCCACTTCTCTCACCAGTCAACAAAAACTCAAGTACAGTCAAATGTGTCCATAATGACTATTTGGAACTTAAAAGAAAATTGAACAGAACATTTTGATACCTCTTTTCCTTATACTGTTATTGGTCTTTTTTGTTTACTTTTAAATGAGATTGATCATGTTTCATGTTTTGATCAAATTCAAAATTGTTTTTTCTTCAAGATAATGCCATAAACATAAACATATACTAGTACTTTAATGAAAATCTTTTTGAAAGACTATCAAAAAAGGGAAGCATGGCACCGCTCATTTTGAACTTCTCATGTAATAACACAGAGTTGCATACCCCTGAATGCCCATAATGCACTTCAATATTCAATGAGAAGACAGTAGCACAAAATAAGTCAAAATTTGTGCCTCAATCTCACAGGGAGATATTTACATCTGCGTGTAAAAAATAAAGCAGTACTTAGACCTAGGGTGACATGATGATTCTTCATCCGACCATTGACTTCAAGTCTGTGCTAAAACTCAACTGACACATATATGTAATGACCCTTCAGCACAGCCATCGGGGAGCTGTAGTTTACCGAGCCAGACAGATACTAGACTCGGAAGAGAGTGTGCTAAATTCAATGCCCCATATGGGAATGAAACCCAGGACCTTCCGCTCTTGAGTCAGACACTCTACCCCTGAGCCATAAAGGCTAGCCACTACAGCTGAGACTGTAGAAGCGACTTGCTATCGAAGGTAATTTCACATACAACAAACTGTATGAAGAGTTCCTGATTTCCAAAACAATATTCTCCACTACAAAGGTGTTTGGCCAGGACAACTGTGAGTTGTGACTGACTGGTAAGAGTGAACAGCATCCATTCAGGGATTGTAATAGAAGACAGGTAACTATCAATAGAGACCAATGGATGGTGTTCTGTGTATGAGTCCAGAGTCTGATTTCTTCAATAACAGATAAATAAGTTGGCCACTGGGCATTCCTCAACAAATACTTTTGTTTATTATCTGGAACTCTAATCAAGTGACAAAAGCAACATAACACAGCCTAATAGCCTAACCTGAGCAAGTATCTTGCTTAATTTTAATAAATAATATTGAAGAAACATTTTTAAAACTTACCAGGCCAGTTTGAAGAGCTTGAACGTCCCAAATAAATTTTTGAACAAGGAAGTGCTCAACGGAAAAACTGTACTACAATTTAGAAAGTTGTGGCGTGTCACAAACACACTAAACGAAAAGTTTTAGTAAATTCCCCGGGACTCTCACAAAATTGATCTACTATGCTTTGGGAATAGGATTCTGTCTCAAGGAATTAGCTCGAGTTTTAGTTTGATACCCAGAGACCTCGATAAATTAATAATGAAGGAAATGTTGAGAGTAAAATGTCATTACTCCTCATTTATTAAGATTTCTTCAAAAACCAACATCCTTCACGAATGAAATTGTAATAAGCTCCCCTCCCATTCTTTCCCTATTTTTTCTTCGACAACTTTAAACATGTTGAGACTATTTGTAAGTTATAATTGTTGTTGTTGTTATATATAATAAATCTTTTTTAGAATACAGTTGATTCTTGGAATGGAAAGTTGTACCATGAAAATGAATACTATCTCGGACATACAGCTAATAATCTAAGATAAAAAGTGTTGCTTATTCATGAACAGTATTTCTATCAAGCATCCCTAAGGATCTAACAACAAATGACACAAAGGGACAAATTCAACCAGAAGATGACACTGCCAAAAACCAATGAAGTTTCCCTGCAATATAAAGTTCATGTATATGTACTAAAGTCGTTATCTAGCAATTTAGGGCAGCAACAGAGAAACTGTTACCCCACTGGGAGCTCCTCTCCCCTTAGAATAACTATACTAAACAAGATAAATATTGTTCTAATATATTGAAATTTATTAGTATGAAAAACATTTCTAAAATAAAATACATGTAGACACAATCAACAGTTTATGTAATCAGCATGTTTAGCTTACCTCACTCTTGTTTAAAATTTCATGTTTAGAACATAATGTCATATTTGTGAATTACATTTGATTTAATTGAATAGATCTATTTATGTGTGTCAATATCAAATAGCTCTTTTGGCAGTCTTTGTTTGCAAAAAGCAAGCCTCAAAATCTATACTGGTACATATCAATATTAAAATATCAATCTTGCTATATTGCCAATCTTCCTATCAGTATTTGGATATTTATGCCTTTTAAATCTTCAATCCTTCCGTAATTGGTAATTCTGAATATTTTGATTCCTTTTCAGAAAATAAAAAAGAATTATTGTAAAAAAACATTGGCATGATTTTGAAAAGATTATTTCTGATATTTTACATTTCTTCTCCCTTCTGATTCCATTAATCAAGTTTTTTAGTTCAAAAGCTTATACATGTATATATTGTATCTACATAGCACCAAGTGTGTGAGTATGGTATGTCAATTCAGTATATCTGATTTACACAATCTGCATCTTTCACAATACAATCTTGAATGGTCTCATGGTACGCCCCCCCCCCCCCCTCATATCTACATGCATTATATTGTACATACTTGTGGAAGTGAGGTATGGGGGATCAAAGGGCTCGATTCAAGACTATTTTACATTTTTACTCATTTTCTACACTCTGAAACGTTCAGCCTATCATACAGTGTCACAATGTAAAGTAATCAGTATGAAAATAAACATTTACATTTATACAATAGATGGCAGTTGTGATCTGATCCTGCTAGATATCAATTACTTTCAGTTGGATGAACATTGAACTCAATAGTGAAACAACTGGATGCTAACATGCTGGTCAAACTATACACAATTGAAATTTTATTTTTACATACCTAAATGCTAGAAAATAACTAAAGACTCCAGTTCTTAGTAGATTTCGTTAAAACAAGACTTCAATATAATTGCAATGCAATATACAGCTAGTACATGTAGCACTAATCATCATAATAGCACAATATATCAATAATCACTAATTCATGAATGTGAACCATGATTCAATTGCCAACACCAGTTAGTATCAAAAATGTTTTCTTCATTCTACAAAAACACTTAACTCTACAGAATATTTCAAACATTCTCGAACATTGTTACTCCATAATTCTAATCTATCTCATATGTACAATTACAATTACATTTTATAAAGCAGTAGTTATCATAATGAAATACTTTACATATACAAGTTATACACAGATATACACATATCATATAACATGTCTCATTGTCTCATGAAGGTCTAAATCAAATAAAAATATTGATGTATAAAAGAAATATGTTAAATTAGTCAATGCAAATATTATGTTATTAATCTCATTGAATCTTTTAATGTATTACTGTAAGCCAATCAGTAAGTGAAATATATGTGTTGCTTCATTAAACCACTGGCAGTGGAATGAAGAAAATATTGGTTCATGTTGACTGATTCTGTACTTCAAAGCCTTGAATCACTACATGAGCATTTCCAGTGAAGTACATGTATGTATTGGGTTTTCGAAAGTGTATTATTATCAAATAATTACAAATAATATACAAATAATATTGAACACTTACTGCAATTATAGTTCATATTTTCAGTTTTGAGTAAATCTGCTTCATATAACATTAAAACAGAATAAGTTATATACCTGTAATATCAATACCAAGTCAGACTATGCATTGCCTATGGAACATGTACATATTTTGCGGTTGAGAAAACAAGAATTTCCATTAATTTGAGATCTTTGTAAATGTTTTGCTCACTGGGATTTTCTACTCCATATCAGCATATGGAATTTCCATTTTTTAGAAATAATTTAACAATGTTATTAATTTCATCAGATGGGAATTCAATAAGACAATGGTTAATATTGAGATACAGTATGGAAGCCATTTTGATAACATTCATAATATTTTTCCGAGTGCCTTTCGCTCCATATCATCCAATCTCAGTTGGTACCGTGCCTGGACCTCTGGCTCAATGTTTTTGGCACTTTCCACAAGGATCTGGCTCTCAACCTCAAGCTCTTCCTTTGTCTGCTTGTCCCCCTGGTAGAACCTTTCCCAGGCCTTGCTATATGAGAGGCCACGCATCTTTGTCAGGGCAAACACTACTGCCTGGAAATGTATATAATGTACAATGTTAAGGTGGTACAACCTTTCCATGAAGCTATCAATACAAAGTTACCAATCCAATGGTGATGAAAGTAAATGTGATACAACATTCAAGTATTTATGACGTAATGTGGAAAATGACTTTATTCTTGTCAAATAAAGGGGCTCCGAAGGTCTACATATTTAGCAGATTTAACTCTTCCATACTAATGGCCTAGTCACATAGCCCGGCCGATGAGGTTACGATGAGCCAGCGATGCAATTTTCACCGAACTCGGCCGAACACCGGCCGGACACTGGCCGGACATCCGTGGCGTTTGTTGCTTAAAACAGCATCGGTGGTAGCTCGGTGAAATTTTAACTTCGGAGTTAAATTTCACCGGGCTCTCACCGAGCTCCCTCATCATGTCATCGCAGCCCCATCGTAACCACATCGGAAAACACGTCGGCCGGTGCACGTCCGAGTATCGGCCGGTGTCCCGTGCATCTGAGACAACCAGAGGACGAGGTTTTTTAACGGACAGCGGCCGAGCTCCGGCCGATGTGGGACAGAGCATCGGCCGGTCACTGTTCAAAGCCCGTTAACAACCCGGCCGGCGATTGCACGGTGTCCTGTTACCTGCTCGGGTACCGGCCGTATTCCTTCCGATGTCCGGCCGACCTCCGGCCGGTAGTTGCTGCCACATCGGCAGAAAAAAACTACCATTTTGAGACAGACTCCGTACGGTCACCGGCCGGTGTTCGGTCGGTCGCCTGAAGATGTCCGGACAGAGTCCGTTCACGTCACCGAGCTCTGCTTCCGATGAGGAGAGCTCGGTGGCACCAAAAAAATCCACTGAGCTCTACCGATGCCGGACATCGGCCGGGCTATGTGACTAGGCCATAAGATAAATAGGGGTTATGCACTGGGAGGTTTTGGATACAGGGAATATCCCGAGGGATATACAATATATCTTCCCGAGGGACCGAAGGGACCGAGGGAAGATGTATTGTATATCCCAAGGGATATTCCATGTATCCAAACCGACCGTGCATAACTGGTGTATCTCATACTTGAGTGGGTTTAGGGTAGATATAACCTTTTCCACCTTTTTCAGATGACAAGATATTTATATTGAACATTTTCGTAATATTCTTTTTGTTCAATACAATGAAATTGTAACATTTAAACTTAAAAAAATTTAATTTTAAAATTAAAACTTTTGATATTTAAACTTTTTTTAATTTTTGAAAAATTCCCGGGAGCGGGATGGATATATTATATCTGCCCGCATTTGGCCTGGAGCGGGACATATACAATATATCCTGCCCGCTCCTCAGATACGATATATATTCCCGGGTGATATCTACCCCAAACCCACTCAAGTATGAGATACAGGCTCATAACTACCACCATATTCACCATAAAAAGCGGTCATGGATTGCATGCTGAGTTACTGGGACATTTCATAACACCAAGAAATCATGTAAAGGGGCGCTCGTAGTGGTTGGGCACTTTTTATGGGGAATACATAAAGTGTAATCCATTTCTAAACATACCTCCGGATACCATACTGACTGAATATAAGACATGATATCAGTGTTCATATCACACACCATGGACTTGTTGGGAGGCTTGGGGTACATCTCCATCAGGAACATTACTACATCCTCAACCTGGGAATAAAATACAATTTCTATATAGATTTTCACAGTGTATCTGAGCATCTAGAGTCCAGCTCATGCAATCATAAATATATTACAAGATGAAGACCATATGAGGGGTTGCATTTCATAAGATCATCTCATCAGAGATCATTTCTACAGAGTCAAAGTGAACACAATGAGACAATAATCAGGATATAGAGTAAACTGAAATAAAGTGAACATCATAAATTGTATAGAACTACCAAACAAATAAATCATTAACCAAAGTTTAGTGAAATATAGGAATATGCATGACGAGACAGATATATGGACAATAATCATAGAAGCGCAAACATATGTACCTGATGCTCTTGTAGTGGACCTATTCCAGCCAAGATCTTTGACCTTTTCTTTACTTCTGGTGCAGAGAACTCCTGATGAAGTTGACTTTCTATTTTTCCCTGTTTGATATTCATAAGTCGATCCTGAAGAAAATAAATGATATCCTTAATAGGGCCTGGAGGTAATATATTTTCTCAATGAAGAAGAGGACATTGAATAAAGATATAATTTATCACATACTTGGACATGTTTAGGTACATAAAGCATGTTTGTAAAGAGTTGTATTTATATCAGTGGGCAGGGTAAAACTTTACATCCCCGCTGAGTGGGTAGATACGCTACGTAATAATCCCCATTCCAATGTTGATGCATTTTTATAACATTGACACAATTACTGCGAACACCAATAGTGATAAACAGATCATCCCATAGTCAGTTCATGATATTGGTACTCTATATACTTTCCAAAATAATTCTGCAATGTCTAATATGAACATTTAAGTAAAGTAAAATTTTTATACTCATAAGAATACATGATAATTACAAGATAACAATTAGAAGCCTCACCTTCACCCTGGTGTCAGTCTTGATAAAGTCCACCAGCTTTTGACCAGACTTGGTACGGATACTTTGACTAAAACATAAATAACAATATCGTTAGTTGTCTGCATGTTTTTTACCACTACCTCTACATAAAATGGTAATTTGCTCTTTAACAGACATTAGTCAAATCAATACTTTTTAGTAATGAAATGTTCATTTATAAATTACTGTATATTTATTTTGTTGGTGGATCTACATTTGGCTTTATTATATGGCATCAGTAGAAATAAATCCTATATTATTTATACCCTCCCTTTGACAAAGTTTACTTCGTTCTTCAAAAACTATCGCTATTTGTGCTGTATCCCTTTACTCAGAGTGATCTGAAGAAAGCTCATTACATTTACTGATTACACTTCTTTCATCTAGTGCATATCTATGTGACATCAATCCATCCTGTGTTCATAATTTACCAAAGTCTCTTGTATGAATAAACAGCAATTTAAGCTCTGTTATGGGTACCAACCTGATTAAGGCCTTCTGGGATAGTGTTGGTGTGCTCTCAGCTGCCTTTTCTTCAGTCTCTCCTTCCTCCTCTGAGTCACCAGACTCTGCCAATCTTGACTCTGAAGGTTGCCTTTCTGGTGTCAGCTCCCTCCCTTCATCTGAACTTGGGTCACTCTCTTCCATGTCTAAAAGAACATGATCAAGTTTAATTGCACATTCCCTCTTAGCCCATTCTTCATCACTTTATGGACAAACTGTCGCATCTCAAAATTAAATTGTATCTCTGAAGGTAATGCCAATATTTTGACACAAATGATTGATGCATTGATAGTTAAGCAGTTAAAATAGAAGAGAGATAAACACTATTCTTCCTTGTTTATAACAAAAGGCATTGAACCGAAAGATCTTTCAGTTTACCAACCATGGGCACTAAAATGGATGGGTTTATCTGCAAGAATCTCAAGTAAGTAATGTTCATGCTACTTCCGCCATTAATTTTTGCAGAAATAAAGAATCAAAAGATGCTTTTTTGTTGACTCCTGGCTCTATTTTTCACAATTGTGTTGACTCTAGTTTTCTCTGTGACTCGCAATGGAATGAGCCCTACAGCAACCTACCTGTGTAGAAGAATTCTAGGGTGCTTCTAGTTTCTTCTCCAAGTCCCCTTCTCCTCACAAAATCTTCTACAAGGTTCAGACAGTTTTCAAAATCCGAACCCCAATGGCTTTTTAGAGCTTCTTCCTGTAAAATATATGCAGATTTGATAAACACCAATATAAGATACACTTTCAATATCATTTCTAGATTTGACCTTTAATGACCTCCTCAAGGTCAAAAAGGTCTTTTTTATCTTGCTTCAACTACAGGCCCTTAGCCAGGGGGGGTTCGGGGGGTTCGAGCGAACCCCCCCTGGCCAAAGTTTCTTTCAAAATCATGCAGTTTTTCACCATTCTGACTATTTTTTGAGTGATTTTTGGCCAAATTTGTCAAAGTGCACCCCCCCTAGAATTTTTGGGAAAAGTGAACCCCCTCTTGGAAAATTCTGGCTACGGGCCTGAACTAGGTGGTGACATTTTGTCATGTTAATGAATTGTGAATTAACCTTGTTATTACCTTATTCAGTTAAAAGAAAAGTTTAACATTAACCAGTAAAACATTGTTAATTTTATCTCATTATAGGTTTTACTCTTTGTATCAGATTTTGCCACAACTAACATTGAGAGACTATAAATATGAGTATTACCTTGAATTCGTTAAACTGCTCTTCTTTTACATCAAAATAGGGAATAACTTTCTGTTTGTTATAGTTTACACGGTACCTATAAGAAAAGTACCAGCAATAATGTTATTTACAGTTAACTTTCAGTATAATTTACATAAAAATACTGTCATTAGGTAAATTACAACAAATAAGTTAAAGAAAGTTTAAACCATTTAATAATTTGATAAATAGCATTTTCAAAGGTTTAATCTTAAGGCCTCATATCACCTTAGGATATATTAAGTTAAATCAATGTTTTGAACAGTGCAAAATTTCTGACAACATTGTGTTTAATTACATTTAATTTTCGACTAGATCCACAAAAATGTAACTGAACATTTACTGATATTTTAAAATGAAAATTTTCTCTTAATTATGTTACTAGTAAATTATACCACTCACCGTTCTGGTTTTTCATAGCCAATAAATGCCAGTGAAATTCTCTTTCCCTTTTTATAAACATTTTTTACCTGAAAGCGAAATGCATTTTAGATTAAATCCTCATTTTAGACCAATGGCATAAAGCATTGTGATTACTGAAACTTATCTTTCACAATTTTAAATACTGACATATGCTCAAAAAATACTTCAGAAATTAGGTATCATAATTAAATGGAGAAAAGTTAAATATACATGGACATGTAATCAGAACAATGAATAAAGATAGAATTGGGTTGAAGTGATGTTGAATTCATATTTGTCCAATGCAAAAATGGCCTGATCAGTGACTGTATTAAAGTGGACATTCTAGCTCACAAGTGTCAAAATCTCTGGACACATCTAACAATTTACTAGAAATGAAATCTCTGGTCATCCCTTTTTGTATCTATTTATGATAGTTTGTGTATGTAACACTCCATCTCAGTTTATAAATCACACATTTAATTATAAAGAGTCGTCTAATTTACTTACGACAGCCGGCCAAAATGGCACCTTCTTTACTTTGACCCATACAAGATCCCCTTTTGCAATAACAGGTCTCGATATGTCTGAAAAAATGATGAACAATAAAACAGGCAATAAGGTAATAAGGCAAATCAGAAAATTAATGAATTAGTATATCTTAAATTATGGGTCTTATAGGATGAGATGCATGCCATATGGGTGATCATTGATCACATGAAAAATATGAAAGGTTTTCAAGTTAACATCCAGTTTTGACCGCCAGTGCAGGCCTGTAGCCAGGGGCCAAAAATTCTTTCAAAGTCATGCAGTTTTTCACAAATCTGAGCACTTTTTAAGTGATTTTGGGTCAAAGTTAAAGTAAATCCTGTTAGAAAAAAGTGGCAAATTTAATTTTCAATAAAACAAAACTTTTATGTTAGATTGATTCCCACTAATTTTGCACATTGAAACTTAAAAAACTTCACCAATCTATAACATATCATTGATCTTTTTGGAGATATTGTATTTCAGACTGTAAAGAACAGATTGGTAGATCAGCTGTACATGTTGCTTGCAATTTTGTCACTCCCTATAGATCTGATTCTGACGGATAATGTAAGTTGTTGAACTGTTTTAAACTTATTAACTATTTTATTGGTTTTGGCCTGTCCCGAATGTCCCATCCCGAAATGGATAATTCCCATCCAGTCCTGAAATATTTTTGTCCAGTGATAGCCCTACTTTAACCTGACTAAAAATTGAAAAAAGAAATCAGAAATCAAAACAGTTCTGAAGTTAGTGCACATGCGAGAAGCCAGGGCGTGTTCGAGGGAGCAAGAACCCCCCCCACTCCTGGCCAAAAATTCTTTCAAAGTCATGTATTTTTAAATGAAATCCCCTGGAATTTTTCAAAAAGTGAACCCCCCTTGGCAAATCCTGGCTACAGGTTCATTGGACATGCATGTAAGATGATATGTTGAGAAATACCAATTTTTTTACCTGACTTTGAGGGGCTGAATGGTACAAGGTCAGAATCACTGTCACTATCTGAAGTATCTTTGTCACATTCATCTACATCGATATGATTGTCAAAAGATTCCCTACAATCAAAAAGGTGTTATTTCAACCTTTGCATGAGATGTGCAGCATCGAGTGTAATTGTGTGGAGTTTAGGAAATAACACCTGAGTGGAATGCATCAGCCACAATGCATCAAGTCTTGGGCTTAAATTATTTTCACACAGTGCAAAACATGTTCTATTATATCACCTATAAGATAGGAAATCACTAAAAATACATTTTCAATTAACTTTTGGCATATTATCAATTTTAATCTGTAGATTCGAGTTGTCACCTTGACAACTGTTCAACACATGACCTTAGCTGGCAGTGGTGTAGCCATCAATTGTCAAGAGGGTGCGATATGTTGGGTTTCCATCACTGCAAGCAAAGCAAGCCCCCCCAAAAGGTATGGGGTTCACTCCCAGAAATTTTCAAAATTTACAATAAGCATGGTGCATTCCAAGCATTTCAAACTATTATTTGTTAATGTTTTTTCAAAAGGTTTTACAAAAGTGCTTATTTCTTTTTTGTGGGGGTGCAATTGTTAGCATTTTTTCTGTTGACTTTCTCTTCATTGTAAATCTTCATCTCGATATTTTTCTTACAAAAATAGAAATAAAAATTGGTGTGTTATATCTTCATATTTTTAATTTATGGTATACAAAATAAAAAAATACCTTCTTGGTGTAATTGTTGATTGACTTGGTGCAGGTGCCTCGTTGCCCTGTTCTTGTGGTGCAGTGGCATTTGTAAATGGCTTATCAGCACCATCATCTTCTGTTCTGTTATCATCATTATCGCTATTATCATCAAAGGATAAAGAAAGACTGATTTTGCGTTTTCTGCAAATTGGCTTAGTAGTAGAGTTACACTTAGGCTCTGAATCGGAGTCAATATCGATTGGCTTAGGTTTAGGGGGTCTTCCCCTCCGTTTGCCAGTTGATGTACTTGCTTTAGTAGTAGATGTTTTATTCTTTGGAGTTTTTGGTTTAGGAGCCCTTCCACATTTTCTTGCTGGTGGATCTAGCTGTCTTTTGACCTTACTCATGGTGATACACGCACTTGGTGAATCTATATCCATATTTGGAGTGTCTTGCAATACAGCATGTCCATCGTCGTGCTCCATAGGTTTTATTGCAGACTCATCAAAATCTGAACAAATCTTTTTGATCGGCAATTCCTCATTAGCAAAAGTGGCTCCCTCTGAGGTGTGAGTTCTCTTGCGTGGTGTTGATTTTCTCACCATGATGATCTTACACCCATCATCTGAGACTACGATGAATAAAAATACATATACATGTACAGTTGGGGACATAAATAAATGACAGGTGGATTTGCTGAAGTGAGGATTTCCCATGTTAAAAATAAGAGAATTTACAAGAGGCCATAAATCAGTGGATGAGATTATACAAAATGTAAAATATACAAATTTTAAGGGATATGTATCTATACAATATTAGAAATTATGGGCTTTCAGACCACCATAATTAGGAAATGGTGATCGAAAATCGACCTGTCATTTATTTTTGTCCCCAACTGTAGTTTATATTTGTAGCAGCATTACATGTAGTTGTAATGGGGCTACAGGATGAAGGTGATTTAATCTAGTTTCACTTTGTTTCAGGTTTGTTTTGACTTTCATATTCAAAATCATATGTGAAATGAAAATGATTTTCGAAGATTTTCTGTGCCCAGTTTTCTAGACTGATTTTTAGTTACAACATAGATAGATTATGAAGAATTCTTAAAGATTATAAGTATCTTCGGTATCATTTGGTAAATTTCTTTAACAAATCATGTTTAGTAATAGTATATCCGATGCAATGTATGATAATTTATGTGAAACAAAAACTTACTATTTTTAAATTTTTTAACCGGAAGCACTTTCTAAATTCTTAATTTTTGATGTAAACGGAGACAATAACGAAACAAATAGTTATTGCTAAAATTGAAATAAGAATTCAAAAAACGATAATTGATTCGAATATTTCAATTATAGAGAAATGATTTTAGATGAAAATTGTTTTACTCAAAAAATATTTTTTTATTTATTCGTTAAGAGAAAAGTTTGGGATTTCGTATTATTCTGGAGGCTCTATAGCAACGTGACGTCACATCTATACAGTTCACATTTTACACAAAATTTATAAAATCTTACAATATTGTTGGATTTCTATCGATATAAAAGATACATAGACACTTTATAACGGAATATAGGAATATATCCAGTCTTTGCATACTGGTCTGCATATGTAAATAGACGTCGATTTTCATAATAGGACAGCGAGCGCGAGCTAGTAATTTGACAATTTTTGACAAAATTGAAAAAATTGGAATTTTTGACTTGAGTTGCCAGGAACAGTCTGAGTCTAACTAATCTAGTGAACACCCTCTCTCATCAATCAAGATGATGGCCACACAGAGACAACGCCGGTGTCGAGAGTACACTGGTCCAACACCTCATTCAGTGGCAATCGTAAGTATAAATTGATACCATTCTTCATCTGCCATTCTTTCTCCATGTTTACAGTAGGCCTAGAGTAAGCTTAGACGAGTAAACAGAAAGATTGCATGGTGTCTGTCAGTGTATTACCAGTGTATTATAGACGAGACTATAGGTAATTCTAAATACTGTCTTGATCAAATAGCTGGCATACAGTGCACCTACGTACATGTGTTGAGGACATTGCTTCTCTCACTTTTAGTCATCTACATTTTTTGTCATACTGAAATCGGAGCCACAATTCAAAACAATCTAAATAATATGGAACGAGGATGGTGAAGTAATGTTGTCCATGTAATTGTATGTAATTGTCCAACAATAACCTACATGGACGATGTTGACTCCCTGTACTCCATTACATCTGCGTATTTGTGAAGCTTGTAGGTACATGTAGGACAACATAATCATCAGTAACTTGATGCACATGTACAATATACATCTAATAAAACATGCTGCATTCTTCAGTGCCTTCATTGAAATTTCAAAGTACATACATGTACAGTGTATAAAACTTGCCTTTAGAATAAACCACACAGTGCAGCTCAAAAACAGTAACACTGAATTGAATTCATATACCACAGATCACACGGATACTTCATAAAAATGCTGACTGTGAACTATTATTCTGTCATATATAGCCTAAATGTGCATGTATATTTTAGCACGTCGCAATTCTAAATCATGTAAATGCGCGTTATCTATATTAGCTTAGCTCATAATATTGTGCCATACATGTACTGTATGTGATATTGTATTCTTACAAAGTAAATTACCTGTAGATACTTTAACAATTGAACATGTATATCATTCTTTATTATTTTTCATTAATACAGAGAGAAAGACCAACAAACAAAAGACCACCAGAGTACAACATCTTAGAAAGACGCAAGAAAGAACAAGCCATTGAGGAAGCTGAATCTATGACCAAGTATCAAAATCTATGTGATTTAAAAAATGACTGGGAAAAATGGACAGATAAGAAAATACAATTGAATACTGTTAAACGAAGGGTTAAAACTCTTATGCAAGCTGAGGAATTTAGCATTGAAGATAGGAGAGAAAGGTAACCACGATTTTATTCTAGATACAGTACTTTTTTTTTTTTTCATAGTGTAAACTTTGAGGTAAAGTCAATACATTTACCGCCACCAATCGCCTTATCATACTTATATGACTGTGTATTTCTCAAATTTTGTTATCATATCCAAAATTATGATTGAAGTATATATCAGATTATATTCAAATAGTGATGTAAAATAATAATCAATATTAAGTCTTTTGAAAATAAAAAATACAGTGTTTTTGTCTCCCCAGCCAGTATCAAAAGAGCAAGTGGATGCTATACTAATCCTGTTGAAAATTCTCAAAATTTAAAGCACCTTTGTTGGTACACTCTATCAAAAGGATGAAATATTCACACATTTCAGCCAAAATGCAAATGTATCTATGAAATTAGGATTAAACATCCTTAAGTTTTTAAGTTTAATGAGACACGATGCCTATATGTCTAAAAGAAAAATGTAGTTACTCCTTTTCAAAACAATTCGTATCTTTGTCAGAATGCCCTTGTTGTTATTGTTATCAAGCCAATGACAAGAGTTAATAGTAAACTCTATATTCCAGGTTGCGTTCAATGCTGGCTGATGAGGAGCAGAGATACATTGAAGAGATGGATGCCAAAGAGGAGACAACCATAGAGAGACAGGCAAAGATGAGAGAGAAGGCAAAGTCTCTAAGGGAAAAGAGAGAACTTGAAAGATTGCAATTTGTTGATAAAATGTTGGATAAACAATGGAGGTAAGATTTAAAAATTGTCAATCACCAAGAAATCTGTTTGTGAGAAAAAAATACACTACTCTTTCTTATCAATTTTGTCGCCACTTTTAACAACATATTTTGACCCATGATTGAAAAAGTGTCTCTCTTGCCTGTCATGTAACTAAACCTAATCCTGGCTCTTAGATCATAAATAAAACACCTTTCTCAAAAATACAAAATTTTGAAACATAAGTGTGACTTTATCTATCTATTTTTTGGAATCATGATCATCTATTTTGTGATATATAAAGTTCTTGGATCTACACAGTATTTGAAAATTTTAATCTTTTAGGCATTTTGGGCACAAATGTGACACAAAAATATATCATATCAACTGAAAAAGCTATACTTTCCAAATAAGCCAAACATCTAATTTCTTGCTAATACAATTTATAGGGATCAATGTGAAGAATTGCGTTCCACCCTGACTAAGCGTCACCAAGATGAAGTGTGTGCTGAACGTATGGAGCAATTGAGGCTGAAGGCAATCATGGATGATGAGGCTCAACAGGAGGAGAAAATGTATGCAGACCTCTGGGAGCAGGACAGACTCAATAAGGCAGCTAGGGAAGAGAAGGAAGCTGTGGAGAAACATAAGAGAGATATGGAAACGTTGGACACACTGCGTATGCAGATGGCTGCACTTGAGGCACAGAAAGCTGAGGAAAAGAAACTTAAAGAAGAGGAGGCGCAGTTATTGGTAAGTATACATTTTTTATTTTTTTAAAAAACCATCAAGTATTCATTTGTTGATTGTGACCTAAACCATCAACTATTGCTGAATATTAATGTGGCCTAAATAATCAAGTATTCATGTTTCATCTGTGACACCTGTAAACTTCAACGAATTTACTTCATGTTTTCCAGAAAGAGCAAGCTGCCTTGAGGAAGCTAGAAGAGCAGAAGGCTGCTGAAGAGAAGCGTCGTCGCCAAAAGGAAACGCATGACATGCTTGATCAGTCACTGAGAATGAAGGCCAAGAAACAAGCCAAGGAGCAGCAGGAGCAACTGGCATTTGATATGAAGATGCTGGAGCAGCTCCTGGAAGAGACAAGGAACGAAGCACTGGAGAATGAACAGAGAAAGGTATAGTTGCTAGTTTGTCTGAATTTCTTGGCCTATGCATGAATTGCTTCAGTTTTGAATTACATTAATTGGCCATTTGTAGGACTTTAAATTACTTAGTCAGTTGAGTTGTGAATTGCTTTAAATCTTGAATTGAGGTGTTAAATTGTTGGGTCTTTGGGTTTTGAACTACTTGGCAATTTGAGTTTTCAATTGCCTGGCAATTGTGGTTTTGAATTTCTTGGCCATGGGGGTTTTAAATTGCTTGTCAATAGCAGTTCATTCCTTTGTGATCAGAGCAATATGCAAAAAGGAAAACAATAAAAACCCTAAAACATTTAAAGAAGGATGAGTTCTATTGAAAAATGATGAATTTGGCTACTTTTAATGAAAAATTATAAGTTTGCACTCTTGTCATAACACTAAACCCACCTTTACTATGTTTGATATAAGCTTTATACAAACCATGCATAATTTTGATCATTTCTGGCTTATCCTGTAAATAAGGCTTGGAATATCACATCAACTGTCATATAATTTTACAGAGAGAACTTTGTACAAACCATGCATAATTTTGATAATTTCTGGCTTATCCTGTAAATAAGGCTTGGAATATTACATCAACCGTTATATAATTTTACAGAGAGAACTCCGTGAAGAGGACAGACGTTATCGTGAATACTTACACCAACTCATGGAGGAAGAAAAAGCAAGAGAAAAGGAAATGGAGAAAATGATTGATGCAGAAGTGGAGAAAATGTGGCAGAAGCGACTTAAACAACGTCGTTTGGAGCGTGAGGCCAGAAAGAGGCTGTTGGAGGATGTTCTTGCAGGACGAAAACAGCAACTTGAGGCTAAAAGTGAGTTTCTCATTCATTTTATAAGTAATGAATCTGGTACATCATTCATTCTGGATCACTAATATGCATTAGAAAAAACATTTTGGGTGTGGCATAAACACACTGTATATTTTTGTAATTTCAAATTTTAATACCCCTGGTAGTTTATACCAAAAGAACTAACTTTGTTTGCCCTAAAGGTTTGGTATAAGATTTTTATTTTGGTACATGTACATTTTTTCCTTTTTGTGGAGATTGCCCACTTTGCTATCAAGTGTATGTTTATCCAAGTCATATTATACAGTAGAAGTTTAGAAATACTTGGACGGTGTTGTATTAAACAAATTCATTTATTTAATACATGGCATGACTTCTACATACATCATTCATTGACATCATTTCATTGTTTCAGTGATGGAGAATGAAAAGAAGAAATTAGTTGCCCAGAAAGAACGTCAAGAGCTGCTAGATATCATTGAAACAAACAAGCGTATTGAACGTGAGCAACAAGAGAAAATGCGACAGAAGAACCTACGTCACCAGGATGACCTCATTGGTCAAATGGACTACAATAATCGCCAGGAACAACTCCGCCTCTTGGAGGAAAGACAAGAGCATCTTCTGTCCCAAGATGCTGAGGTTGAATATCAAAGAAAACTCAAAGACGCCCTAGATAGACCATTTATTGATAAAGTCCATCCTGTTCGTAGGCGACAAATGAATAGCCCTATTATTTAAATAATGCAAGTTTATAAAGTACAGTGCAACTCAAAATTAACAACTTAGAAATCATCTGTTAATTCTGAAGTGTACTGTATTATTACTTTAATTCTTTGTTTTGTGGATGAATTCATTTGCCATTGAACAATTCTGTTCATTTATATCGGGACATTCCTTTGAAATGAAAAACTCACCTGATTCCAAAGACAAAGCAATGTGATCACCGTTCCTTCCTTATAGATTACAAGGTAGTGTACAAGGACTGTATACTATAGTGTTGAATGGAATCTTCAGTTTTTGTGAAGGTGCAGCTAGCTAAAGGAGAAATGTGTTAGAGACAAGATCAACAAAAATCAATCTTCTATGCCTGGGTCTCCCTTTATAACTGATTAGCTGATATGCCAGTTAAACTACTCATCACTTCATGCCAAATGTTGCTTTAACATAGAATATAGAAATATGTATGTTATGTAATATAATATAAATGTGTATATATTGTTTGAAGCACTTTTCTTACTTGCTTCAATGTATAAAATGAAATTATGAATAAAAATATATGACTTAACTTTATTTGTTAGAGTTACCATCAAATCTTTGTCTACATGCAGTAACACTCGAATTCATCCTTGGTATTTCCAAGGACGTCCTTGGTATTTCCCAACACAGACGTTGATTTACTTAATATTATCTTCATTATTGGTCTCAATAACACTTATAATTTTTAAAACTGATGAATAACCCTACGATAAGAAAACAACCAGCCATCCTACGAAACGTCAAAAAGAAAAAGAAATATCTCTGAGATAGAAAATCAACAACTTTGTACATTACTACCAGAGAGATGAACATTCATATAAACATATCCCATGTTATTTTCCAATAGAGAAACCCATTGTGTCCATTGTTCTCAGGCTAGATATTTTCAAAATTGGGCTTGCTATACAATTTTCCCTTTCAGTGGTTTACTGACATAGTACAGGAGGAGCGTTTCAAACGGTGAAAATAGGAAAACGAGTTTTTTTTTAAATGAGGAAAACTTTTTGAAAAACCAGAGACATATAAAACATATATATACAGGGTGTTAAAAAAACGCAAACCAAAGAAATCGCTATATCTTGAAAAATACTGGTTCAATTATATTCATATTTTCAGGAAATAAAGAAGAGACTGTGTATGTATAGCTCCTGTAAATGGTTTGTTGTAAAACATGATGCCTTTGGACACCTGCTCAAAAGACAGTTGTACTAGGAAAATATGAAAAACGCAGTCAGGGGTGACTGCAACCGGAAAAAAACTGAATAACTTCCTAACCATAGTGTTTTGGCTCTTCAAATTTGGCACAAATCATCTTCATTTACTGTATGGTAAATCTGTAATGGGAAATCAAAATCACTTCAGGGACCTTACAGAAATGTTCGAAATGCTTTCAAATCACAGTCAAACGCTCTGGTTCAGGGAGACTTAAGAAGGCATTTTGACCATGACTGTAAAGTCCCTGGAGTGATTTTAATGAAACTCTACAAATTCACCTCACATTGAATGAGGATAATTTGTGCCAAATCAGAAGTGCCAAAACACTATGGTTAGAAAGTTATTTGGTTTTATTGCTGTGGCAGTCACCTCTGACTGCGTTTCCATATTTTCCTAGTACAACTGTCATTTGAGCAGGTGTCCAAGGCATCATGTTTTACAACTTACTGATAACAGGAGCTATACATACACAGTCTCTTCTTTCTTTTCCAGAAAAAAATGAACATAATTGAATTAGTATTTTCCAAGATAAAGTGATTTTCCATTCACATTTTTCGTATTTTGCTAGTACAACTGTATTTTGAGCAAGTGTCCAAGACATCATGTTTTACAACTAACTAACAACAGGGCCTATAAATACACAGTCTCTAAATTACTGTAAAATCGGCACTAAAATAGCCGCCATTTTGAAACGAGTTTTCATTTTGAAAATCAAGTTTCGAGCATAACTTCTACTGACATAGGGCACATGTGTATAACATATGAACAAAATCGGGCCAGCAGTATTTGAGTTATCGCCAAGACAGACGGATGGACGGACGTACGGACGGAGGCGTTCTCTATATCCCTCCAAACACCTATGTTTTAAATACCTATGTAGTGCCACCTATAGACTGCTCAGAAATGGACTTGTCACCATAAGGGGCGCCTAAGAGTGGTTCATTTTCATTTTTAACACTAAAAAGGAATCATTTTGCATTGGTTTGGTTGATGTACTCGAGATGTTGGATAAAATCAATTTTTGGGGCATTTTGAAGAGCGCCCCTGGTGGTGTCACCAAATATATCACTTAAGAGTTGCCTTTTGGGGAAGTCAGCCACATATCTACTAATTACAGGCCTCAAACCTTTTGTACTCGAGATCGATGTCAATTAAATCTTTGCTAGCGCCTAGGCTATTATATCTCTTTCTTGGTAATGGATAGACAGACCGCCACAACACGGCACTCATTCAAATAAAGTAAACAGGTGAATATTGCAAATGTAATTTGCTTTATTTTCATCCATCATGTACAATAAATGTTACAATTTGATGTTGTTCTGTAACACGGTACACGTGAAATGTACACTGTTGCTCAAAAGGAACATGCCCAACCTAAATATCTAATCGGTGTTGAATTTAAAGTTTTGACAAGACATACATAGATTATTTGCGTTGAAAAGGTCACATAGGTTATTGCAAACAATTTCAGATGCACTGTGAGAGACGGTTATATCTTGTATTTCATATGCCTATATAATATCTGACCATGATGACAGTTTTTACCTAATAAACCATCTTTTTTACAATGTTCAATATATTAATATTCTATTTTGCTATGCCAATTAGTTCTTGAAAGGAAAACTTATTTACTCAGATGCGAGAAGGTAATTGCCAGTTTCACCACAAGGTGGCTAATTCGGGACAGATAACATGACAGAGTATTAGAAAGTTCTCTTAAACGTGAATATTCACCAGTTTTGTGATTCAATTTCCATATTACCGCCATGTATCTGATAGTTGTACAAATTAAAATATGTCCAGTAAAAGAAAATATTATCCGTTCAATATAAGAAAAGATATTTCACTTTTTGTGATTTCGTAACATGGGGTCTTTGGGAATCTCCCCTGCCAAGAAGTAACAATTACAAAGAATTTTTTTAAAGTTAATGGACACTTTCTGAACCACATTTCGAGATGTAATTTTACATGTAGACTTTAAATATGATATAACTATGACTGAATTTTAATGACGTAAATCAAGATTATTTCTACTCGCATATTGTCTATCGCAATAAGATTAGTGTTCTCATTTTATTGTTATCTAACTTGTGCCATTGATTTAAGTCCATTCGATCATCCAGATTCAGTATCTTGAAGTCGCTGGAGCAATCCACTTTTCCTTTTAGGAAATAAAATGTCGAAGCACATTCTAAGTATCCATTGAACATTAAAATAATTTGTTTCCCTTGAAGTGAAAATAAGGTCTACATTTTTGAAATAAGTATGTTAATGGGTTCATTTACCCTTTAATATCACTTCGTGTTTGATTAATTAAATTATCACTATATTATTTTTAAGATAGTGAAGGGTCTAAAAGATACACCTGTCTCCATGGTCAAATAATATTTACAATCAAAGTTATTATGAAATCGCTTGCAACAACCAAAGTGTTTTTAGATATAACGTTAAGTAACAATTTCAACGTGACCAAAATACTTAGTTTTAATTTCACTCCAAATCTTTTTTTTTTGATTTTGACAATTTTCCAGTGACCCAAGTTACACGAGCAACAGTGATTTGATCCAAGTAATGATTAATATTAGGGTGGATATGTTCTCTTAAACCACGTCCCGCCACTTGCAATGTTCGAGATCCAGCAACCACCGCAGTAGTACTCATACACTTTGTTATGACAGGTATCCTTCATGAATATCTGAAAATGCATTCTAGTATATATATTGGAACAACAGAATTTAATTTTGACACTCACGTTTTTACGTTATTTTGCTTGATTACATGTATGACTTGAGCGTATTCACTGTAGAGACAGATCAGAATGATAGATCGGTAAAATACGTAAAATACAATCTCAAGTGGAGAATCAAAACGATGGCACAGCCGCGGACTGCGACTTGCATCTGTTAAACGCAGTTCAGCGCCAAAATGGAAGGACATTTAGTAGTGCCTTCCATATCGATGGACAAAACTGAGACTAAATCCAAGGTATTACTCTTTATTCCATGATGGTGAAATTCCCTGCAATCTGATTGGTCCATGTGACCTTGTATTTACACGCATTTCCACTTAGCGTTCTACCACTATACAGCCCATTTCATTGTTTTATTGCGTCAGTATAACCAAAAAAGAAATCAAAAGATCATTGTCCAATAATATATGGAAAAATATATTCCTATTGTACATAAATCTTGGATTACTTCTAGTCTAGCTAATAAAGTGTATGGCCTCTTATATTTAGATGGTTCTCTGCCATGTTATTTTCAAAAAGATTAACATGGCTGAAATTCTTTAAATTACAAGAGGGCACAGGCTTATTGCACAAAAAACTAAATAATCTGAAATATACCAAATGTCATTCATGTACAATATGAATATTCTTTTCTATGTTTTATTGCACAATGGTCTCCTGATTTCTTATTTTTGGGGTTCTACTGACGCAATAAAACAGTGAATTCAAATGGGCTGTAAATGGGACACTTTTTGAAACTGAATGACTTTTTTTCAATATCACTGGTATCTCACTGAAATTTTATACAATTGACCCGTGTATTATCATCTGCTATTTACTCCAATTTGTGCTCAAAATGACCACTCTTTGCTTGCACACAGAGCCTGAGTTGAGTTGCCACTGTTTCACCAATTAACGCAAAATTGACTGTGGGAGAGCATTCCGATCTTCTTGCATACTTGCCTCTCTACTAATTGTGCCAACGTGGTGAACTTTCTGCTGTAATTCTTTCAATGCACGCCAGGAAAATTTCATACAATTGACCCGTTATGTATTATCATCTGCTATTTACTCCAAAATGACCACTCTTAAAATGGCACAAATTCCCCCAATTCTCTATGAATCTTCGTACAAGACTTCTTTTGTTCATATACACGGGGTCCCAACTACGACCGTTAATTTGAATTTTAGACCTACCAGGTGTTTCAAAATCAAGGATTGTGAGTCTCATACTGCACCGTTTTTCTTCAAACTTGTTTCATTAAAAGCAGAACTAAAATGCCTTTCTGTCAGTGCATTGCTTTATTGTACATAGTCCCTCGTTTTAGCGGTGTTTGGGTCCCCAGCTGTGTAAAGCGCTTCTCACAGCTCGTGTACTCTCAGTAATGGTACGTTTTCCGCTTACCAAAGATCACACAAAGATGTAATCGCGCCAACATTACTTGAATTTTGATGCAAATGCGATGGTATTTCTGATTCCTTAGTTTAAATAAGGGACAAAATTACACTTTTTGTGTCAGATTTCGAATTTATGTGTGTTCATGCTAAGCTATTGGACAGCCCAGCACAAGAATGCTATGGCAGGTGTATTCCGATACTCATAGTATCTCTCTCTGTTGCATCGCAGATCCAGAAGGATAGAGATGGAGAGGGCGTGGGCGTGGCTTACCACGATGTGGCAGGTGGAGTATACTGTAGTGGTGGTGTGTAAGAATTTATAAATAATATTATAAAAAATTCTTATAGAAGCGTACTTACTGTCTGAACTTGCCACCTATCATATGGTCTGGTGGTTTGTTTTACATAAATCCAATCTGCTGGTAGGCCACCGATCCCTTCTGCGTAAGGTCCATACAAATCCCAACTAAAGTACAATAAAGGGGCGGAGAGTTTTTTACATTGTCATTCTTTGATTTTAATGCAACTTAAACCCTGTCAGGAAGACCTTTCTTTGAAATATTTGCAATTTTACGTACCAAAAAAGAATGTCATAGTCTTTCAGAAAAGAACAGACAGTAATACCAGGGGTGAAAACGCTTAGAGTATTTTCGTGGAGTATCAAAAAATGCATTATAAAAATCGCCATCTTTATTCAAAAATTAGGTAGGTGTAATTTTATTTTGTCGTTGGTTGATGTACTTTTAGTACTTCCTCACCTGGCAATAGGCTCGTCATATTCCCTAGTACATTGGGGAAACATTCAATTGTCACAAATTGACGCTCAAAGCTCTAGTTTTTCAATAATCTTGGTTAACCACGGATTTTTTGTTCAAAATCAAAATATTTCTTTGTTTGACCCCACATTTTAGAAAAACTAAATAAATGGCAGTCAATTTGTAACAACGAAATGTTTTTTCCAAAGTCCCGGGAACGTGGTGAGCGCATTAGGAGGTGAGGAAACACTATAAAACGTTCACAGACTACCTAGTAAAACTACACCTACCTGTGTAATATACGAAAATATTCATAGAGATTACCCTATATGAGGTTCAGGATATTGGGATTATCCCGAGGCCAAGATACTATATCTGCACAAGGGCCGTATGTCCCGAGGGTGGATAGCCTATATCTTATATTGACCAAGGGATAATCCCAATATCCTGAACCGACTACAGGATGATCTGTTTATCCCATACCAATTTTGCTCATCTGGTTCACATTGTTCGATTGGCCCAAGTTCAGTTCTTTTAGAATATTCATGTCCAGTTTTGTTTTATTGGCCGTAGTCGGATTTTTCTGTTTTAGATATTCAACCACATTTATATTCTCGAATATTTGATTATTGATAGGAATAAGTATGTTCTTTCCCTATTTAAGTCAACAAACAGATCGCCATTGATATTCCACGGTGTATAACCCAAACGCTCCTACATGCACGACGGAGCGTTTCATTACTGAAATTAAACAAAGAAACGCTCCGGAGTAGGAAAACTGTCTGGCGGGAATGATGAGCCGTCTGACAATTTCCCCAATAATGGGAATAAGAGGTATGAGTTACATATTTCGAGTATACCATTCGATGGGTGTGATATTCATGTTGTACGTGGCTGGCTGTTGACGTTTGAAGCAATTAGGAAGAGCTGTACGAAGCAGTATAGTTATCAAAATTCAAAAACGTATTTGTCATTCTACCGGTCAAAACCCCTTTTGTCGATACATGTGATTAGTTGAGCCAAGATTAGAGCACCAACGTATATTTTAGTTATAATTAGGCGAACGGTCCAAAAATGCACCAACATACGAATGCGATTGTGACGTCAGGCCGGGACGTGCATTAAAGCTATATCTGTCCGCTGATGAAAATATATAGAGATTATCCTATGTGAGGTTCAGGATATTGGGATTATCCCGAGGCCAATATAACATATCTCTGCCCGAGGGCCGTAGGTCCTGATGGTAGATATGTTATATTGGCCATGGAATAATCCCAATATCCTGAACCGACTATATGATGATCTGTTTATCCCATATCAATCTTGGTCATCTGGTTCACTTTGTTCAATTATCCAAAGTTCAGAAAATTTCAAACCAACCGTGGAAATATTTTAGTGTATCTCATACTTGAGTGGGTTTGGGGTAGATATCACCCGGGAATATATATCGTTTCTGAGGAGCGGGCAGGATATATTGTATATGTCCCGCTCCAGGCCAAATGCGGGCAGATATAATATATCCATCCCGCTCCCGGGAATTTTTCAAAAGTTTAAAAAAGTTTAAATATCAAAAGTTTTAATGTTTTAATTTAATTTTTTTTTTTTAGTTTAAATGTTTCAATTTCATTGTATTGAACAAAAATAATATTACGAAAATGTTAAATATAAATATCTTGTCATTTGAAAAAGGTGGAAAAGGTTATGTCTACCCTAAACCCACTCAAGTATGAGATACACCAGTTATGCACGGTCGGTTTGGATACATGGAATATCCCTTGGGATAAACAATACATCTTCCCTCGGTCCCTTCGGTCCCTCGGGAAGATATATTGTATATCCCTCGGGATATTCCCTGTATCCAAAACCTCCCAGTGCATAACCCCTATATATCCATGTCCAGTTTCGTATGCGAACGGCGATTATGACGTAGCGGGCAGATATACTATATCTGCCCACTCGGAGCGGGACGTAAAGCTATATCTGCCCACTGAAGAAAATATAAGTTTTTACAAACCTGCTTCATGTACCCGTAACACGTCCAAGCATTGGATAAACGTTTTTACAAACCTGCTTTATGTACCTACCTGAAACAAGTCAAAGTATGGGATAAATTTAGATACTCTACGTTTCTACCCCCTGAATATCTGTCTCATTCAAACGTCACATTTTGTGGTCACATTTTACGGTTCCATGGGACTCGACAGGAATTCATCGGATTTTTATAAAAGACCTGTGAAGACCGATGAAAACCCAGTGGCGGGTCCGGGGGGCGTCTTCGATATCGTCAATTACAACGGAATCTGAATTTGAAATAATTTACAAAGACAACGGCATATGGTAATACAGTGTCCGTTGTCCCGGCCCTTATCTCATTTTGATCGGTTAAATTAAAGACTTTATTTCGATGGTAGAACATTATTAACTGTACAATGAGTATCAAGACACTTTGATTGATTGTTGTTCCAAAGGAATTTAGTCTAGATGCTCTATTAAACATACAGTTCGTGAAAATCTAATTGAAGCGACGGTTATGTGACATGTCCGCAATTTGTGACAACGGTATCTGACTTTACCGTTGTCAGGCTATTCCGGTGTGATATTGAACAGCTATTTAACATCAATAAGCTTACATATGGAAATAAAAACGTAATATTGAGCAAGAGTTGTTTTTCTCCTGGTGACTTGCATGTTAAAACCTCTCCCATGTTCAAAGTCATAAGATGTGCTACCGTTGTCAGGCTATTCCGATGTGAATATTTTCATATCTACAGTAACACTGTTTCTTATATAAGTGTTCGTGTTCTGTTGCTCATCAATGAAATCATCCGCGTGTTGTGTTAGAATTCTTTTCCATTTTTAATTTTTGAATGACCCGAACTACCATGGCAGTGTCTCGAAATACATGTAGATATGACGGTGGACAAATGTAAAAAAATATATGCAAAATCTAGAGAAAATAGTCCGATTTTCTCCATTGTCGTCTTCAATAGTCCTATTCGCGATAAGATTTCAGATGGTAATTTACATAAACATCTCCCATGATGCATCGCTTTGGAAGGGACAAATTTCCATTGGCCCGCCGAACGAGTCGAATACTCTGAACGTTTCTAAGCTTCTGATCTTCCATCAGCCCTCAAGCATAGTTATATGATCTAATCTATTCAATAATCAGAAAGATAATCGGAGATTCAAAGTAACATTAATTATATTTTTTCGATCTTCATGGCGTCTGGCGTCTGGGAAATCAGTGACGTCACTCCGGGAATTGGACGGCATTTTCAACTACAGATATCTTCGGTTTGGGGATTATAGTTCAAAAAGCCTTGTTATATATCTTAACTACATACATACATATCGTTTGTGCAAATGCAACTCTACATAAATGTTTAATAGAGTCGCAGTGCGGCATTGAAAATAGTACCCCTGTGTAATCCAATGGGAAAGAAACCGGATGTAGACGAAGTTGTACCATACATGAGAGCTCTTCAAACGGGAGGTAACTAAACTGAACTAAACTAAACGTTATCGCGTATTGGAGTATTATAATTTTGTCAACATGGACATGTTTTAAAAATCTTGAAATACACACAATGCATCCAATCAGGTGCTCTGGATTGCAAGAGCACGGGACAAGAGAGTGGAAGCTGAAACAAAAGATTTGTCAGACGCATTTCTAGTTGTTGTAAAAGACTAGCAATGTTGCATTGTTACGGAGTATGCGTCTGACGATTTTCTGCAGACGCCCTGGGCAAAATGATAAAACAGACCGAAATTCCATGTGTACTGTAGTCCCGAGCACAGTGTCCCCGATAGATTTTCGAGTGAATACGACCCCAATACAATTTCTTTCCGGGACAATATGATTCCAACACGATTTTCCCGGGATAATACTGTCAATTTTTCTGCATGCTTTTAAGAGCGACAATACGATTTTATTTCCCAGGGAAAACATAAGTATTATGGAATAGGGTACATTATTTACTGCCTCTGTGAGTGATCGGCAATTTTAAAATATTTTCTAAGCCAAAACTAGGGAACAATCAAGTAAGTACCAGGCAATACAGTACATTACGGAAAGCGATAGGGGACCTGCGCATAATTCAAAATCAAATGGAGTTTTAACATGGGAGTGATATCACACACCGCGGCCCAGTCAGATAGATTTCATCGCGCACTGAATGAATTACAGCGGCCGCGTTGTGCAAATTTAATTAAAATAAAGTGCGCAGAAATTCCGGCATTCAGTGCGCGATGAAAAAATGATTATCTGTGAATAAATAACGAATAAAAATTCGTGGCACCACGAATTTGATTTTTTCGAAAGACTGCGGAGTGAACCAGCGAAATGACAATTTTGGATAATATTGATGGCTCTAACGAGGAGAACTTTGAAATTTTCCGATTCCAGCGCTCAGCACATCCAGGACCATGATGCGCACTTTTATCAGATCCGATTATAATATGGTTTCAAAGATAATGTTCATTAAAAGAGGGCGTATGCATACAGATTCGCTTTCCGTAACTACCACTAGAGGCGCCACTAAAAATCACGTGACAAGTTACAATGTTTATGTAATAAAACTGTAACTGAAATGGTAAATACGGAATATGATGCAATACAATGCAGTGCAATATGATGTAATACAATGCAGTGCAATATGATGCAATACAATGTGGTGCAATATGATGTAATACAATGCAATTTGGACCC